CGAGACGTCGCACCATAAATATGACGTATCCTACGTCAGCGTCAGAAACATCCTCCGACAGTGCACCGGACAGATGGTCATTAGGAAGTACGGACAGCGAAGTCGACCCACCAGAAGAGTGGACAGCCGAACCTCATGAGGCGTCTACCACCGGATCTGTAAGCTCCAGACCGGAGGACGACCCCTCGGAACCGCACCGACGGTGCGGACCATCAACTATCACAAACTTTTCTGAACATTAAAAATATGTTTTCGACCCTACGGGAACCGGAAACATTAAAGCCTAGATTGTTAGTCCAACAAGAGCCTTTGATACCCAAGGATGCTTGGCAAGATCCGGTACCAGTGTCGCTAATCTCCTTTATACCAGTGATGCGGGATGTGATAGTTGGTCCCGACGAGAACCGTAAACCGCCAGAGCATGGACACACAAAGTCCAAATCCGACCAGTCCACACGCTCGCTATGCTGGACACTGGAGCGGAAACCTCCCTCATTAGCCAGCAGTTCTGCACAGCCAATGGCATCAAAACGGAGCCATTGGGGTGGAACACCAAAATCCTTAAAATTGGCGGACAAACCGCCTTTGTGGTTTCCCACTGTTGCACCGTACCGGTGACCCTGCAGGGATATGAAGCCACCACACGTTCTTCGTCCAACCGACGTTAACGGCCGTGCAAGTTCTACTTGGTTGTGACTATCTCCACTCCAAGCTCACCTTTATCCTCAAGCCAAACCAAGAAATTGCTTGGGATGCGGTAAGTCTATCCCGATACCAAAGGCCCCGGGACCCGAAGATGAAGTGAGAGTCAACCAGCTTGATCATTCAAAAACTTCTGCTTCTACCTGCTGGGAATGCCGGGATACCATTGATAGCCTCATTTGGGAACTGCGCGTCCATAATGCAATTGAGCGCTACATGACCCAATTACGCGCCGGCATACTCAATCCAAATTGCGGGATTGTAAAGACTATTTCGATACCAAAGGCACCGGGCCAACGACCGGTGCCTGACCGAGAACTCACCTAGAAAAGGGCTGGCTAGAAAAAACAGGTGCACCCCTAACGTGGGCGCACAAGATGGACCCATTCGCCCAAGAACTGGGCAATCTCCAAGAAGAGGGAGCACTATGGGAGGACGTACGCCTAGCCCTATTGTGGGACTATAGGGAATACCACATAAAAACTCCAAAGCACTCCAGCGAATGTGCTCGGACCTCTTCAATGACATTATAAAACTTAGAAAGAAACTGGCCCAGCATCCTGGCGTAACCGCCAGCATATGGCCAAAGTACGACTTGGGCTTGACCAACGTCACGACCATCCCGGAACCATTGCCAGAAGCAGCATCACACATAGCAACAAGAGTGCGCTTCAGTAGCGGCCCATATTCAGAACAGGGCCGACAAAGGGACACCAGCAACGAAATGTAGGACTCCGGCATTAACGTCCCCCATGCCGGACAACTATGAATTTACTACGGCTTTAATGTCGCCCATGCCGGACAACTATGAACTCGGACAACTATGGTAACGCTGGTGGCGGTTTTTCAAAGGTCAAGGATTGACTTAAAATCAGCTTTCTGTGGTAGGTCCCCATGTCACCATTCTGGCCGAAGGGTTACTGTTTTGGCAATGGCGGCAGGGGGGACACGGCAAAAATGTCCGGGAGGACTGGAGGATTTTTGCCGGTCACACAGGTACTTATTTCATACGGTCCACATCTTATCAGAAATTTCATCCTCGGTATCAGCCGTAGTGCAGTGGCTGTACTGTATGCTACTGCGGTCAGATAGCTCTAAAGGTGTTTATTGAGCATGATTGTTTAATTTGTTGTAAAATTTGTTAAAAATTTGTTCACGGTGATACCTGACTAACATTTATCGGGCTTTTACAGCCCTGCTTCACCACACGCGGGCAGTTGCACAAAACAATTTAAAAATACTTATGTGCATCGCTGTGTTTTCCTCTTTGCATGTTCATGGTGTAACTTTTTTAATGCGGATTCAGGAATACTAAAATTTGAATCTTTTGATGTGTTGGTAACTGCCGAAGGGGAGGTTAAGGGGAAGGAGTAGTGGTCATTTTTACCGTGCGTATAAATTCTGCTCTAAAACCGTCATCAAACACAAATTACCGAAGGTTAAAATTATTGTTAATTTTGCCGTTAATCTTAAGGCCGCGCAAAACGTAACTTAACTATTATAATTCCTTACCAAATCCAGCGCCGCTGAAGCAAAAATTCGCTCTAAGCCATAAATAATTAAATACAATGAGGCAGCTCCCATGGAGTCCAGGTAGAGCAACCAAAAGCATCCCCTGCCGTCACTTTTCCAATATCCATCACAGTGGAAGCTTCCGACGGACGATATGCCCATGCAAGCATTCAGGGCCTCTCCGACAGCAAAGGACAGAAACAGAGCACCATCTGGATGACACGCTCGCAGCAATGTAGCGAATATATTCCAGATCGTCAGCAATACAGCGAAGATGCCGGATATACATGATGTCCACAAAAACTCACAAAACATGGTGACTTTGCGGAAATTTCTAGAGTTTTACCTCCTTTATGAGCTTTCAGCAAAAACTTTAGTTGTGCAGTTAAAGAATGCGTTACCTAGACTGAGTTCTTTGCGTGAACACTTTTACCTCTAGCCAACACACTTTAAGGCATTTTGTTTTCGGCACCCAATCAGCCGGACTGGTATGGGGCAAAATAGCCGAAAGGATATCCACCCCCCAGACCGGGGCAGAACAGCCGTCTGGCTGCTCATACGGAGGACTGGGGTAAAATAGCCAATAGGTTATCCAACCCCAGACTGGGGCAAAATAGCCAACCAGCTGTTCCGCCCCCATTAGGCAGTACTGGGGCTAAATAGCCTTAGCCTTAATGCATTGCTGAACATGTAAACCGAGCCGTTTTCGAAACAACCAGCCGAATAAAGCAATCGCAAAGTACGGCTGTGTTTTTTTTCATATAAGGCTCACTCATATTCATAAATCGACTTATGCAAAAATCATAATTGGTTATCAAATCGATAACGAGCATGAAGAGCATAAAAAACTAATAAGAGAATGCGCAATCCGTTTTGAAAAATTCCAAGCGGTTGAGGCTGTAGGTCGTGCCACACGTTTCACGTCTTAATTACAACTCGATGCCTTTGACAAAAACATGCCGAAAAGTACTGAATTTTCAACCAGCAGATTTCAACATCATTCAGTGCCAGAGATACTATCTCTTACATACCCTGCTTACAGCATAGCTTTGGTAGTACTAAAGTTAATGTCGTTCAACACGGCAGTAATCAGCCTGGGGGCGATTAAAGGGGCGGGGTGGGGGGTCATTTTTCGGCCGCTTATAACTGCAGCTCTAAGAAATGCACCAGTTGACATTTCTGCGTTTAAGCTTTCCAGAACTGTTGCGTGGCCCAAGGAGTGTCTTTTATAGGTAGCTGAAAATTCTGGCGCGAAGTATTCGAGGCCTAGGTCACTTCCAGGGAAGGTGCATCTTCCATAGACTTGTATGTTAAAGAGCACCTATAGAGAAATGCGGTTGCCTAGAGCGCGGATCGCATTAGGCGAAATGTTACTGTAGTGTTCCGATGAAATGTAGGAAGGGACCGTTAGCAAACCACCCTATTAGTTGATGGTTCTTTTTCATCCTGGTTAGCTTTGTGCAGTGAATTTCCGAACAAATTGGCGTGATCACCTTTCTAATATTTTCTGCTTTTTGCTGAAGGAAAAATGATAACTTAATAACTTATCTCCTTTATCATGCCTGTTGTTCCCTCACCGACGAGTACTTACCCCAAAGTCCAGTGGAAAACCGGCCCGGATCGCGCCGGTGACAATGACCTTTACGCTAACTGATTTGCTCGCCAAGATGGATGGCTATGTCAACTCATCGTCTTACAAACCCTCAGCGAACACCTGAGACGTATTTACCTCCTCATTCCTATTATTCGGCAATCATGTAAGGAGCTGTCGTACGCCGGACGTGTTACTATTCTCGAAACTGAAATTGTCAGAACTCAATATAATTTGAAAGCTGAGCGGGAATTACGTGAGAGAGCAGATGCGGACCTGCAATATGCAAGCAAAACTTTGCGTTCCCTCGTGGAGCAGATGAACAGCGTACACCAAAGGACCAAACCAACGTTGAAGATTTTGATCGTTGTATGGCGAGATTAAAGTTATCCAATAACGAATCTTTGAACAGAGTAGCCAGCATCTATGAAAAAGCGAAAGCTGAGGGTGTCTCCAAGCCACTACGAACATACGCAAATGCAATTGCTTCCTCCTCGGCACCATCCCACCGGAAAAGTGTCGTCATTATCAAGTCGAAAGCTCATCTCACTACCGACTCGTCTCGCGCAACCGCTAAAGAAATTACCAATTTCAGCGAAGTCCTCAAAACCGCCATTCCTAATGGAGCTGACAAGACCAACATAACCGGAATTCGACCCGCATCCGGTAAAAGTCTATTGTAATCGAATTCAAAAGCTCTGATAATGTAGCAAAAGATGAGACAATATCGCGAGACATATAGGACTTCTGAACAACCAGATGCGAATCCGATCTAACAACTTGCTTCACCGTCATTTTTCTTTTACGTAATATAATTTTTTATAACAATAGATAATTAAATAAAGTTACAACTGACACTGACATGGTGCAAATCTGAGAGTTCATTGTTGAAGTTATATCTGCACTCTGCATAGTTGTGTGATGCTACGCAGAATTTGAAGGTGAATTGTATTTTGTTTTTGAATTGTGCTAACGGTAATTACATCCAAGTAAATTGTTTAGCTTATGGAATGGTTGTCTCAGCAAATATTAATAATGACTGAGATTAAGTATCTAAAAACGCGCGACCAGAGCCAAACAATCGGATGCAGTTGGTACTGATGTACACGTACTCGTACTGTAATATCGCTTCCCGTGCGGTAGCCTCCTGTAAATGACCATTAACGACGTGCAGAATTAGCCAGAGGACTGTATGCTAATAACACAATAATTTTATCCATTAAAATCGTGCTTGAATTTGTTTTCAAATTATTATCAACAATGAAACCAGAACCCAATAACACTGACGGCAACAGTGAAGAACAACACATCAACGACAAAGCACTTATTTCAATGAAAAGTAAACTATACTGCAGTAGAAGCTTCACAGTACTCGGTAGTGGCAAAACAACAACAGCATATCCGGGCATGCGGAAGCAAGACGCCCACTGCTAGCAACAATATGCCTGGCAAACCTGCACATTTTTGAACGTTTAAAATTTTGATGAATTACGCACTGCACTGAAGCTCATTACTGAGCCGGCGCTGATGTCGAATGCTTTTTGTATAAATCCAAAACTTCTTGGACATCGAGTTTGGAGCCCAGGAAAATGGGTGTTCGCTGATGAATACCGGTTGGCTGAACGTCCAGTACCGGCATCGTGCCCGTACTCGCTATTCCTCCTGCGTTCTCGATCAGGAAGGCAATCGGGTTGCATTCATACAGCAGACGAAGCTGAGAAAGAACTCATTACATGTAATTGAATAAAAGTGACCAATGTAAAATAAAACGGCTAACAAACATGCACAAAATAAATACAATAATATAACAAATAGTAATATGAATAAAATAACACCATTACAAATTTAAAATCATTAAATAGCATAACTCTTAAGATATTTCGTTACTAATAGTTTTCAGTATTCGCAAAATTCTTATTGCAACATCAATATTACCTTGCCGTTTGGCGAATCTTTCGTCGCTGGATACATGAAAATTCCACCATAGCAAAGTGTACGATGGACATCAGCGACCATCGATCCAACGTATCGCGCACCATACGCTTTACCTTTCTACAACATAAAGACACTGCTGAACAACGTAAACAACATAAAGACACTGCTTTACTGCAACATAAAGACACTGCTGTACTGGAATATGAACGAATTATGGAAACATGCAACAAAAGGTGATGCACACCTGTGGGAATTTTTTGCTGTGGACATATTCCGTCAGCGCCGGATCCCAGAGCGCCGCGTAACCCTCGTTGATACTGAACGTATTGCCCCTTTCCTTGACCCTCATATTCGGATGAGAGAGAATGAATTCACCCACAGCGGGATCCAGAGTGAAACCATGGGTGCCATTTCCGTCGGAAATAACCATCATGGTTGCTACAAAACAACGCTGATTTACACTCATAACAAAAATTACAATCGCTTAGCGCTAATCACCAACAAAACAACTGGTACGAGTGCGTACTGCGTATGAATCAGAGTACGAATTAAATTTAATTAATCATTAATCAATAAATAATAAATAAACAATAAATAATCATTAAATAAATAAAAGCACATAAAAAAATAAACATTAACCACATTGCGCCATAGTTCACACAGCAGACACAACAAGAATAAAGTTACACTGCATTACATTAACCAACAAAATTAATCTCAAGATTTTCATCAGACCAATACGGCGTAACTAACCACTTCCGTAAACAGCATATCCGGCAGCTACAATCTGCCGTCCCGGCTGGAGACAGTCTTCTACGGTGGCTTTTCCAGGTGAATTCTACACGAGATAGATATGCTACAGTACATACACCAGCAAAAGTCGAAACAGTTTTACTAAAGTACAGATACACTTCACACGATTTTTTTCCTTTCTTTCTATAATTAATCGCTCAACTGTTTTTTATTCGGCAATTTTTGTCTTACTACAACTTTTATTTCACCATACTTTTTATTTATTTATTACAGTGTACGGAAGCTTACTTTGCGGTAAATGGAGAAGATAGTCCCGATGGATACGAGACAGTCGATGTTGGATGAACCATCCAGCGGATCGAAACACACGATGTACTTGCCCGACTGCTCCGTGTCCACCTCGATCACCTTCTCGTTCTCCTCGCTAACCAGGAGACAGGTGGTATAGGAAGACATCAACATGTTGATCATCAGCTCGTTTGCCACTTCATCCAGCTTCTTCACTTCTTCGCCCTGGACGTTCGTGTCACCAGCGATGCCATATCTGCATCAGGAAAAATCATTACAATTTACAGCTTCTCAATAAACACAGTCAACAACATCTTAATTTTTTTAAAAAATTGTACGCACAGTTTGGCGATGCCGGCTTTGCGCACGCTGGAGGAAATGGTCTTCACGGCCACAATGATGGAATTCAGTAACTGCGTCAGATCACCGGTGGCTGTAATGCATTATCACAATACTGTATATGCATCATTTAATTCTGCGTCATTTTAACTATTATTAGCATTCCATTATTTTTACTTTTTTCATTGACATTATTGCCATTTCATTATTTTACTTTTTTTGTACCGTCATTTTGCTGCAATCAGCCGGTTGACTGTTATGATTCTGGCCTCACCTGATGGGAAGCGGCGTTGTTCTTCGAGAACAAAGCGGGTCAGAGTGACGCAGTCAGTGCTGATGCCGTGGATGTTTTTGTTGCTGCTGCTCGGACTCAGAACGCGGCCAGCATCTCCGTTTCCTTGGCTCATTTTCGATTGCTGATGGTTTAAAGTTTTAAAATCACCTGCAACATCAGTTGCAAAACAGGATTGTAAAAGACGAATTAAATTCACGGCAGAAAGTCACATGTCCCACACGCATAAGTGTGCGTCACTAGTCATATGAATTCGCCAACGCAGCGTTTGATTTCAGTTTACTTACAGCAAAGTCCATGAAATCTGTGATTATTATTTATTAATATTTGTATATCGAATACAGAAGCGTCATGGTAATAAAAAACTATTATTTAAAATGGCAAAAAAACACGAAAGCTGAAATAAACAAGCTAAAAAACAGTAAAAGTCTGCAAAGCACTGGAAACAGAAAAATTAAAAAAGCTGCGTGTTCTCGATTTATAAAATCTTCTACTCTAGGCATCTGTTTACTGTATTGAGCATTTATTTACACTCATACCAGTAAGTCAATTACCGCAAATTTCGAAAACACTGCAACACACTATTCAAATCCACCAACAAGTTGTATTTTTATGCGCCAAATAAGTTCAAAATGTCTCGTAATTTTGAAATCCGCTGTGATTTAAACGTACTTACAATAATTCCCAAATCCTGCAACAGCAATAGAATGATGATTTCACAAGGACAATCGAGCAGCGACGGTTCTCGTTTGCAGTCGGGTATGCAATGGAACACTTGCAGCTGATGATGTTATCGTCCGAACGCGTTCGGAAAGATACAGCAACAACACCTGGAAGACCCGGGCGAAGATGAAAAGTCTCCTGTAAAAGTATACTGCGCTATTGCAGCCGTCTGCAATACATTCCACAATCTGGAAATCAGAAATTTACTACGTGCACACGCATTTCATTGCCAAGTTGCCAACTGGTTTTGGCACAGCCCCACATCGCAGCCAATCAGATATGGATGGGTTGACCCTCCCCCAAAAACCGGTTTCCGGTCGGCACTCAGTTTTTTTTAAATTTTAATATTGTTTGCCCTTTTCTGGAATCGCGAATGCGTTAAGAAATAAGAATTATTAATTACTTATAAGGATTACCTTTTTCAGTTTTAGCTTTTCGTTTCCGATTACGGTAATTTTAAAAAATTGAAATGGACGGTGGACGATTACGGTAATTTTAATAAACTCTCTTTATCACATACTGACTGGATTGTTAATAATGCAGGACAAAACCAAACTTTCCATTTTTTTCGTTTATTGTAAGTACTGGTACAGCTGCTAATCAAAGCCATAAGTACGACAAGGCACCTTATGTAAACTGGAAAGAAAAGAATATCACAGACGAACTTAACAATAAAACTCAGTACTTAATAGTCAATATTAAACATCTCACAACTCACAAGGTTCAATTTTCATAATACGTTAGAACAAATTCAGCAAAAAAAAAAACAAGAGCGGCATCCGCAATTCTTTTCCATTAGCTGCGCTCACTCGGCAGTCATTCACTTTCCAGACACCATTCGCATAACTTTATTGGATTCTGTAAAACACAGCAGATTTTTAACCTCCATTACAACAGGATAAATTTAGCGCAACCAAAAAATATAATCAAATGTAAAAAAGCGGAAGCATAATAGGATAATCTGACCCGTCAACACCGGTAATCTCAAAAGTATATGCGATAGCCTCAAAAGCAGTAAGAAATGGCAGTGAAAATGACTGAGCTGCTTTCACTACGAGTAGGGCGTGTATGCTAACAAGCGAAAACGTTTTGGTCAAATGTACATCAATATTAAATTCCTTACCGAGGCTATTAGCATCACCAGCTTGTACGAAACCTTTCGACTGGAGGGAATTCACGGTACGTAGAAATGCTTCCTCCTCAGGCGTCAACGCTGCACGCAGCTTCACCAGTGCGGTCAAAATCTCGCCCTTCTGCTGGTTATAGGTTTCCACGGACATTTTGTTGACTTTTCGATCACGTTCAACCTGCCGTACAAGAAGCTTCTCAACCCCAAGGCAAATGGAAATTAAGGGTAAATGCAAAAAGTATCCACCTCAAAAGTGGATTTAGAACCGTGATTGTACATAATTTACAGTTCAAACGAGTTAAAGTTTTCTCATACTCATACCATAGCAAGTCGCTCGCGTAGCTGATCAGGCTCCCTTGCAACAAAAAGCGCCATAATTTCTGGTGTATCAAACGCATTGCCGATTGCGGTTTGGATTGTCTGTAAAAAATTTTGAAAAGATGAGCAAAATTGATTCCAGTACTATCTATTTCCAGTTTTTTTCAGTCAGCAGTGGCACAAAACTTCGAATGTATATTTCAGCAAAAAAACTAGCACTGAACAGAAAAGAACTTTCTACGCAACGCTGTAGTAGCGAAATATTGTTAAATAAAACAATACTAAACAAATAAAACATAAATTGATCACCAACCAGTTGCATGGACGCAATGTCATTCAGCAGAGTCAGATTCCCGGCTGCAAAGGAAAACCAGAAAAATTAATACAAAAACTAACGTTATGATACAAAATCCATATGCTTAAAACATCGTCATGAAACAGTACCCAAAGTACGTATTGTACATTTGTACTCAGTTAGAGGGAGACTAGACATTCTGATCTGAGCAAGGATGAAATGATACTGACGTTTATTACGTATGTTCTTACGTACACTGCATTTTTGCCAAGGAATCATTCAATTCCTGCAGCTGTTCAACCGTATCCGCTCGCTGTTCTTCAAAATCATCCGCATCTATGCCACCCCTGTACAGGGAGAACTAATGTTTAGTGATAACAGCAAACTCCAAATAATAACGAGACAACTGCGCACTTGGCCTTCTCTGTTTCCAAATCAACCAACTGCGCCATGAGACGATCCAGCTGCTCTGTCAGGTTCTTCTTCAGGCTCTCGGTTTCCTTGTCGACTTTTCCGCGTGAAGCAGAATTACCCACTTGGCTGGCCATTTTACCACGTATTTAGATTAAAACGTCAAAACGTCAACAATCGGATAAAAGGGAGCGACAAAATGGGATATACGAGATGTGGCACGCTTATGAAAATCTACAGTTCTACACCACAAACTCGCCTGCACAATATCTCCAGCATCTAGCAGGAGTCGCTACAAAATCGAACCGAGTATGCAAGTGATTAACAAGACAAAACCATAATACAACAAATAAATATAAAACCATCTAGTTATACTTGTACTGTTGTACAGAAATTTTGCAAACTAAACTCCTAAAAAACAAAACCGAAAACTGTAGTGAGTTGTTGTCGTGTTGTGAAAAATCTGAAAGTCAGAAACATTTACGAGTTACTCCACTTCCGGTCAAAACTGACAACCACCACGGGCGGCTATGGCTAGGTCAACAGTTGCATGTTGATGTTCTCCAAAAAACGTTTTTCAAGTATTCTTTCTCCGACTGCTTTTATAGAGTCATTTGTAAGTTTGTGGAATTATCAATTATTCTTCCTGACCATCCTGATTTTGTGTAGTTTTTTAGCATGCGACTGCTCGGGATGTGGATTGTTTCCAGCCCTTGGATTGTTGTAGTGCTGGCAGCCCAGTCATAACTTGAACCTATCGCTTATGTGGCGAGCTCACCATTTTTTGCAGATCTACGGTTTCTGAAAATTTTGGCACATGTAAAATATACTCGTCTTTTTAGAATTTTTTCTTCCTATCTCTTAGTAGAGTTCTTTGTTCTTTATTGCAACCATCATCATTTTACTGCAACTTTCATCGCCGGATGCTGATGACGCGGACTTATCCATTTTGTGAGAAGCGCGCTCTTTTGTGGAGATCGGGATCGTCTGCCAAGCCATGTGGCATGGTGTCGACACTTTGCTCGTTTATCTTTTAAACCGTGGAAATTGACATGCCCATTGTTTATCAGAATTAGAACTCGTGGAAGAACCGTGTGGTGTTTTATAAAGATCCAGTTTTATACAGTTTTCTGCGTTCTGGCAGCATCATGATTCCCGTGCAGTTGTTCAAATCTTCCAGCGATGATATGCCTTTCGTCATCAACATGGTAAAAGCACTCGTAGTCGAATCCCAATTTTTCTTCCGTTTGGTTTTTTATGCATATTTGTGAAATGAATTTTTCTTGCAGGCAAACAGCATTATTGGTGTAAGCGGGGCGAAACTATCCATCAATAAATTTCACACCGAATGTTGAAATTTCGACTCTGTTTTTAAACTGTTCGATATTATGTTGTACACAGCTACGGAGTTACGGGCACCGTTCTCAATGTTATGCTTATGTTAATTGCAGGTCAGCATACTGGCTATGCCGTGGTCATTTCGCGAGGTATGAATGATAAAATGTCGCCAAATTGATATCGGACATTGTTTTTGTGTACACTGTTTTTGTTTGGTCATTTTTGATATTTTATTTTTTTGCAAGGTGGGCATAGTACTGGGATCGATGCTGTTGGTGTTTGGTGGTCTGTTGACGAAATGGTCCTGTCGACTGCTTCTCGCCGCCGCTGCCGGTCCCCCGGTGAATCGTTCCATGGTCACCGGCAAACGGACCAGCTCCTTTCATCTCGTAGTGGAACCATCGGATGATACACTCACCCGAAGCTCGTATGAATATCTCGGTAACCTTGCATGATATCGCTTTCTTGACTGTTTTCCTATTTTTGTTTTTTTTTTGCAGCGTTAAGCACATTTGGAAAATGGGGGAAACTGTTGGTGGAATTATCGTATGCATATCGTTCTATTAATTTATTCCTTCCTTAGTTTATGGGATTTTTTTGTGACAGGACGATCGGATATTTGTTGGGCTCCTGTGTAGCGTTTTTGGTCGTTATGGGTGATTTATTACCGGAAGTTGCTGGAAAGATCATTTCACCCGTTGATTCTGAAGTAAGACTTACTTTGGGGTGATGTTTACGTAAAGAAAATCGTCCGAATATAAGTGTTCATTTAAAAAAGTTGGGTTTTTAGGCTGGCTATCATAGTCAAAGCATGCGTGCATTTTTCCTTACCGTTGTAGCTTTGTGTATCGCCTTGCCGTTGAGTTTGATGCAGAAAGTGGAGAATCTCGTCAGTCTGAGCGCCTTTTCAATATTCTTCTACGTGTTCTTGGTAGCAAAAGTAAGTCAGAAGAAAATTACAGCAATAATTGCACTTAACAGCTTTAAATAGCGTTGAATAGCATTGGTGTCTGTATCGTGATTACTTATGCTATGGCTTGCAGCTCGTTATACGTTAAGTAAAGTGTTTCTGCGGACAGGTTTTCGTGGACGCAGTTCTTTCGTCGTCGTGGCCAGATTGTATGGACAAACTCATATTATGGCGGTTCCGCTACGTTTTGCCGGTGCTGCCAATATTCACAACTGGTCTTTCGTGTCAGACGTAAGATAAATTCTCAGTCGCACCGTACTGTTCAATACGTCGTAATGAAAGGTCGGACTGATCCATTGTTTTGCAGGCAGGTGTTTGTGATGTACGAATCTCTCACTGATCCATCGTGTAAACGAATGAATGCCATTATTTCGGATGCAGTTAATTTATGTTTCGTGCTCTATTGGAGTGTACGAAGAAATTTATGTTTATACTTTATAGTAAGAATGTCATAAAGAATAATGCGAATATGATATTTGACCTTTAGGTGGGATTCTTCGGATACCTGGCATTCTGCAATACGGAAATTCGCGGAGATGTTCTTCTTAATTTTGAAAACACGTGGCTAATCACCGTGATACGTTGTTTGTATATTGTCGCGGCTGCGATCAGTTTCCCGTTGTGCATCTTTCCTTCGCGAAGAAGCGTTGAGACGTTGTTGTTTCATCAGGTAATAAAACCCATTATTGTCTTCGTTATATTGAAACATGAAACGGAATGATCCCTTTTGCATTATTATCATTACTGCAGGCGCAGCGGGTAACATACAGTAAATGTGGAATAAAATAATAGCGATTATGTTGCATTAGGAAACAGCCACGACGGAAGGCGGGGCAATTCAACCCAATACCTCGAAATATTTTCGGACCATCACAATAATTCTTGTAACATGCACGCTAATTGCCAGTATTATTATTCCAAACAGTAAGCATTTATGATATATCGTACAGCATTTTATCAAGTATGCTGTTATTATCTTCGTTTGCAGTTGAGACAATTCTGAATCTCAGTGGATCTACTATGGGCGCACTGATTTGTTTCATTCTTCCTGGTTCTATTGCGTTACGGAGCGGTTTAATGTATTGGCCATCCATATCGGATATGAAGACTTTGGGCTCGTATCTCCAGGATCATCTGACAGCTTTGGTAAAACAAAAACAGTTGATGCAGCGTTGAAGGGGTTATGACAATTTTGCTTGCAGATAATACTGCTGGTGGGTGCAGTTTCGATGGGAGTGTGCTTATGGGATGTCCTGCTGGTTCTGGTGTATCCACCGGTTGATGCCGCATCCAATCCCCTTCTTATTCAAGAGGAACCGGCTCCTATTATCCCGGCCGCGGTTATCCCTAATTCGAACATTTCATAACGTGATTTCCCTTTTTGAGTAACACATTTGCCATATTTTCGTGCCTTTTGTACAGAGCTTCCATGGAAGTTGTGATCTTTTGAGAGCATAGATGTTTTTATTCTCATGTAATCTAACTCGTATTTTTGCACACTCGAAGGTAGCAAGTAGCAGATGGATCGGTCAAATAATTTTATAGTTGGCGTTTCCATTTCACATTTTGGTTCTAATTGCCTCAAGGGCTTTACTGTACACTAAAGCGGAATTGCTAATCAGTTTGCACAACAAGTGCGACAATAAAAGTGGCTGCGCTTGAATTTACTGACTGGCGATAATTATTTGAAAGGTGCTACCGTGCTACTGTTTTCAGGTGATAAGCAGTATTATTCCATGGTTCTTTCCACAATTACTGAACTAATAATATCGCGAGAAAACATGATCTTCGATAAATGACAGGTCTGCTCGGACAAGATTTACGATAACGCAGGACAAAACGGCAATTATATGCACTGATGGCACGTCTGCTCACAGCAGAATTTAGAACAGTTGCAGTTTCAGTGTCAACCGATAAACAGTGGCGATTCGAACAAGGAATTCATTTACAAGCGGTCAGTGTTGTGATTCTTATCAGATTTGAGGCGAAAAACGAAACAATACGGGTGCTTCTTTACGGTAGCCCCTGGAGGAAGCGTAACAAGTGCTTACCATAACCGATAAAGCCTATCAGCATCAGTAAACGGTGCGGAGAGCAAAGATCAAAGATTATTCCGCTACTTAACTGCTAATCGATCGCAATGTCGCACACGGAATTCCAGACGGATTACGCGATCCAGCGCAACCACGGAAGCATAAAATGTCACCACGAAGAAGCTGTGTTACCTTCAGTCTCTGATGAGTTGCAATTTTAAGTCTCCAAAATCGCAATAATGCCACTCAAACAGAACCAAAGATAATACAAGCACTCTTCAAATTGAAAAAACTCCCTCCACTCCAGCAACAATTCCAGCCCAAATAAACGATTATCCGTAAACCTACAAAAAGAAAGTCTGCTAAAAAGACATTCAAAAACCGCTAAAACGCTGCAAGGGTTGAAACTAAAATATACCGGTCAATACCGAAGGCCGCAGTGAAACGCAACAGATTTATCGATGCGATCGATAGTGCACACTCACTAAATTACTACTGTAACTGCAGCTGCAATCCACTTTCCTCTGCTATTAGGCGACTGCGCTCATTACAGCTAGAAACCTAATCATTAAAATGCCAAAACCAGACAAAACCCTAGGACTTTAATCATTCTAATACCAGCATCCATAAAGTCAACCCAATTTGCGAACGATACAAAATTGATAAATCACCAACCTGTATCTATGCTAGTACTAATCAGAATGCAGAATTATGGATTTTTCGAAGAAAGACGGTACCGGCGATGGATTAACGAAACGAAAATGCTCACACAAAAACAGCCAAACAATCCATTTCATCTGCGAGACAGCAACAGGTTGCAGTGCACGAACAAGAAGACCAGTAAAATAATTTCAATTTCTAAAAGAAAGCCAACACGACAATACTTACGCACAGCAGACGTGTTCCGCCCCTCCTCACATTACAGCGGCGCACCAGCCGCAGCAGGCAGCCATTAACCTTCAAAAAAGCATTTGCATACGCGTCGCGTCTAAACAATGGCACTGATAGAAATCTTCACCCGTGGCCGCGGCAGCAAAAAAAGGTCATAATATCAATCTGGCAGCCACTGTGCAGCGATTTGCCGAGCAGACGCATGTGCGCACCATATAGCACGGTAAAATGCCCTATCAACACGTTGCAACCTTGACTCGGGGTACAATTGCATTCTCACTAACATTATGCCACATGGCGGCTGGAAAATGGGAGAAGCCTCGCAATTACCTGCGCATCATAGCGAACCAGTTGTCTTTGGTCTTTTCACCATGTACTTCCATCTGCAACAAAGAACATTAAGCATAAAGCCCAACACAATGCAAAATTATTTCGGAAAAGCAGGAAAATCAACGACAAAGGAGGAAATGTGAGCGTGGGAAGTGAGCTATCTGGGCGACAGACTGACCAAGGTCATTCGCTAGGTTTACGAGCATTCGCTACAGGTAATTAAACACAGTGCAGATGAAAACGGGAAAGATCGATCAAATGCAAATAAACGATTAGCAGCCATTAAAATATCCTAGCGCTTGATGTTTACAACTCGAAAGAAACGTTCAAAAACATTTTAAGGAATTACGTTACAGAAGGAATAAGCAACGAAATTGTGGAACAAAATGTTTTGCTAAACTGTCATGGCGAAAACTCACCAAAGAAATTCCGGTGATGAGAAAATGGAATGCACCCGACCGACTGCGCGAAGAACGGGAACGTGGGCGAGAGCGAGATCGGAGGTGTCGGTGGACGCATTACCGCACACCGTGGTGGCACAGCCGAAAGGGAGGGCGCCGCGCGCCGCACCAAGGCAATTAAAAAGCAACAGGTACATTTTTGCCAATAAGAAAACACTGTCTGTGTCCTGGCATATGCCAGCAACCACACTTAAACGCATGAATTTTTCGGTGAAGCTCCCTCGCGTTTTGGACGGGCTGGCTGTGGCTGCATATATTGGTTGGGTACAGAAAATCATCTCTCCTATAAAGTAGTGATATGGAAACCAGTTATCATTAACAACATACCACATAAGCAAAGTGTCTACGCGGCAGTCTACGTCAAACATTCTATATTAAGCTCGAGACGGCCTAATACGCACACCACTATGGTTAATACATTTCACATACGGTGTACAAGGCAGTGCACGGGCCCTAGACAAGTACCAGCACACTTGTAAAGTGCACTATATTGCCGGTTTTCGATATGATATTTAACCGGTATTTTCTTTTTAAGAGCGCCACGGCGTTTTAGAATAGCAACAGCAATTTACAAAACGTCGTATGCTGTATGCACAACTGTACAACGCGAGCGCGTTCAGGTGGAGGGACCAGCGCGGTGGCAGAAACGCCAAGAAATACAAAATACATAAGAGAGAGTAAAAATTGACGACTTCCTGCTTGCCGATCGGATCATATCCGATTTAATCACACAGCCGACTAATACCCGTCGACATTTGAGCATACTGCGGCAACTCTCTGTTTCTGTCATCCGAATAAAATTCAATACATGCAAGTACTGAAGCAGGCCCAAAAGATACTGATGTACTGCAGTGACGCGGCTTAATTTTTTAAAAATACTGGTTTTTCTAAAAGTCAGTGCCAGCCGTCGAACAGTGCGCAATCGTGGCTTACTTTTTTTGCGGTGAAAGTTGAAAATCGTTTCCACAAGTTATAGAAATGCACGTGAAGCACAGTTTGTCAGAAACGTACTTACATACCATGCATTTTCTCACACTAACATCACATGGGAATGTGCGTTTCCATAAAAAAGCGCAACGCGCATCCAGAATCTGTCGATGAAGAATCCTTTATACAAAACAGCGAGACCGAAAGTTTTGCATACTCCACATTCGCAGGCAAATTAATAAGCCTTCTGCTCTAAAATTAAGTTTTAACCACATAGTATAGATAATTCATGCTACAAAGTTTTAATCTGGGAGTAAAGTTTTGCAGTTTCTGTGTAAATAAATGCGGTAGTTATAGCTGCAACTCAGAATCACAAAGCGAAACACCCTGCAGAGCGGTTATAAAATTTTAACTAACAATTTTTTCTAATAGCGGAATCACGGATTGAAAGCGAACATAAAGTGGTCAAATGTGAAAGTGCTTATTCGGCGAATGCAAGCGTCCGGCCATGCATATCATGCAAAATCCAGTTCAACACATTAGACATGTTATTAGCCCACATTTTATATCTTTGTGCCTGCTACGAGACGACGATTCTCGCGGATTATTTTCCTTATTGACGCAGGTGCGTCATACTTTACTACACGTTTGTCAAATCAACGACACTGCAATGGATCGAAAAAGACAAATTTCCAAAAACTACCCAGTAGACTTTGTATAGCGTTTTGGTGAATTCGTACAACTACAATTCAATAACGCGCAGCGGATAATATGCGAATTCAACAGAAAAAACCATCACACATAACAAGTTTTAAACCACTGACAAATTACAAAAAACCTCAAAATACTGTAGCTATGTGCTATCAGTGCCAGAAAAGGTACAAATTCAAAAATGCCTCATTTTACAGCAACATACTAACTTGGGAGAAAAAGAAGGTGCAGGAAATTTTATTTAGCACTAGGCAGCATTTTAGATTTAAAACAGGCTGAGTGACCAAGATCAACTGACTTCAATGCGCAAAAGCAACTGCCCACCATAATCGATAAAATTTTTTCCCGGCAAATTGCCGACAGTACTACTGCAATGTCAAGTTGTCAACGGTAAAATACAACAAATTCATTAGGCTGTAAAATCAATACAGTAGTGACAGTGTGTACTATGCGGGAAGTGTGAACTATGAGCACAAGTCAACAGGTTAAAGTAATAAAATTGTACTGCAATTCATGCGGACTATGTGAACAAATCAAAAACAAAAGAAAGCCTCTGAAAGGACAGTATGAAAACTCCTACCAAAATTATTTGCACCTGCTTCAACCTTAACCGAATAAAATGTCAGGAGAAAGAAAACCATGCTTTTTTGCTTATTGGCTTACCGTGATCTGTGATGGGTACGATCATACGAAGCAGTGAAAAGCATTGCGCATTGTTTTCGTCCGTCGTCTAACGCCCGAATGATTAGAATTATTTTCAAACTCAAACTCCAAAAATTGCCGCAGCACTGAAAATGTAACACAGAAGTTGTGAAGTAGAAATACCTATATCTATATAAGCAATACGACTTTCAATCTGCGAAAATTTCAACACCGACCCTTTCATAGTTTCATTAACTAATGTAAGTAATTTTATACACACATCCTGTGGTGAAGCACAGCTGTAATACGAATAAATCTAACGTAAACAGTATCTCTTACCAGTAAATCAAAAATAAAAACGAAAAGCAGGAGATCGATGCACGTTGTCCGAAGCAAAGCATGCCTTTGCAACTACAAGTATTTAATATCAGTATTGCAACTTTAAAATTTTCCACCTACAGTAGTGGCAGTAAGGGGATCTTAAAGTCATGGATCCAAAACTTTGACAAATGTTCCGCAAAAAAAACTAAAAAAAACAACACTTTGAATTGAAGTAGTACTCTTTTTCAACCAAAAAAGTTAAAACATGTTTGGGCCTGCTTCCATTATTTTCCCAGCTCGTACTGACGAAATTCCATTTTCTCTATAGCTGTTTGCTGTTAGCTAGTGAACAGGAGCATACCAATTCCATCATATCAGAAAGTCCATTTCCGATTCCGCTGCGATCAGCTGGCAGGCGGCAGCCTAATGGTGGCAGATTATTTTCAAAACTGATCCAGTTTGTTGTTAATTGTTATAAAAATTAATTAAATTTATATATTATAAAAAGTTTCTAGATATTTCACTGATATTTTTTGCTCTTCCTGATTTTCCGATTTTACAAAAAAAAAATTTCAGCCGCAAGCAGTTCTTACACTTCTTGCGATGCTCGATTTTTGGATCGAGAGCATAAACGTGGCTTTTCTTACAACTTCCTATTGCACAGACTACAAACTGTATAATTCTAATTGAAGGTACTGCAAATAAACCGGTAAAATTTATTTGGCCAGCCTTAACAGAACATTAGAAACGAAACGCAGTAGTCAATAATCTCTCGCAAAAGATCAACAGATAATCCAGAGTATACTTCTACTCGTATAAATTAATATAATCATATTTTTATAAACTTTCATGAGATGTAACAGTTGCACAGCAAATTGATCACAAGGAAAATTTCACACTCGGAATCAGGACGGAAGATCCGTAATGTCACTAAAAGTAATCACTATCATCCAAAATCAGGCTAAATGGCAGGAACATAAATTAATGGACGCGGAACAGCTGAATTAGGAATGCAGCCGATTCTTGGTTCATACATACAAATTCAACTGGAGAAGTTATCCAGATTTGATTGGAAAAATCATCCGCTCTTCACCGTCAGCTGCGGAATTCCTGAGAATTATTCGAGATATCGGAAATGCCTTCCTTGCTCGGTAAATTTTCTTTCGCGGCGCTGTCCAACGGGCGCGTGAAAAAATCCTGACTGCAATACTTCGCATATTCCGGTTTATCCAGTTCATCGTTGGCTTTGCGGATATCATCTTTAATAGCAGCAATGAGTTCATCTAGACAAAAGAAAACAGAACAATTATCGCTTCATAAAGCGGAACTGATAACCATTTCTAACCATCATGGCAATCGGAAATTTGTAATTAATTTGCATATGCGCAACGAATAGCATTAAGATTGATTCAGCCAATTGTGACGGTGATTTACCTAACGATGTAAAACTCGTCATAGGACGAATATATCCAAGAACAGCCACGCGCAGCGTACTACCGTAAAAATCCCGTGAAAAATCTCGCAGTATATGAGTTTCCTGGAATAATCACTGAAAATCAGTCAAATGCCAGAGCAGGGACACCCAGCGGATAGTCAGCCTACCATAGTTTTAAGTTGATTATGAAATTGAGGATTCCATCCGACACTCAACACCATGCGATCCACGGCGCCTGCGTCAACACTGGCCAGGCCGAAGTACACGCCGTTTTCCATCTCTAGAGGCAGTTTTTTGACGACTTCATCGGTGAAATTAGCTGCAATATGTTAAACTGAGTCTGTAAACTGTAAAATCGCCAATCGTCAAAATGAAGTCAGCTGAATTTAGACAGGAACACTCCTGGAACAGTTAGCAGCGCAAGCAAATGGTACCTGTTGGAATTCCCAGCTCCTTGCTTCCTCGGCCAAATCCCCGCACCACCTGCCCCTCCACCATAAGAGGCAAGAAGGCTAATCTCTTCAAACACATGATCGGTTCCGTTTTAGGCAGCAAATCAGAACGGAATGCTTTCACACACTGCTGCTGGTATCACTGGAGTTCAAAACCAAACTTAAAACAGTACGCAATACTGCGCAGTACTCAGCCAACTCGCTGTGTCCCAAGAAAACAAAACAGCAGTTCTCCTCATCCACACAAACTATGAAGAGGGAGTATCAGAATCAGCAAATTCCACATTGAACTTTGAACAACTTAGCACTACTTCGAATTACTGACGTGAAATTAGTAAGTACCACAAATGAGTACTGTTGCCAACAAGCCTTTTATCCTCATGAGAGACCCACAAGATAACTCTTTACCAAAGAAAACAAATGCACAACAATATGGCAGTGTAAGATACGTTTAATGACATAATCTAGGACTAAGGTAGAGCTTTGGAATACCTAAATAATAAAAAATTTTGATCAAATTTTTCGCATTTCACCAATTTTTGATACGATCAAGCCATGACGCAATAGTCTTTCCGGTGCAGCGCGATGCACTTCTGCGCGATGTGCAAATGTAAACGACATGCCCGCGTAGTGGCAGGGCATGGAACACGGTGAGCTGCGGTACAATCCATCGAACAAGCGAATTTGCACCCGGATGCTGAACTCTTTTAACCGACTTCCGTTTGGAAGCGTTATCCGTTATCGCAATCCTTTCGAAATCCGCGAATGTTTTCATTGTTTTGGCTTTTGTTTTGATTTCACTCATTTCAATTTTGAAATACTGGAGCCACAGCTTTTTTATGGGGACCTACAATTCCGCTTGGATGTTTCGCATTTTTGTAACGTGATTTTATAGTTTTGTCCGGGGGAGGACCGGAGGAGTAGTAGGGCTTAAAGTTGACGCAGAGAACTTGCGCGACAAGATCTAACAAGCTGATTCGTTTAAACCTTACAGGCCTTGCGGCCCTTGCTTGAATTATTTTGATAACTGCTGAGGAGCTTTGTAATTTTTTCTTTGCAATGGAGGAAATGTATAAAAACAGCGTTCCCAGTTCCTCGTCCAAATGGAGTGCATCTTCCCCGTTCCGTTCTCCAGTCTCATACCATACTCGGCGCAACAGGCAGAACCAAGAAGAAAGTCCGTTGACATTTGGCACTCCCGCTCGGCCTCCAAAATTCAACCACGAGAGTATGCAATCCGCCGCAGCCATTGCGTCGGCCTTGAAAGACGGTTATGCCAGTATGCCATCCATTCCTTTTGCGCTGATCGAGGAAAACCGATCCTCCCCAATGAATCGTATACAGCATCAGCTGAAACAGGCGCACGGGCGAATTGGACTGCTGGAACGAGAATTGACCGAGTTAGAGCAGCAGTATGATGAAAAAGGTTAGCTAGCGATCGTCGGTTTTTAGACGGTTAATTTTCACTTTAAACTTTCAAGCCAATATCCGATTTTGAGTAAATGAAATGTCTTTAGCTCATCTGCGCAATAAAAAAATTTATTGTGTTACAACACCACTTGGTGACCAAGTGGTGACCAATTGGTCACCAAGTGGTTGCTTGTAAAATTGAATTTTCAAGCTGAAGTAATTTAAGTTACTACTAATTTATTTTATTTGATATGTATTATTTTTTTGTTAAGAATTGAGTTATCAAAATTTTAATCTCAGAGGAAACGTTTACCATCAAAACAACAAATTTTGTTTGATTTAAATTTTAATGGCAGTATTTGCCTATATCGTTTTATACTGCGGCGTAATTTCTGTACTATTATTATGATGATATGCTGTATATAGATAATCTTGGCATGCACTGTAATGTAGGTAACGAACTGGAAAAATGCCGTGCCGAGTTGAAGGAAAATTCTGTCCGCTTGCGCGAGACTACATCCAGTCGCGACGCTTTTAAGCGTTGCACCGAGGAGCTCAGTCAGCGCACGGGAGAGCTGGAAAAGAACAAAGAGGCACTGGAAAGCAAGTTGGCCGAACTGGAAGAAAAATGTCGAAAAGAGAAGAACGCGTTAAGCCGGCAGATTCAGCACTTGGCTAGCGTAAATCAACAGTTGCAAACGGATTTCGACAAGCAGACCGAAACACTCAAAAGAGGCAAAGAGAAGCAAAAGGCTATGTCGGCTACAATGGAGAGCTTGCAGAAAGGACTGGATGCACTGAGTGCGGAAGGCTATAAATTGAAAGATGAGAAAGCCTTTTTGGAAAACAGCGTTATTAATTCACGGGCAGTGTTTGATGCCAAGGAAGCTACACTGCGGGAGGAAATGGAGCGGCTTCGCGATGAACTGAATAGCGCCAACCATTGTCTGCTACACTTAGGTAATTGATTTTAAATTTAATAGTCTGATTAATCCTTTAGTGCAAATTTTACCAGTTGTACAATGCTCGTATACAAACTGCACAAATTTACACAGACTGAACAGATTTACACAGATGACAGCGTTTTATGTGCATCTGGATCATGCTCATGGTATTGCTTATTGCAGTCACATTTGCGTTAATTTCTGTTGTGAGTTTATTTATTATTTTTAGTAAGTCGTTGTGTATTTTGTTTAACAAGCAGCAGGCAAACCGTAGCTGAAAAATGACAACAGTGTGCTTGTACCAAAGTACAAGCACAACGTACATATTACTATTGTACATGCACTTCCTGGCTTTCTTCTGAAATTAACGTGACGTATTTTTGGTGGTTATTGTTGCTGTGTTTAGCGCCGGTTAGCACGCTCAGGCAGCATGATTAATTGAAATTGGTTATATTTTATGCAGGAAATACTCTCGCTTTGCAAAAAATGGAGCTCGAATCGGCAGTGGCTGAACTCAGTGAATCTCGCGAAGCCCAGCAACATCTCGAAGAATCGCTGGCTGCCAAATCGGAAGAGTGTGGCGTTATTCAGGTATTTATTACTTCGTGCGACAATTTGGATGTGAAACCGAAACTGAATGTAGATGTTTTGTAGGATTTGATAAGCACATTGCAGTCGAAATGTGATAAAGCTGACCAGGTTTGTCGATGCTCTTCATTTGCATAAAATCCTGCACAATCTTGAATAGACAACGAGTGTTGCTGCTTGCCGATGAATTTTTTTAAGTGTGTGTTGGTTTAGGAGTTAATGGAGTTGCAAAATCTTCGGAATGAACTTACTGAAAAGGATAAACTGCTGCTTTCGGTCAAAGAAGAAGTTCTCGTGAACAAAAAGAATTTTAGCGATGTTCGCGGAAATTTGGCAGCGCTTAGTGAGTACAATAAATAATGCAATTGACTTATCTGTACAACATATGGTATTGGTGTTTATTCGGCGAATTTTTACGACTCACTGATTTTTGCTTCGCAGATGAGGAACTTGCTACTCGTGACAAGGAACTAGAGGAACTGCATCAGCTCAATGAAGTTTTGACTTCCAACTTGTCGGAAAAATCAGCGCTCTTCGATGAGATTCAGGTAAATCGTCAATATCATAGAAAAAAGGATGCCCATAGTAAAATGTAGCGCCAGTATCATGGACTGTGCTTCTTGTACATATACGTTGGTTCTGCCGTATAATATCAGCGGTTTAATTCGTGTCAGGCGTCGTATGCTGAGAAGAACGCTGCTCACGAAGAGATGCAGATAAAATACGCGGAATCCTTGGCTGAAGCTGACGAACTGGCAAAACAAGTGGATATGATCAAAGGAAACACGGAAGCCGAAATGAAGCACTCAGCTGGTTGGAAAGAACAGTTGGATTTGCTGTCCAAACAAAAAACGGATTTGGAACTGAAATACAAAGTGCTGGAAGAGCGCTATGACCACAAGATATCCACTCTTACGGACACGATTTTACAGCAGATAAATGAAAAAGATTGCCTTCGCGAAAAGCTATCCCGTGCTCAAGATCAGATTGCCGGTCAGTAGTTCGTTGTTGGTTTGCAGGTGTAGGACTTAAATGACGAGCAGCTCGCTTTTTTGTTTAGTATACTGTATAATACGTAAATAAATATGCAAATAAATAAATAAATACATCGAAATATGCATTTATTTCTTAGCGCTAATGACGCTCACTATGAAACCAGAGGTCACCGATCGTGGAACGCAGTATGTAAACGAAGCTTACAATGACGACGATTCTTTCAGGTTAGTTAGTTAGTAAAGTATTTTCTGCTCTTTGTAAAGTACAAACAGTAGGAAAAGAATTTAAATTTTGTGGTAGAATGAATATTCGTGGCTTTCTGTCTTGGTACGCATCTTGCGATGATGTCGAAACGCACTTGCAGCTGATAATCGGTTTTACGGCGTTCTCTCTCGTAACAGCGTTAGCATCAATGAACTGCATGTGCTCCTGCACGCAGCCGTGCATTCATAACTATGCATCACCAAGCAAAAATTTTAAAGAAATGTACTAGAGCTTGCTTGTAGTCGTTACGAGCGAGCGTTACTTTTGAAGTTTTGTATTTGGATATCAGCATATGTACTAGTGTGTGCGTTTTTAATGTTTGTGGGTCATCTGTTGACTTTGTAGTATTCCGATTTTTGACAATACTTCTACCCAGTTGCCTCCTTCCCCACTACCATCGGTTCAGGGCTCTGACTGGTACTTTGCATATACTTATATTATATTTGGTTATCTGTTATTTTTTCGTCCGGTAACGACGTAACGCGATAATTTCGCTGTCAAGGTCTCCAGCCGGTAGTGTTCCTCGCTCTAGGCCGAGAACTGCTCTGTCAGCTTTTCCTCCCGCAGTCGAAGCCGACTCAGACATGGTTTCCACTATTATTCCAATTTCCATCACTGTTCCCAATCCGGTGATGAACTCGCCCGTACTCCTTGCTAAAAATTCGCCAAACGGTTTTGTTCCAAAGGAACCAGTCAGTTTGCGTAAGTAATTGTCCATGCATCGGTATTTGTTATACTTACAAATCGCATAAATGTTGTTCCACAACAGTACATGCAAAAAATCTACGAAGCCTTGCAGACTGTGTTCAGAATTTGGTTTTTGTGTTCGCAGCACCTTTCCGTTATAACCAGTCCGCTGCTGATCGCCGCCGGGAATTAGAGCAACGAAATGCGAAATTCGCACCACATTTGCGATCTTTCTATCCGGGTGAGGCCACCTTGTTGCACCCTGAAATGGACAGCGAGTCACCGGATAGTACGAGTTACGATTCGTTGTCCAGTATTCCATCGGTAATCACCATTGATAATCTTGTTGTGGTCCATGATAATAATCGTATTAACAACGACTATGGAAATCTTTCCAGTAGTTGTAGTATTAATTTTGTGCCTTTCCAGAAATTTACTTCCCAAAGAAAATGTCCATCCGCACAATGCCGCTGGAAATATGCCGGTGTTGGACAACGACTTGTCGTATTCATCCGCTAGCAGTTCGCAGCCAACTCAGAATAAACCCGGCTTTTTGAGCCGACTCAAAAGAAACCTGACGAATTCGGCAGTCAAGGCATCATCCAGTAAAGCGCTTAAACCGAAGAAGTCGTTCCGGTTGGGAAGCATGCGCAAGAAATCATCTAGCTCCAAGTCTCCCGTAGATTCTCCCATATCGGCTGTAAGTGTGCGTTTTTTTGGCTACCGGAACAGTTGTTTCAGTTCGGGAATCGATTAGCACTAAACTGTTTTGCATTCTGCAGCTGCGAAAGAAACGCCCGGCTCCAGTCAAATTTGAAATACCTAATACCCCGGTCTCCATGAAGTTTCCATCCAAGAAAGTCAAACCGTTGTGATGAAGCTGGCCGTGCCCTATGAATGCGGATGGTAGAATGCACATTACTGAACAGATTCCAGACTGTACAATTGCGTGTAAATGTTATTACTTTAGTTCTCATAGTTCGTGGCCGTTTTGGTCGATACTTATTTTGATGTGTATTGAAAGTTTTAAATTTAATTACCGCATTTTTAGCTGCTATTCAAGCACAAGTTTTACATTTAAAATATGCATTGATTAAGCGATCTAATTGGTCTTGTACAGTTGTGGGTTTGTGGAACCTCTGATTAATTAATTCGCTGAAGTCTTTTGACTGTTCGAAGTGTGTACAACAGTTGCAACACGCCGGTTTCTTGTCAAGTAAATAGTTCTGCATCAACCCTGTATTCTTCAATTGACTTAAAATCTGAAACGAAGTTTGTGTAATGGAACGCGAAACTTTAATCACGGTCATAAAACAGAAATAAAAGCTTAAGCGAAGCACTTAAAACGTAGGTAAGCGTTTTTTTATGAAACAGACTACCGCTACCGGCATCATCCACGAGAATGATCGATACCGTGCAGCAGCACCTGGATCGAAAAATTTAAAAAAGCACAGGAGCTGAATCAAACAAGCCGCATCCAGTCGTATACAACAGTGTAACGTTTTATACGCGCATAACCTTGCCATGTCAAAACAAAACGCTGGAATATAACGAACGTGTGTGTAAGAAAACCGCGTACAAAAAGAGATGTGGCATCCGATCCGTAGTAAAGCCCATCCAAGACAGCTCATGCACAAGAAATTACTACAACTGATTAAACTGCCAGAGACGTTATTAAAACAGCGCAGCACACACTTATTTCTTCTTTCCAGTGGCTTTTTCGGCGGCCTTCGTTACTTTGCCACTCGAGGCTTCCTTCTTCTGGACCTCCTTGATCACACCCACAGCGACCTGCAAAATAAGATGATCAGCATTAAGCAATTCAGAAATAATTACGACAAATTCAAACCATATCAGTAAAAAAATATTTCTAGTCTTACCGTCTGCCTCATGTCTCGCACGGCAAAACGACCAAGGGGAGGATAGTCTGAGAAAGCTTCGACGCACAAAGGTTTGGTAGGTACTGCAAATCAACCACATCGTTACAACCGGAAACTCAACCTTTCAATATACACAAGAAACTTACTAAGGTTTATGATGGCGGCATCACCAGACTTAATGGCTTTGGGGGCTTCCTCGGTGGCCTTGCCGGTACGGCGATCACATTTCTCCTTGATTTCGTTAAACTTGCAGGCGATGTGCGCGGTGTGGCAATCCAACACTGGCGTGTATCCGTTGCGGATCTCTCCAGGGTGGTTCAGCACGATCACCTTTATAATAAATATGGATATATAGTCTGCTACACAATATGCTGTATAATTCATTCGTTAGCCCTTAGCAATCTAAAAGTGTTAATTACCTGAGCATTGAAGGAGGCGGTTTCCTTGGGGGGATCGTTCTTGGTGTCACCGGCCACGAAACCTCGGCGGATTTCCTTCACGGACACGTTCTTAATGTTGAAACCAACGTTGTCACCAGGCACGGCTTCCTGGAGGGCTTCGTGGTGCATCTCGACAGACTTAACTTCAGTGGTCAGACCAGTGGGGGCAAAAACGACGACCTAAGTAGAGGCTGGCGATAAAACAATAATCGACGCCGTGATTCTGAATTACACACTCACCATGCCAGGTTTCAGGACCGGTCTCAACACGTCCGACGGGCACTGTACCGATACCACCAATCTTGTACACGTCCTGCAGGGCAGACGGAGGGGCTTGTCAGTGGGGCGAGACGGCGGCTGCACTTGGTCAAGGGCTTCCAGCAGGGTCTTGCCGTTGATAGTCTTTCCGTCGCGCTCAACCTCCCATCCCTTGTACCAGGGCATCCTGTCGCTGGGCTCCAACATGTTATCTCTGTAAACACACCATTGATTCTCTGGCTAAACAAAACGAATTAACGACGGTTAGCTTACCCGTGCCATCCGGAGATGGGGACGAAGGGGACCTGCTTGGGATTGTAACCGATCTTCTTGATGTAGCTCTGGACTTCCTTGACGATTTCGTTGAATCGCTCTTCCGAGAAGGGAGGCTCGGAGGAATCCATCTTGTTAACGGCCACGATCATCTGCTTGACACCCAGGGTGTAGGCCAACAGAGCGTGCTCGCGGGTCTGTCCGTTCTTGGAAATGCCGGCTTCGAACTCACCAGGACTGGCAGGCGTCACCAAGACGGCCACATCAGCCTAATGAATAATTACGTATGTTTATTCAATACTCAGATATGCAGCATTAAATCATGGCAAAATTTCCCAAATCGAAGCCTCAGTTTTTACCTGAGATGTTCCGGTAATCATGTTCTTGATGAAATCACGATGGCCTGGGGCATCGATGATGGTGATGTAGTATTTTGGTGTTTCGAATTTCCAGAGAGCTGCAACCGAAAAATCCGGAATTAAGCAATGGGAACGAAATTAGAAAATCAGCAGGCGATTAATACACGAAGAGCGCTGGCTTACCGATATCGATGGTGATACCGCGTTCACGTTCCTGCTTGAGTTTGTCCAACACCCAGGCATACTTGAAGGAACCTTTACCCATTTCCTGAGCTTCCTTCTCGAACTTTTCAATGGTACGCTTGTCGATACCACCGCATTTGTAGATAAGATGTCCTGTAATCGAAAACAGTCCAGTAAGCGCTGACGCAAGAACTCAGGGTTCTTGGGTTTTAGCTAAAGAGTTCCTACCGGTGGTGGTGGACTTTCCGGAATCGACGTGTCCGATGACGACGATGTTGATATGAACTTTCTCTTTACCCATTTTGGATCTGCGGAGACAAAATAATTTGATATGAAGTCAAATGCGACATGTTTACTCAAATAAGAAAATGATATGAAGACCTCACTGGTTTACAGACGCAGTGACAAACCGTTAAACATAAGCTGCTTCCGTTCAAGGGTAACTTTCACAACAGATATTTTAAGAATTACTATAAACAGTTATTTTCAGCACAATAGAGAATACAGAATTCTTTAATCTGATCCAGTTAGCAAGGCCAATATGGCCGATTAGACTGGAAGAACCCGGCTCGCCGCAATCATTTCAAGGCTCTAGCAGACTAGCTTCATCAAAACCGATTGGCTAGTGCACTATGACAAACCGGTTATGATTCATTGATTCAAATGAACTATGAACCGGATTGGTCGACTGCACAGAATTCTACGAATCGTTGCAGGCACCGACGGCGAAGCTTCTGCACATGCGGCTCCGCACCATGCCACAACGTGGCAGCCGATGGAAGAAAAATCGATGAAATCATTCAGAAACCCTAATGGGTTTCACGAAAGATTTCAACGAAATCAGAGGGAATAAAAAATAAACAGCTTCAAAAACTGTTCTTTAAACTAACAGGAAAGACGCTACTGCACATTCATATTTTTCAAACATTTTTTAAACGAGATTTTTGAATTTTAAACCTTTTAATGTTGAAACTTCGAAGAAACCCACCTCAAAGAAACGTTTTGTAAAACAAAGATTATCAATCTACCTTTATATAGTAATTTCAACAGTTTTATTTAACATTAAATTGATAAAAGTTAACCGCATCCCAATACGAAGCCGGTTAAGCTTTCAGAATCCTTGACAAAATTGAAGTTTCCTCGTTTCAGTCTTATCCGCATAAACCGGTGAATAACAGTCATTTCTACTAACACAATTTTTTTAACACCTATCCACAATTAAAGCGTTAAATAATGTTAGTTCTCTTACCTGAGTAGATTTCGGGAACTTTTTTTTGGAAGGAAGACAGAAAACCGATGAAGTTCGCTTCACACGCAGTTGATGTAGCTCGTAGCAGAGGCAAACGCCGACTAAAATGGAAAGACGTGCCAGCCAGTGAAGCAAGGAGGCTTTCAGCATGCTTTTTCTGCATTATCATAGAAATCGTGGCACCGGTATTCCGATTGGCGGAAGCGCAGGAATCAGGCGGGGTTACCTTGAACTACTGCTGAGGGCGGCTTATGCTGGCAGTTTCACCCAGAAAGTTTCCGTATTCCCGGTGCTAGTATTCCCAAACAAAAGCAAGATTTAAAAATGTTTTCTTTAGTTTTTTCTAAGATTTTTTAGTTTCATTTTATGGTGGAAAGATTTTACTAATTTCAAAATTAGCAAGTAAACGAAAACCGGCTACATATGTGGCCCACAGCGCCATCAGTTTAAGTGTCGTAAAATTGGCTGCGTCCACTTTTAAGGCGCTCCACTCTGGTGATTCACGAATGACTCGACCACTTCGTCTGGAATGCAAACCAAAACTTCAAAACTTAACATGTCACCAAATTAAAATTTTCCGTTTTTCAAGACTTTCAAAATTTCTTCGACGTTTCTCCAACGGTTAAAATGTTTTTTTATTTAATTCAAAGCTGAAGAATCGCTCTGGGTCTCTAGTGGTTATCAGGGATTAGATCTGGTTTATCTAAACTCTTGAAATATTCAGCGTCGTCAGGTAAGCAGTGCTTTCCACTGAATTGACTGCCAACGGTGTTTCCAGTTTACTGTTTACAAAACAGGACTCTCGGATCGGCGTATTTTTTTGGAGTTGTTTGAAAAATAAAAAAGTTCTATTATTTTTGTAAACTAACAATGAGCTGATTAAAGGGATGTTGAATAAGTCATATACGGAACGTGACGGATAGCCTAAACTGAGATCACGATTTCGCTTTTCGGACATATATTAAACTGGAATCTGTCCACTTCGCTCATTCTAGCTTTTCTATGTCACCGTATATTAAAAATCTTTGGCGTACACCATCGGTTTGATCTTTTGTGCTTCAGATTAATCGATATTTTATATAAGCATGATGGTGAAAATGTCCTTTTCAGAGTTATCAATCAATATGGCTGTTAATCGTCACACGAATGGACATTCACCGTAGTGGCCGATATTGCACCATTTTTCATGCCTCGTCCATTCTTTGCCAGCACGCCCAGCAATTTCCCATCTGCCACGGTTGTGATTATTCAGAATATGGCTACCGCGGAGAGACTGGTTATGGATATTTCAGCTTCTTTGACTTGAGAGCAAATAAACTGCAGTTTCTGCTGTGCCATTTCCACGTTTGAACGGCATCGAAATGGAGCAACAAGTGTTGTGAACGGAAAATACAGCTAATTATGCGCCTTTATGGGACTGGTCAAACTGGATTTCAAACAAATAGCCGGTATGGTCATTTTATTGTTGTGGAGGCTGTGTGGTTCTAAACTTTTTAAGTGATTCTTAAACCGTTTCTAAATACCTCGGGATTTATGAACTGATTTGCAGTGCGCGTGTTTAGTTAGATTTGAAAGCACACGAGTTACTGTGAATGCTAGTTGGAATGCTATATATTTTCTCGATGCAGAATTCATCTACGGAAGTTTTTGTTTTTTCACATTTTGCTGTCCGTTCTTTTTTTAAATTGGCACGTTGCTTGTAAAATTTTTTAAATCTTTATACTTCGATTTCATCGAGTACTACTGTAAAGATTGTGTTATGTTAGCTGCTGTTAAACAGCCAATAAAACGTTAACTGTTTGAACCAGTCGTTTAGGTTTCGAGAACATTTAAATTGTGCATATATGCAGCTATTGTTTTTGTACTGTTCATTGATGATTTTGAGATACTGTGTTTTACGTGTTTCTAATTTTTATTACTGGCAAGAGACCTCAACAGTTTACTGTAATTTTTGGCATGTGTAATTCACATTGACTAATAACTAAACTTACATAAACCTTCTACTTTTGCAGATTTGCAGAATTTAGAATTAGAGTTTTGTCTCGATGACTTTATGGATAATTTATCTACTGCTGCTGTACAATACTCCTCTACCGCGTGCGATTTAATGCTTTTATGGTTAGCTGTGTTTTGTAGATTTATGCATTGCGAATACTTAGCGTACTGTAAGTGAACAAAATTGTATTCTTGACTTTACAATCGTCAGGTTAATTTATGATTGATTGTTTTGGTATTAGAAGACTTTTGTACCTCGGGGCGTGTTTGTCTCTAGTGGATCTTCAGGATTTTAATCAAAGGCTAAACCGGAAGCGCTCAAGATCTACCAAACTTTTATCGGCCTGGTACTGACTTTAATGGCCGAAATTACAAAGCGTCGCAAAACGAAAAGATGTGTTGTTTCCAGAAGCTTGCAACAGTACGGCATCATTCCCCCTGGGAGCACGCTACCGTCCGCCACTTGGACCGGCTTCCGTTACCGTAGTGTGGCTGAATGATCACCTGACAATGGACTGAAGAGCGGTAAGTGTGTGCTCGTCAATTCATGGTTAATCAATTCTCGAGTCTTTCCATCCCCGGATTTTTGCGCGGGTGTCGGCATTGTAATTGTAATTTGTATCCGCGCAGTACCGGCGTTACAATATGTACGGTGCGTTTGAGTGTGTTGAGTTGATCAGTAAATAAAACTTTTTAAACTAGGCTACTCGTTCAGCTCGAGATACTGTTAACATTAGAGACAGCAATCCTCGGCAACGGCGAGGCCGCGGTTCATTGACTAGCTGACTGATTGACTGCAAGAGTGGCCATTTGACAGACGGTGGCTTGTTAAATGCTACTGCGTTGTAGGATTTTTCGTCCCCGCAATTGCCGATCGCGGTAGTAAATGTACACGATTCCGCACCAGGCGCATTAATGTAAATCCTAATTTTCGTACTGGGCCCGTCAGTTATATAGTGCGGTTTGTGCCGGTATCGGATTGAGTGTGAGAGTACTGGAAGATGGTGATTCCATTTAGTGTGGCGGAACACTTACGAGTTACGATGATGTCCGCGGCCTACTTTCTTAATTATGTGTGAATTGTACATGGAGGACTGTGTGGTGTGCATTTATCATTGGAGATGATCGAGAATTCTGAGTGATTGTTGGGATGTGTGCTTTAATTATTTTCTTGATGGGGTTATCGTTTGCGTTGGCGGATGAGATCTGTACTGTTTAAGTGACTATCTTTGCCGATGATTCCTGAAATAGAGAGGTATTGTAGACTCCTCACTGTAATTGACACGATTTTTTTTCACACTTCCCATCGATTATTTTTCCATTTCGGCTTTTTGTCGATTTTATTGATTTTTCAGTTTTTCCATGTTTTCGCCAAAAATTGTTCGTAAGAATCAATAGACTGCGCTGGTTTGGTTTTTGTGTCCGCTTTTGATTGTGAAATTACTACTTTGTAATGATTCTGACATAATATGATTGAAGTGTCAGTGGTTTATCAAATCGCATCGTGCAGTATATCGTCTACAATTTGCTAAATTTCTGGTTTGTTGCGAGATGGTTTTGCATTTTATGTTAGCAACACAATGGATGCTGGAACATCACGGTGCACACTGCATAGTTAAGCGTTTAATATTTAGGAGCGTTTGTTTTGAGCATTTCCATGTCTGCAGTTTCTGTTTAAGAAATGTACGTATAACTGAAAAAAGCTTTCGCAGATGTTGTAGGTATGCGCAATCGCTGTATTATGTCTGCGACTTGTGGTTTCCGATGTTGTTGTGATCGACGCGTCTTGACAATAAAAACAGCGCGTAAACTGTTTGCTTTTCATCAGGTCCGCGCGTGTTGATTGGCGATACATGTGATTGAACAACATGAACATGTTTAGTTGCTGGTCGTAGGAAGTGTTTATATATCAATACATTTTGCATGTGCATTTCAGTAACGATATGTTACGCGTTGCGTGTTGTCAGATGGTCGCGCAGCACACAACTCTGTTACGTTTAGGATTTTGTTATTTTTGGACTTTGATGAAAATGGTCGGACATTAAGATTGGCCGATGAAAGTGAATTTTTAATGTTACAGCGATTAAGTTTTTTGGCTTGTCCGAATGTTTATAGCCGAAGCGCAAAAGCGCTATATATTCCATTTCTCATTATGCTTTATCAGCTGAATATCCATATTTATATGGGTTTTATGGCCTTGTTTCCTTTTATTATCGGCACTGTACAAATACGGCGTTTACGTGCTTGTAGGGTGTACAGCACGTCGGGAGAATGACTGCTTGAACTTCAGCCATCGACAGTCGCAATTATTTAAGAGGGGAAATGTCAACATTGTGAAATGTTTGCTGTCTGATCGTTGTTGGACGGACGGACGGACGCGTGGTCTTCTGGAGCGCTGCCGGGATGGATGCCTTTATCATCACCGAACGGTTGCTGTGTAAGAGGGGAACAACTGTTTCGTGTGAAGTGGAATGGATGGGAAAATGATTGGTCTGTGTGTGTGCGTTTGCAGTGCTTGCTTTTCCGGAAGACATGGTGGATAATGTCTACCGGCCGGCCATCAAACAAATATCGCAACAATTACACAACAAACATGGCGATCATGCGCTCATTATGAATGTCTCCGAACCCCGGGCCGACATCATACGTCTCAATCGAAATGTGAGTTATGCCCAGATTATTGGATGTAGTACGGAATTATAATCTCCACTTCGTCGCCTTAACGCTGTGGAATGCATGTCCTTAGCGAAGAGAAATTGCACTTTATTTTAGCTTTTTGATTTTGGAAGGCTTTTCTTGTAAATTTGATCCTGGTTTCTTTGACTTATCTGTATTGAATGACATTCAAAATTATCAAAGAAACAAATAAGTTTGAAGAAATACGGTTAATTGTCAAATTGTCGTAAGGTGTTCTGTTAGACAGAACGTATTGAGATCATATATCCGTAGCTGTGAAGGTTTACCTATATGATGTAGGTGTAACTTGTGAGTACCTGAGTAGATCGGCCATCTTTCGAACAAACCTCCATAAATAAAAAATTTTATGGGTATTATTATTTTTCGGAAAATGTTTCGCTTTTATTTTTAAAAGAATTGCTTAAAGCTCTTCTCTTTATCGAATAGCTGAAAGTGTATAAGTCATGGTTGTTTAATTCCTACAAGACGTGAGACGACTGATACATTTCTAAACTTCAAAAATTGTCTTTGAAGGTTATGGATTTTGGCTGGCCGGCAAACCTTGCGCCGCCTTTGGAAAGGTTATGCAGCATGTGCAAGCAGGCGGACATCTGGATGAATGCGGATCGTCAAAGAAATGTCCTGGTTGTACATTGCAAGGTAGACGTATTTACGGTTATCATATCTCATTCAAGCGATTTGATGATTCACAGCATTTTTCGCGAAATAAGTGTTTTAATCCGCCACGGTTGTCCTAGTGGCATTGAGCTTCTTTGTTACAGCTGAGATTTATATTCTTTTTATGGGTATTAGGGTGGACTCGGTCGTGCCGCGATGATGATTGCCAGCTACATGCATTATACATCGGTGTGCGCGACGTAAGTGGGGAGTGAGAAGAATGTCAAGAGCGCAACTGACCCTTTTTGCACTGGACATTCTCACATTTTGTAGACCAAGTCAAGCGCTGGACCGCTATGCCATGAAACTCTTTTTCGACAAGGAACTCAAGCCGTACATTCTTCCGTCACAGCGCCGGTAGGTGATGCTGGTGTATTTTGTGCATATTGGATTAGCCGCTATGTCAATATGGCTTCTTTCACCTTGATCGGGTACTGTTTGCAGATACGTCCAGTATTTCAGTGGTTTATTGACCGGCTCGATACGGATCTGTAGTGAGCCGGTGTATTTGCACAATATCACCCTCATGCAAGTTCCTAATTTTGATGGGAAAGCGGCATGCCGGCCGTTGTTTAAGATCTACCAAGCGCAGGATCATCTCTGGACTTCCGATGTTTAGTAAGTTTTTCATTACTGAACATCATTGCATAGGAGAATTTTGAATTCTTTCACGTTTCGCCAATCAAAGAGCGCATTCTTGTGGTTAACTCGATCACTTCCGGAATTTATCTTGCCATTGTTGTTAGGATTGATTTTTCGGCAGTATGGAAATAAGGAAATGATTTGTTTCTCTTGTTAGTTCTATGTCGGAGGCGGAAGGCAGACGGATTCTCCGAGTGGAATTGCGTCCGGCATTGCAACTGCGAGGGGACATTCTGATCAAATGCCTGCATCAGAAACGGATGCGCCCGGTGGACAATACCAAAGATGTTATTTTTCGGTGCCAACTGCACACCTGTGCGTTGACACTGAAGGATGTCCCGATTATACTCAACAAATGTGATCTCGATGAGGCCAGCACAGGTAAACTTCTGGAAATAATTTGTGTTGTTAGTTCGATAGGATTTTCTTGTCGCGTGGAAGCATCGGCTTTTTATACTGTTAGAAAATCTTGGCAACTTTCCGTATCTTCTGTTTCCAGTGTGAAGTGATGTGGGCTAAAGTCGTTAGCTTGGATATTGACTGCTATCGTTTATCTTTCGGTTTGTGTCTTAAATGTTACGCGCTAATGTGTAATGTACTCTTATTTGGCTGAGGCCGTTGAATGCCGTAAAGACTTGCATGAAAGTGCTTGGGATGCGTGGTCCAGGCACGTTTTCATAGAAAATCTCCGCTCGGTTATGTGATGTTCATTACTGGATTACATGTACTAAGAGGATTATCTTTTCCGTAGATATTCGGTTTCCGGAAGATGGCCGAGTGGAGCTGTTTTTCTCGTTATCAGAAATACCCCCGACAACTGCCGGTAAGCGCTCTTCTTTTAAACATCCTCGATTAGAAAAACATATCTTTTTTTGGAATCACTTATCCGTGGGAATATTTTCGGAGGGTTTGGGAATGTAAAATGCTGCAGACGCTTAGTTGTATTGACGTCGTTAGCGTCAAACATCCATGTCCATCTGACATTCGAAACCGGTGCAACGCTATCGCATTTATCCAAAATTTAGAAAACTAGTTCGCAGAGTGAGTGTACGTTACAATGAAGGCCGATGCCGGCTACGGCTTCGGTGCAGTCGGTACTCGAACGTGTCCATCAAGACGATATTTAATATCGATTGGTCAGACAGTTCTTGTGGTAGCAGGCGAAAGTGATTATTAATTTATGCATACTTCTTGTTGACATCAGCAGACAGTGGGTTGCGCGTGTGTCGGTGATTTGTTATGATCTCTGCTGCCTGAACGGCAAAGGGAGAGGAAAACGCTGCAAGTTACGAAACGACAACTGCAGCCGGCTTCGTAATGAACCCAGCTAGCAGGTAGAACGCCGACGATGATACTGCTGGCTGGCAGCTATAGCGCCAAAACCGCTGAAAACCTAAATGGCTCTGTTATGATTATTTAACGAGTTATTTTCGGTGCATGAGTCGCAGTAAGACACTCGGGTTAGTGTTCTTGTCCAGTGTATATGCTATACGCTGACTGTGCCGAAAGATTCTCATCTGTGGGTCCCTTTGATTCCCAGCCGGCTTCTTGCTGTGTTTTCCGGTAAACGCACCACTGTATTAATAGTTTGGTTCGTTGGTAACCGTCATTAGTCAGCGAACGCGCGCTCGGTTTAGATTTCGGGAGAGCAGATTCATCCAAACACACCACCGTCATCCGCATGGTAAATGCACATTTTCTCGGCATTGTTTAGCATTTTTTTCGTTACGCATTACCCAAACTGTTTCCTAACTGTTTGTGACCGATGCACTGCAGCGTGATGTTTGTAAGATGGTCCGGGTTATATGAGTTTGGCTAAGAGATTGTGGAGCGATCGATGGTAAATTGTTAATAGTTTTGATGGTAGAGTAGCCGTCTGAGCAGTTTTTTCTTCACTTGCTCTGTCCGCGATATGCCGTCTTCCGGCTGAATAATCATCCACGCTCTACTGGTTTTTCTTGGCCTGATCGTAGATGAAGGAGCGGAAGTGTTAGGACTGGGCTCTGAAGGAGATCGGCACCGGGATATCATTGGTCACGATCGCCGGAATCTGGTAATTCCCCTACCGGAAACGAGTAGCACTCTACACTTTGATCGGCTACCGCGATCGGCTAACACTACCGGATTAGCCTGGGATCAGGGGGAATTGTCCAATGATCCACTGTATTCTTATGTCGCTGGCGATGAGCCCTATCCGCTGGCTGTCTCGCGGCCCCATGTAATTTTGGAGAGTAATATTCCCACTGTGCAGCCGCATTCGTTTACGTCGTCCCAGTTTGGTAAGTCATTGACAGATTATTGTAGGGTTGACTTTAAATAACGAAAGAGATTTGATTTATGGGATGGCATTAGCATTTTCTTGATGAGTGTTATGGTAGAATAAGGTTAAGTAAGTCCCAATTAAGCATTAAAGCATCTTGAAAGTATTGTAAAGGATAAATATGAGATTATATATTCGAAGAGAACTTTATAATCTTGCGTGTATTGATGAATTTCCCTAACCGAAAAAGCTATAGATGCAAATTGGTTTTAATGTAAGCATTTGTGTAACCTGGGGTTGTTGGTAAATTGCGTAGAGTTGAGGCTAGTACCGGCATAGTCATGATTTTGATCTGGCTAAGGCTCTGCACCTTTGTACAAGGTGTTTGTTATCGATTTCAGGAAGTTAAATTTTTTTAAAACGGTGTTTGCCGCTTTCTTGGTTTGCGGAGATTTTTGTGGAGTTTTGTGTTTCGGCTGCGATGCAGTGAATTGCTGGTCCCAAAACCATGCTATTCTGCTTCTGAAATCGTAATGTGATTGAAATTGACCGTTGTGTAACCGTGTTACCAATATCGCTCGCAAGTTTCATAACAATTTCTTATTGAATATTGATTGCAATCTATAAAACAGGTTTTTTCTTATGGAGTTCTACTTTGAAAACTCTTGAGAGATGCAATTGATATAGAAGTCAGTAGATTTTCCCCTTCTGTAAACTGTCAGCGGCTCGGAGCCGTTGTCCATTAGAGTGTTGCGTGAGGAGGATCAATTACAACACAATTTTGAAAGAAAATCGATGAGAAAGTGAATGGTTTATGTAATGTATAACAATCCTTCTGTGCTGAACTGGATGTATGAAATGGATGCCGCAGGTCTTTTGGGAACAGTTTTTTGCTTATTTTACAATTGAGATCGATGAAGATGCGCGGCCAGCGGAAGAGAAGAGGCACTTCTAATAATGTGATGTATGCATTTCCAACTGAGTCAGGATGTTTTTTTCCCGGCGTCTTTCCATGATTAGATAATCGTTTAAGTTGGAAGATTTATGCGTGGCGGCTGGTGTACAGCGCGATGATTAAAACGTTTTGTACTGCATTTGGCCGCTGGCTCTTCAGTTTTAAGTGGTTTTTTGTTGTCTTAGAGAGTGTTTGCTGTTGTGCTGCGTTATTCATGAGGGGTACAGTACGTGTGTACGGTGTGTGTGTTGTGTGTACGCTGTGACGTTCGCGTTGGCTGGTGGCATTTTGTCTTTTCTGACAGCGACTGAGTTAGCACATGTCTAAGTTTGGCCATCGACAGCCGCTGTTTCCTTCCGACGTAATCGCCGTACCATCCAAACTAACCAATCGCTTTTCAAGCGGCTTTTTATGACTGGTACAGGTGTTTTTTATGGCGTCTGTATTTTGTAAATGATCCGTTTCGGCAAGCAGACACTCCAGTCTGTAAGCGCAAATGTCAAAAAGTGGGAGTATGATCAGCATGGGACTGTGCTTTCAAAGATGTGCATATTGGCATCGTCAGTCTAAGAAATTTTTTGATATTTTGTAACTACGCGGAAAAACAAGCTGCATTTTAATTGTAACTGAACACACAGGTCGATAGTGATAGCTTTGCTGGAGTGAACTGAAACACTTTGCAAACTTTGTATGTAAAAACCGAGGAAAACTTTGTATGATTACCATCTGGAGAAAAATATTGGTTATCAGTTAATAAATTCTTTTAATTTCTTTAACATTTTTATGTGGAGATTTTTTATTCTATCTGTATTTTTTTAGCGTTTTAAGTTTTCGCCTATAGTTCTTGTACTGTACTCGTGGTCATGTGAAAACTTGAAAGATTTGTTCAAAATGATGCGTAACTTATTTTATTTACTGGTCTACTTAACAGCTGTGCAAATCTGTAGTGTTATTTTGAGACTGCCTTGAAGGTCGGTACGCTAGCACATTCCGCACTTTTTTATTGATATTTCGACGTTATGGCATGTGCATCATCGGTTCATTTTTCCTTTGCGGTTTACAGTCGACTGAGAAAAAGTGCCTGTTACTCACATGCTTACAGAAAATTCTTTTGGTTGTTTTTATGATCCACGAAGGTTAATCGGGTTTTCTTGTGCTGAGGTTAGCATTTTATTAATGCAGAAATGTATCGGTTATGTAACTAATACTTTTTACATTTATGCCGCCCCGAATGTATCACTTGCAGCCAAAAATGTCTAGTGCGTTCTTGATCGTCACCGCTTAGGCGGCAATCTGTCACACTAAACAGCCTATTCATTGCCGATCGGCTGTCCTCATTAGTAACACCGCTGTCATATTTTTAAACAGAACCCAGTGCAAATTATGGCTACGCTGTGGTGAAAAAGCCCCGTTCCAAACGTGCTCCGTTAGCCAGTGTCGATACCGTTGACGGTACCGAGCCGGAAACAAGGGGTTCATTGTCCCGGTCCGAGAAGGACCGACTATTGAGTGATTCCATTGATTCTGGGATTTCCACGGTTGTACACCATCCACCGCCTTCCTGGGCGTCTGAAGAAAGTTCACCGGCCCATAGAATGGAGAAGCGAGCGGTGTCACCTGGTGGGACGCTGAAGAGCGTAAAGTTTCAGGATGATGATGAGAGAATCGGCAGACCGGTGGTAATAGCGATGCCTCCACCACCGGTAAATGGATTTGATAACCAGGAAAATCGCCGGCCCGCGCAGAATGTCACGAAGAGCGCGTTACGTAGCGGGATGGACGTTATTGGTACGTTCGAAGTCATTTAAAATTTTTTTCGACAGATTTTATTTTATATTACTGTATATCTAAAATCAGTATATTCAATTTTTATTTTTAGCTTAATGTTATGTTCATGACATACTCCAAGTAAATCGAAGAAGCGAGGTCACGCAGTTGTAAAGTTGTTTAATTTTGAGATAATTTTTCTTACTTATTTAATTTTTAGATATTAAATTACTTAAATTTAATTTTTGAATTATAGTATTAGTGTATTGTTAATACTCGTACGTTCACGCAGATCTGGATTCCGTGCAGCCCGATATGGAAGAATTAGACCGGGTGTTCGAATCACTGCAACAGGAAAGCGAAGATTTAGACCGGCATCTATCAGCTAACAGTCCAGTGATCAAGCACAAAACATACGACAAGCAAACACAGCCGCCACTGCGCGTTATCACCCAGCGGTCATCATCGACAACCAACAGTCCGGCCCTGGAGCGCCAGTTCTCCAATCCCACCTCCCCGCACCCGCCCGTCTCCCCCGATGCCGGCCTGATATCCGCCTACGTTCCCGAAGATCGGAAGAATCTGGCCAAGAAATACGGCGCTTTCACGCTGGGCCTGCCGACCACCAAACCCGAACTGAAACCGGTGAGCAGTCCACCCCCGGTGCGCCGTGATCCCCAGCGGGAAGCGGAGGATCTGTACGGTCGGACACGTCTGCGCCACGTGGAAAGCTCATCGTCTGATCGTGAACAGCAGCGGAAACGTGATGAGGAGAAGCTGTACAATACGGCGGCCGTGGCGGCGGCTGATCGGGAGCGAGCGGAACAGCGGAGTGGTTATGGGCAGATTGGTAGAGCGATCGCCGCGGGAGGCGAGAGTCGCGGTACGACGGTTACGCATCAGTCGCGCTCGTTGGAACGACAGCGTTCTGGGGAGGGATCGCTTAACCGACCACGTTCACCGCGGCCTAGAACACCTACCGAAGATGAGCGCCTTCATAGATTACTGAATGTGGAGGAGGGTGAGTTTTTGATCAGTAATCCCGAGGAAAAAGTGCGGGGACGGTTGAAGGAAGTCGCCAGAGAAGGACAGTCTGATGTCGAGGTGGGTAGAAGCATGAAGGTTTTCTGTAATGCGGAATTTTTAGTTATTTCGTAAGAATTTGAATTTATCTCACAGACTTACTGGAGTGATTAGATTAGAATGAATCGCGGTATAGTCTTATTCTATTAATGGACAGTATACGTTTTCCGCACGCTTGGCGCTTACATCAGTGGGAAAGTGCAGAGTAATGTAGTGTAATGGCTATTTATTCTTAACCAAACTTTGTAGTCTGTTCATATTGGCTGGTTAACAGTTTATGTGGCTTGCAGTTGCTTGTTCTTTTTATTTGAATATTTTGCGTAATGCGTTTATGTACTCGAACTGTCTTTGAATGTTTTACGGCTAGTGATGTTTTTAAAGAATGGGGCGCTGCGGAAAGTTGTATTGGCGAGCTGATCCGTTACGTTACACGCTGGGCTAATTATAACCCGTTCATGTTTGTTGTAGGAAGAAGTTGTACGTCAAGCAGCTGCGCCAATTTCCCGCCCAGCCGCTTCCAGCCAACGTTTACCGGCCGTGTCACATCCGGTAATGACTGACATGTCCATTCAAGCATCCCCGGATGTCAATATGGAATCAGAGTACATCCAAACCGATCAGGAAGATGTGCCGTTTCCCGACCGGCGCAAGAAGAAGAAAGTACAGACTAGCGTTGCCGGCACCAACACCCAGTTTTCCACGGTGCACTCCACACCGATTGCCTACTCCAGCTCTAGCGGCGAGGGTATCGGCGGTGCCGCCTGGCTGCAGCTCCAGCACGATAAACTGATGACCCGCAAGTACGGTTCGGATTACCTTCGCTCCAAGGAACGCCACTCGCAGATGCTGGATGAACTGCGCGGCAGCCAGGAGCGGATGATGGAGCTGGTGCCGAATCGCGATGAACTGGAGAATCGCCTGCCGCTGTCCAGTGTGATTCTCCGCGAAGCGAAGACCCCGCCGCTGGGTCGACGGGCGGGGGATGCGGAGCCGGATACGCGGTGGTTCGGAAAGGGAAAACAACAACGACGACGTCAACAAGGCCGGCAGGATTACAGCCAGTCGCCAGCTCCACGGTGGTGACGCGAACGACGGCGTACTCGGAGACTGCCCGCTCCCAACCACAAAAGACGGCGCAGTGGAATGGACATGGACGGGAGGTGGTCACGGACACCGATCACGACTCCATAGTGGATGAGATCGATTTTGGTGATGAGCCGCTGTACAAGACTGTGCCGGGATCCAGTCAGCGTGCATCCCGCTCACGAGAAGTGGATGGTAAGTGTAAGGAATAAGTGATACCAACATCCAAAAAACTACTTAGAGAAATTCATTGGGTGCGAACACAAATGCTGGGGCGTTTTCAAACCAGTCACATCAAGTAGGCATTTCGACAATTCAAGCACGAATTACCATTTTGCACTAACGAAACTTCCGCTTGAAGGTTAGAAACTTCCGCTTTTAATTAGACTTTTCAGAACTTTGATCAGACTTTACCTTATGGTTGAAAGGAAAACACCTTTGCGCTGTTCGAAATGAATCTGACTTGCTTTTTGAAGTATACAGCGAGATATATAGTCAAAAGATAGATCGTAATGAACGTACAATTTATGATTATTAGATGGTGCGAAAAAGATTTGTTATGCGGCTGTTATTTTGAATGTTGTTGCAATAAATCATAACAAATGGTTGGCGTGGATTCCAAATTCATAAGTATCTGGGTTAGTGTTGGAGCGTCAGCCAGAGCCGTTCGGCGTCTCGCTGAGAACGCGTTACTTTAATTCAGTCGTTAAGGTTAAGATGTTCGAAATGTCACCTTGAGTATACTACATTGTCCACATTTCTTTATGACTAAAGTGGTATACTACTGCGCGCACTCGTAGAGGCGTGCCAGGTATTTCATACATTTTCTTTAACAAAAACCAGCTTGCGCATTTTACACGACACCACAGCCATTATGCACCGGTCTTTGTTTGGATGAGCTGAAACATCACAAACCAATTATTATCCTTAGTACGTGAGACATATCTCTTAACTCGGACACGGTATGATTTTACTATCCACAACCAACGACACCCTCAGCGCCGTCATTCCGCTTTCCGCGCACATGCGTCGTGAAGAGTTGTGTAAACCCTGCCTGTTATTACAGAGCATCGCTTACGCTCGGCCAACAGTCGCACAGGCGACACCCGCGATTACACCACAACCACCATGTCCCAGAGTCATTCACCCGATCTACTGCGGCGTGCCGCTCCCTCGCCCAAATCCATCCTGAAGAATCCCAGTCTGCACCGGCCCCGGAAGACCAGCGCCTCGGAAGATCGGATTGGCGCGGAGATCAACGGCCATGATAGTGAACGGGAACGCGAGCACAGTCTGATTCGCCGCGCCCGCGCCACGACGCCCAGTTTCCCGGTGAGCTCGTCGTTGGAGCGCAGCGGCAGTGTGGGACAGCGGGGAGGCAGTCGCAGTGGATCGTTGCAGCGGGCCGGTTACAGTGTGTACGGGACGAGGGAGAGGGCGACCAGCAGTGGACGGTCCACACCAACAGGTACAGTTTTGAGCTATAATCAAATGGAAATGAACCAATACATATTGCGCCATTTAATGTCACTACTTCGTAGTTAAACTTTTCCTGGTAATTTTTGTTTTGTTTTTTTGGTAATGTAAGAGTACCGAAATTGATGTGAGGCTTAAGATTACCGATAATTGGCGATAAAAGATATTGTTGTTCTTATTTCTGCTCTTCCGGAAGTAATCACATTCGTGCTTTATTGATGAATGGTTTTATGTTATCGTTTTTATACTTGTGAAATGCTAAATTTTGTTATACCACTAATAAGAGTACTGCTCATTTGAGTGGGTCAGTTCAGCACGAAGTACATTTCGTGGTAGCTTTATTTATTTCGTTGAGATAGTCGCTGTAATTCTGTAACATATAAAATTTTAAACCGTATGATAATTTCTGTTGCTTTTCGGTAGGTTATTTTGGTTTGAGCGGTAGTCGACGCTCCAGCCTGACATCGATCAACAACAGCAATCTAAATAACGACGCTGACGAATTCGTCATCCACCAGCATCCAGTCTTCGTGCGTGACCTGTCGAAATTTTGGTACAAACCCGGCATCACCCGTGAAGAGGCCATTGAGATTCTCAAAGACAAACAAGCGGGCAGTTTCCTGATTCGCGACAGCCATTCCTATCCCGGTTCCTACGGGATGGCTGTCAAGGTGGATCCGGGACAGGTGCCCGGTGCAGCCGGTGGACGGAGTCCACCGGAGGAGCTGGTGCGGCATTTCCTGGTGGAGCCGACACCCAAAGGAGTCCATTTGAAGGGCTGTCAGAATGAACCGGTGTTTGGCAGTTTGCCGGCGCTGGTGTATCAGCACTCGGTGACACCCTTAGCGCTGCCGTGCAAATTATTGCTGCCTAGTGCAGATTTGACGCTGCAACATCAGCCGCTGTATTCGGAGGATAACCTGCAGAGATTAATGGAGCAAGGCGCCGGTAAGATATTTGTTAAAAGCATTGAAACTGCGTCGCTGATTATCTGTACGCAACAGAAAGAATGTTAAGCATTTGAATACTTTCTTTGTCACATCACAGAAAGCAGAATACGTGCTGGAAGCGGACGTTAAAAACTGAATCACAGTGTTTATCAGTAAATTTATTTTTTTAATTTGACTTCTAGCGCTTACCAGTGTATTTTGCTTGCAGCATGCAACGTTTCCTACTTGGTAACTGTGGATACGGAATCTCTGACTGGACCACAGGCCGTTCGTCGGGGAATGGACGTGGTCAGCCAGGGCGGCGGTTTCGGTACCCGGCCACCCGTCGTTCACATTAAAGTCAATGCCCAAGGCATTCTCCTGACGGATGTCGGACGAAAGTAAGTTGTCTTTTAGTGCATTACATGGAGCTTTGTTCAGCGTGGCAATTTTCTCTACAGAGTATTTTTCCGACGATATTATCCGATCCAGAATATCTCCTACTGTGGCATTGATCCTGATGATCGCCGGTGGAAATCTGACAATACCAGTTTATCTAGTGCACGGTAAGAAATTGCAGCTGCTTTCAGTGAAAAAATCTATAGAAAATCGTTGGGAAAAAATCCTGAAAATAAATTAATTAAGCAAGAGTTTACCTTTGAAATTTTTTTAATTTTACCTTTGAAATCTTGCAGGTGTTTCGGATTTGTTAACCGCAAGCAGGGCTCTCGCAACCAGAACGAATGCCATGTATTCGCCGAACTGGATCCGGAGCAGCCGGCGGCGGCGGTCGTGTCCTTTGTTAATAAGGTCATGATGACCGCCAGTGCGCCGCATCCGCGCTCCTTGAGTCGCGGACCCTCCATCCCGGAGGGACGATAAATGGGACATTTGCGGGAAAGGTGGAGAATCGGACATGCGGCCTTGCTGATTAACTGTGAAGATATGGATGTGGTTTTTCTAAAAGAAATAAACGAAGATTTGGTGCATTTAATTGCTCAGTTTGTAATGTTGTCTTTATTTTCTGCCCTGTTCTTGTAATTCTGTGCTTTGTGCTGCTGCATCGCGCGATTGACCGAAGCGTGCACAGGAATCTCTTGTGGAGGAATACGAATCACGAGTGGAGCAGGTTAGATTGTGTGCTGGACGGTCGGGATCGTGGGTTGTGCCATCGAGAAATATGGTCGAATCACTGCATGAAAGTGGAGTTCATTGTTGGCGTTGACAGTTATTGTTTCACCAGTTATGAAAATTGGAACAATTAACGATTAAACAAGTAACTGGTCGCGGCTAGAAGAGTATGACTTTCCCGGGAAACCCCACCGATTATTGGAATTTCAATGAACGATGCAGAAGCATTTCTTTGGAGCACCACAGAACAGAATAAAAAGCGATACAGCACAAAGCACAAAATGAATACCGTAATACATCTGTAACATGGTAGCGAGGGTCTTATTTTACTTAAATTTAATTTCAGTTGACCGAAGTATGAAAGCCATACTTCCGATGATCTTGCGAAAAATAATGAACATTTAATACAGCGTACGTAGGAATGCATAGAAGTATCTACAGCGTTCAAAATAATGAGAAACTGTATCGTGCGTCAAAATTTATTAGAAGCTGTGTAGTCGTAGTCGCACAACACGATGCAGCCAGACACGTTCTTGTGGTTGATAACATTGTACTAAATTAATTATTCTGGCAATCATTATGATGAAATTATGCATTCTTATCACAGCCGATCAATGGAAATATGCCCATTGCAGCAGTAAAATCTCATATGTATAAGTTCACAAATACTTACTTTAATCGTTACTGACAAAGGCTATATGCCGATAAACCTCACTTGGTAAGTACCTGTCTGCAGTAAGGAAATACCGATAAACACGCACAGATGAGGAAAAATACTACAAAAATTACATTGCTGCACAATGTAGTTCAAATACCATTTTTAATATTCAAATTTACACTGAATTTTTAAAATATATATTGTTACCGGCTGGATTACTTACATCATGCGTCAGCGTCTAATACACCGTACAAATCCTACTCCGATATTGTGTCTTGCTGCTCTACAAGTTGTTTTTGGGATTTTGATGATAATAAGCGATATCGTCGGTAAGAGAAATCACAGTGCCACAGGGATTATACGTTCACAAAAAGGTTACCGTGAGGATGTTTATTTTTCTATAAAAAAATTAAATGATGTTTGTACAAATGCATAGAAATATTCGTATACAATAAGCACTTACATCCCCACACCGATGATCACTTTGCTTGCTCAAATCTTGAACGCATTAACAGTTTTGAATCTGCAGTTCTAATTTCTTCACTACACTTTATTGGCATTGATTGCTGTAAACAAAACTCTCACAACTGCCTTGTTATCGCAATGTGCAGAGCACAAGAGTAGCACTTGTTAACAGTTGTAGGCACAAACAACTAAGCATATCTCAATTACGCTGTACGCAGCTACTAAAATACGCCACAGCCGCATATTATCAAATTAATTGAACTGTGACTAAAATGAAATAAATTGAATTGATTGAATTATTCATAATTCGAAGTTAAAAAATAAAACAAGCTTGAGAGAAAGTGCAGAACGCGTAGTAGTACTACTCAGTGGCGCCAGTTTTGTGAACCATAACGGCAGCGATTATTAAAAAAGTTCCCTATTGGAAATTCTACTATAAAACCAGATCTTGCTCCTTTTCTTCCACAGCTCTTGCCGGTTTCTACGGTGTGGGAAGCGCGCTATTCAGCGGCTACTACGTGGGCTTGGGAGAAGGTGTCTTATTGATTGTCGCCGGTGCATTCGGCATTGTTGCCGGCCGGCGTTTGCATCTGCCGGCACAGTTCAATTTTCTGAAGCCTAACCACCGGAAATTCCTCATCGCAATCCTTATCACCATCTTTACCATCAGTGCCCTGGGAACTGCTGCAGGACTGGCAATGACCATTTATTATAGCCTCCTTGTCAACGCCTCCGGAATCGGTTCTGCATCGCATGACCTTTATCCCTTCTACGTAGACATTACTGTAATAAATTTAACACTGCAAGTACTCGTATTCGTTGGCAGCGTGTCACAGGCCATCGTAGTCGGATTGAGCATCCGCAGGTTTCCCTCGGCCAAGTTTGATACACGACCTCTTACTGGTACGCACAAGTTGTCTTGAAGTTAATACAGATATTTTCTATTTCGCTGATATAAGTCCGCGTTTATAGAAGCGTCTTAAAAACAGGTTAATTTAAGTGTTTTGCAAATACAAAGCAAAATAATCTACTTGGTTAGCTTTAATTTCGGATGTAGATACAAAGGTCATCTGTCTACGAAGCTGACTGTTTGCTGCAATTGCAGCTGTTCAAGATACCATAGATAATCCACCCGTTCCCCTTCGCAAACTACAGACCGGACATCAGCAGCCGCCAGTGCCGGTGGATGCCGATATCGATAATTATCCCCCAGTGCCACTCGTTACGACAAAAGACAGAAGCGATCAACAGCTTCCTGTACTCAGAGAGGACGCAGATTTGCGCCAGCTTCCTGTACCGAAGTTACTTTAAAAAATAAATTATTGTCTTTTAATACAACTCCGGCCATGTTCTGCATTGTAACCCTTACACTTCTTGTTAAACTATGAGTCGGAATAGCTGTGCTAACTGCTAAACAGAAAATATTTATTTTCGATCATGTACATATACTATTTCACAAATGCAGCAAAACAGTAACGTGACAAATCTCTGAGACAATTTATCAATAGTCAATAGATTCATATATCCTTACGTCCTTATTTTTTGGAAATTATCTCCTAAATCAAGATTGATTTTTTCAGTAAGTTGATAATTTTATAAAATAAAGCATCGCACAAACGCTTCTACCTGTATCTTTAAAAAAATCTTAAGTTTTGGGGAAGGTCTAAAAAAATTTTTAGAAGTTGTAGTACTTAAGGGTTGTTAGTACTTAACGGTTGCTAGTTTTGGAAATTATCTCCTAATTCAACGTTGATTTTTCCACTAAGTTGTTAATTTTATAAAATAAAGCATCTTCCAAAGCTTCCTACCTGCAGCTTGGAAAAGAATTTCTGGTTTCCGGAACGTTTCAGAAACCCTTTCAAACTTTCTGTACTTAGCGTTTAAAGTTCTTAGAAATTTCCAGTAAATTCTGGAAACGTCTCGAATGAGCAAATACAAATTTCGCAGCTTAGCAACCTGAACTACAGATCTCTGTATGTTATTTAAATTGTCAATTCCATCAAAAATTCAAAACTATAACTTTTTTTAAATTCTTGAAACCTTTAAGACGTTTTTAAAACATGTTCGAAAACCTCAAAATAACTATTAATTTTTCCAAAGTCGGCTCCAAAGCTTTTAGATTTCCAGAATTTCTAAATATTTCTAAATATTTCGACTCGGCCCCGCGCAGCGGGGCCGTTACCTCTAATTTTTTTAGCCTCCAGAGTTTCGAAATTTTAAAAACGTCTAGAAATGTCTGAGTACCTCAATATCTCGCGGTCTTAAGGCATTTGGCCGGATTGGCCCGGTACATACTACGAGTACATAGCACCAAATTTGTATATATCCACGACAACTTGCGCTGCCACGCGCTCCTAAACCCTAATTCTCATAACGGTCCTCATACTCATAACCTTATTTCTAATTCACAATTCATACTCAAAACGGCTTTCATAATCATAATCATACTTTGATCCTACCGGTTGTCATATTTTTGTTCATATTCATAACTCAAGCCTTTACCGCTACTCATACCAGTGCGCTACTGCGCTTAATGTTATTAGTGAAAGCATTATAGCATTCATTAATCGTAAAAATAGTAATATTGACACTAAGTTTTAATAGCTGTTGCGCAAATTGTGCACCGTTCTTGAATTTAAAAAAAATTTTTTTTTGATATCTGCTTTTGTCCCGGGTAGCAAACTGCGTTATTACTGTTCCTGTGTTCCATTGCAGTACAGTGTGCACGATGCTTTTGTCGAAATTTAATTTTGTGGAAAGTTAACGGCCCGTTAACTTTTTGTTTGGTGGAAGCTACGAAATAAGCCCATTAACATTTCAGGTTTTTTTTCATTAGCACTAGTTTAAAAAATGGACGAAAGTGGACAATGGTAGATTTTCTTGCTGTTTTTATATGCAGATTAAATTACCTAGCTTTCGTTTCTCAGTTCAAGTTTACTGAAGTCATTTTGTAATGAAGCCATTTTCTAATAAATATTTTTTCGCTACTAATTCAGGTAAAATAATTTTTACGAGTGGACGAAAGCGGGCGGTTGAGTAGACTTGCATGAACACATGGTTGTAATTGAATATTACAATTTTGACACACCAGCATGAGTAATGGTTAAGATGTGAGCAATAATTATAAATAAATTAATATGATGACCGGTAGGACCAAAGTATGATTATGATTATAAGGGCCGTTATGAGTATGAATTCGGAATTAAAAGTAGGATTATGAGTATGAGTATGAGAGCCGTTACGAATATTAGGTACATACCTAGCCTGGCTAGCCATGCAAAAAAGTGTTTAGGATTGCGCGACAGCGGAAGTTCCCGTGTATTTACCCGAACTGGTACTATGTACCGGGCCAAATCCCTTAATTGTCTAATTTATATGTAATTTCTATGTATCTAAAAGCCGGCCCGCGGCCCGTTTACCGTATTCACTCACATAGCGGCTCTGTGATACTGGTGGTAGCTTGGGCATTCACTAACCTCGAAATCTAATAAACATGTATTTATTTTATCTTAATAAATACTGAAGAGCTTGACTGATGGCTGAAAAAATCTTACAATTAGTATCTAAAGATGCAGCCTGCAAGGACACCTTGGGCGAACGTTAACTGTTCCCCGCAAGTTTCCATTAATTCTGCGCTGAAAAAATGGTATTTTATGGGCATCGTGTACGGATACAGGTCGATCGCGCCAAGTGTTTGCAGTTTTTTTAAAAAAATTATAAAATGTCAGCCGTCAACAATTAAATAATTATTTCATTTTAACATGGTTGCAGCATGTGTCTAACATGTTTTGCACTTGAATCGCCCTGTTGAGAACGTGTTTCGAATCCTAGTGATATCAAAATTGTTTCCGACCGTCTTGGAAATGGGGCTTGACCCATCGGCCGTGGTTGCAGTCTTCCGACTTTAAATTTGTTTAGAGCTTTCGTTGACGTCTTATCGCAAAGTGATAAATTTGGGCTGTTGCCCAACCAATACTCTGCGAAACATGCCTGCCATGAACCGAGTTTCACCAAACCCGCCTGACCTTTGCAGAGTCAGTGCGGGCACCGTTAAAGGGTGGGCAACCCCACTTCCGCCGTCTCAGTGCAGCCATGGAGTGTCTCAAATGTGCATTCTTGACAAAATCACGTTGAGAAAGTGTTCACTGTCCGCTTAAAACTTTTCATCAAAACAAAAGGCTCAAGACGTTCCAATCCGCCCACTTTCTCCAGCACTCATGACTTTTTTTAGTCATCGCTTCACTAATTTTTTTCTCCATTCGTCCAGGACTTATATCTCCTTTCCTGTGTTGTAGATATTTATCGACACTCCAAAATTAACTCAGGTAGTCCATGTCTAATTCATGGAAATTATTAGTTTGAGATTCCCCGCTCCTTGCGCTAGGCAACCACATTTCTCGGTAGGTGCTTTCTACCACATAAGTCTATGGGAGATGCCCTTTGCTTCGAGTTCCCCTCGATCACTGATCACGCAAGATTTTGCTAATAACGCGTAACGAACATCTTAAGGGCTGTACAATGACTTCCAGAATACTCCAGGCAGCAATCTTAACGCTGAGATTTTCCCAAGGGTAGTTATAACCATAAAAAAACTGACAGGTGCCCTTCCCAAAAACACCGCTCGGCTCCCTACTAGCACATTAAAAGATATTAGTTTTGATGGTGCTGGATTTGCAAAAAAAATTTTATTAGAATTTTATTTTTTTTTAAATATGCCGACAAAGCAATAAAACGACTCACAGACATATTTTTAATATATTTTTTGCAACTGCCCACACTTGGTGTGATCGACCTGTATATGACCCCACTCAATCCATTTTATCACCGTTAAAATATTATCTGTGGAACCAAAAAATTCAAGTTTTCAGTTCATGAGATCGGTAATATAAAGTTACATTAAAAACGCGATAAAAACCGCATTTCTTCATGTTTAAAATGTTTTCGCAGCTGGCCTCGCTGGGTTTTATATTTGAAATATTTCTCAAAATTTTTTTTATTGCTGTACGAAGTATATTTTGTATTTCTTTCATACTACCATACCTCAAACACAACTGGTCGCGCGATAGCGCGACCGATACTTGTAATACATATATTATCTCATCGTCAATACCGCTTACTTACTACGGTACTAATACTTCTGTTTGTAACCCAATGACACGCAGGATGCATGGTCATGTTTTCCGCAGCAAGGGCTTGTTACTATTGCAAATTAGGTTAAAGTTGATTTTGAATTAATTTTAATAACTAAAATAATATTATTTGCGGTATTTAGATATATACTGTATGTACTGTACATCTGAATACCAGGACGCAGCGCCTCCTTTTCTTTTTATATCACCGCAGAACAGTATCCGTAGAATAACAACAATAAACTTAACGTGCACAGTTAAACAAATACACGAACACAATATAACAAAACAATTAAAATTAAAGAAAGACATCAGAAAGTTAATCCAGTTATAAAAACATAACATGCATTTAGCACGAAGTCACCAACGGCGAGATAGGAACACTGGGCAATTTCGCTTTCTGATTCTATATCGTGTGAGCAACAGGTTCTCATATTTACTGCTAAAACAAATTTCGACTGCGAGGGAAAGCAGATTCTACAAGCCTCATCCATGAGTTAAATCCTTGATCATCTTGTACAGCCTCTTCGCATCCAGCAACATGACCACGCGAATGGGTACCAGTTTCTTCCCGCGCATCCTCTGGGAAATGTAGTTCCTGTCGCCACCCACAGGGAAAACATAACTAGCTTGGGCATTCTAAAAAAGCGGCACAACACTGAAACAAAAAAATACTAACGCTACGGACTTTTACATGGCCAGTTTACCTTATACCACAATTCCTCCAGGTCATTGGCGAATACCGCATCGCGCATTGAGCGTCCGACTGGTAAATGGGCTTTGGCAATCACCAAATGCCGATCAACAGCGAAAGGCTTCGATTCCGAAACGGCTTTGTCAATGTTGTCTCTAGGTGAAAACAGCAACTTATTAAAGCACAACAAATAGCAGAACGTCTACCTCTGAATCCATTAATATTATTCAACTGCAATAACAAACACCTTGATAAGGAAAACTCCATCAGTTTACTGGAAACAATAAATCAAATTAATCCCGGTTTAACTTGTAAGTTAAACTTAATCATCTATCTGATTTATTTCATCAGTTACAGTATTGACACACATATTCTAAACTTACAGTAAAATAAACGCAAGCACGGCACGGATGGCATAACTCATGATTTCGAAAAAGAAGCAATAAAGTACTCATACATACTTTACATCTTCGAACAAAGCCGACGACAAGACCGGCGGTGTATTGACCAGCTCGCAGATCATCCAGCCAATCTTCCCCAATTTTCCCTCGAACAAATCCGCAAATTTCGCCCGGCTTTCCATCACCTCCGTTCCCCATCCGTACTTCTCCTCCAACATGGCCATCAAGCTCTGAACGCAGGCTTTCTCATGGTGCTCCGTCAAATTAATCATGGTTGCCAACGAGAACGGCTTCGCTTCAAAGTCATCCGGCTCCTCACTCCAGTAACTTCCCCGGCTCTCCACTGTGATATGGTGCTTGTAATAACCGTCCGCACTGCCATAGTATCGTGCCGTCGTCACACCATCCTCTCCCCACACGAAACCCGCCATTTCCTTCCAGTCCACCGGAGAGTTGGGCAGCAGTCGCTGAAAGATACTCACCACGATGTCACTGTCGGCAACGCTCAATGATCGTTCCTCAAACTGCGGCACGTTAGTCAGATGGGCTGGCAGCTCCGGGACAGTGATATTACCATAGATGTTTTCCGATACAGCAGCGAACCGTTCGGGATCTTCCTCGCGCACTGCCACCTCACTGCAATACTGCATTTTTAAAGGTCATCATTATAAATTTAACATACTTTACCTTTTCAGTAGTCGAATGTCGTCTTCGATGTTGTTCAGCTGCTCGCGCACGGTTTTCACCATCGTGCTGTCCGAACCGTACACTTTGGCATAGATACGCGAGGATTCCTGCAGAAAGTCCAGGGCTGTGGGGAGAACATCTTCGAAATGAGATAAGAAGCGCGCACGATCATTCGGAGAAACAAGCATTGATTCGATGGTGAACCACGCATGACAGTGGATGCCCGCATTTTGCAGATGCTGCGCACGTTGAAGGTGGTATTCGGGAAAAACGGTTCTGCAAAATCAAACACCTGCAGTTAAGAAATGGCAATTATTGCGAGATCCACATTCAAGGATAACCGGTGCAAGAAGTAATGCGATTCTGTATTTCAAGCTTTCTAAAAAGTGCAACGTAGGTTAACCCGTATAACATGTAAACATGTAATCGCTACAACTTTCAAACACTTTTTTACCGCACGCATGGGACCAATGCAGCATACAGTTCCCAGGCCTCCGGGAATCGTTTCTGTTGAGTGTATTGATCAGCAGCATCCCATCCGTACACGTAGCGAAGATGCGCTTCCGGATGTACCAAACCCGAATCATCCAGTTCTTTCAACAGGCGGATCCGTAACGGTAACGCTTCATGGAAATTGTCATTTTTTGCTGCTAAATGCTCAGTGAACACCTTTTCCTGCTTTCGTGACAAACGCCGGAATGCCTGCAACTGCTGGCCGTTGATCGCACCGCACTGTGAGCAGGGATTCAGCGCGCGCTCATCACTGGGAATACGCTCCGCGCAGCCAGTGGTCGAGCACTTCAGTGGATTGATGTCCGCATCCTGTAAGACCAACACCTCAAAGTTAACAACATTTTAACATTTGTGAAGAGAACAGCAAAGTCATTACTATCGACATGTCCAGCAATTTAGCGCTTAATAACGGCAATCTGATTGGGTTCATTTATTACTAAATGGCCAAAAATTTAGTGGGGAATTAGTAAAACCCTTACGTATTCACTGCTGCACTTCCGGCATTCGCATGATTTGTTAAAATGTTTGCGGAACAAATCTTGTCGCTGTTTCGCTGTACGTCCAAGTGGTCGACGAATGTGACCATACGAACGACACTAAATTAAGTATCATGAATAGTGCGTTATAATTACAGTATATCATATTTTGTCATCTCTAACAGAGAACGTCAAAAAATTATCCGAAGTCAAAATAAGATTGCAACATGTTTTACGCAGTGTATACTTATTAAATCTCCTGTCTATAAACAGACAATTTAATAAACTTCAACCCATTCTGCTTTAAATAAACAAAATATACAAAATTTTCCGAAACGGAAAAAAGACTATTCAAACGCTGCTCTTAGCTTGCTTACATCCTGTAATCCTCTGTACTCGGGAATGTCGTCGATGGCCATTATCTTGATGAACCGTCCGTGGAAGGTCAGCGTCACATTGCTGTCGGAGCAAACCGGCGTCAGCTGGCGATGGTTGACGGTGGGGAAGATGCCGGCGCCGAACGGAAAAGGGTACGCAGCTTCGAAACTGTTCATGGCGGCAGAACTGTAAAACACTTTCTGATGGTAATCCCGCATCTCTTTCACAGATACGAGCATGCTCTCCACCGGCACTCCCAGACATTCGGCCATGAGGGCGTGAAGGGTTTTGTACAACCCCAGATCACTGCAAAAACAATGCTCCAGAAAGGTCAATGCTCACACAATACAAACGATATCAGTTTCCACACACAGCGCTTTAACGCGACAATTACACGTCTGGGATACACTACGGCGTGTGTATAACAAAATTTTAAAATCAAAAAAATAACTGCACATTTAAAAGAGAAAACGGCAACTGTTATGACCAGTTAGTCGAATCAGTAGTTGCACTATAAAGCATAAGAGGTTTCGCAACACTTACGATTTCTTCGTTTTGCCGAATTCGGACTTGTATGGAAGGGCGTCCAGAATCTCTATGGTGGTTTTCTTGGTTCCTGCGCCAGGCAGATGATCGTCCGCTTTCCGCTAGGGCAAATACGACATGCGATTAGATTTTTCAAAAAATGTTCTGATTTTAAATCGCACGAATTTCACTGTCACATGTACAAATTATTGAGCGCCAGAAAACATACGTAGAATCTCTACGAGTGCAGTAGTTAAAGTTTTCTACTGGTACCTGGATTTTATTCAGTATTTTCAGCAGAATAATTTCATTCGTCCAGATGCCAAGATCCTGCCCACTAGCGGGACACACGTTCTTTAGGTCACTGATCCGTGCGCCGCTGAATCGTTCTCGGAGTCGCTTCAGCATGTCACATTCCAGATTGTGCTCCTTCTTCCAGCTATCTTTCTGCAAATGGTCACATCGCTATAAGTCGTATAAAACTGAACCTGACAATTAACTGTAGAAAATGTAAGGAACAGTACGGGATTTAAAATAATTTTTATAGTGGTTACTGCAGCAGTACCGAAGCGAAATACTATACATAAGCGGCTAAGCCTAGACTTCTTCGCTGTAATTTTGTGTGCATCTTATGTAAGCAGAACCAGTTTTAATCTGCATGCACGCGGTAAACGGACAATAATATCTCGTACCTATGTTCCCATTAGCAGTTACGTAACAAAACCAAATACTTGCTCCAGTACTTACCAGGCATTTCGCGCCGCAGTAGTAGTAAAGTTTACATTTGGAACACGTCGCCAACAAATGGTCGGAAAATTTGAAACAGTGCGCGCAGAGCATCTGGTGCTTGTCCCAGTGGAAAGACCAAACCCAGGCTTCGCTCTGCGCCACAATCTCCCCCGCGGCAATGGGTCGCGGCGCGGCGACCGATGGAACAACTTGAGGCATATCCATGTAGGAACAACATAAGATTCAACTGGAACTGGAAGGAAACAATTAAGTAATCCCTGTAGGGGAAGCACAAAGGCATAAAACGAATGTAAAGCACTGTTTGTGGTAAAAAGTTGCGAACGATTATCGAATGAGAGGATTTTTGGACGATCTGTTGACTGTTCAGCACAGGAAAGGAAATTTAATTCACTGTTGGAGCGGTGACGAAGAATTTCGTAGAGTGCATTGTACTGTACTAACGATAATGTACGAGTACTGCACGTACCTTTTATTATACTGAGAAAGCACGTACAGTACGTGTTTTATTGTTCTAGTGCTTTAATTAGAAGCAACAAACATTTTTTCACACATTTTACACAAGTTCATGAGAAGCTGAAAACACAGGCGAGTTACACAGCAACATCTACAACCACAGGAGGGCGAATAACAGAAAAGATCTCGTCTAAATTCGCCGTCGGTGGTGCTGTTCCCATGATAGATGCTGCGTTTCCTCGCTGAATTTCGATGCTGATACGTTGACGCAAGAACTCAAGTGCTCGTGGTTCGCCTGACTGCTGCTGTATCATCTTCCCTAGCACGGTAAGCAGCCCTGTGGTTTCTGGTCCGAATGTTCCGTAGGTCTCGAAAGCCAGAGGCTTGAACCAGTAATCCTGGGTGATGTTGCGGTATTTCTCGGTCTTGCTCCGCTCGGCTAGCGCTGCTGCAGCTCCGGCTCGAGTGGATGTGGCTGCAATGTACGACAAGGCCATGGTGCTCCGGCAGGTTACATCCCATGCCAGCGCCTTTCCTCTTTCCCACGGGGAAATTGTCACTCCGTCTGGTCGTTTGCCATCTGTACGGGAGATTCCAGGAGGTTCCAGTTCAGTTTCGATTCCAGCTGACGCAAAGGCGCGCTTTATGACCGCTTTGAGACTTTCATGGGTCGGTTTCCGCCCGGCACTGAACTTGCAACTTGAGCCATGGTAGCCATGCTCATCCGCTTGGTCGCCGCAAATGCACTGGTGTGGTGTGCATACCGGTGCACCCAGGCGCAGCGCCACAGCTGTCCTTAGGCCGGAGTCGTTAAGTAAGTTTCCAAGGGATGCTGCCGGTAGTGCTTGGAGCCATGCGCCCGCCTCTTTGGTGCTGACTGCCAACATCCGCGCCTGGCTAGCGATATCGTTTTCAAAAGCCCTCTCCAACAGTCTCAAATCTGATCTTATGATAGGTTCGTCCCACGCTTTCTGCACTCCCCGAACTCCAGGTGGCGGCGCATCTTGATTCGTCAACTGCTGCCATAAGGTGGTTGGTTCACTACAATACGTCTCCGGCTGGTAGTTCGTAATTGCGGAGGCCAAGGGAGCAACTGAATAAGCCGAGGCCAGAAAGGCCGGCAGTGCTAGCTTAACAATACTCCTAATGCCTAAACCGCCTCTTGATACCGGAAGTGACGCCTGTGTCCAGATTACGTCGGTGATGGCAGTGTTGGTTATTCTGGACAGGCTATCACGTATCATGGTGTCGAAATCATTCAGCAAGGGTTCCTGCAAGTAACACCTGCCAGTACGCAATTTGTAAAGCAGCCTTACCGGTCCCATACTGCATCGAAGTAGATACAGTGCCTGGTGGGCTGGTATGATCTGCAGACGTTCAGTCATGCGGGCGACTACCTCCGTTGCACTGACGAGTACGTGTTTGTATGTGCAAAGTGCATTGCCCTTTAATTAGAATAATAATAATATTATTTTAACTGTTTAACGCAAAAAATACTGCATTACGTACACACTGAGAGTTGTACAAATACAATGGTATAAAGTATATCTATATAATACTTTTCAATATTCAAATTTTAATTTTTAGTAATACGTCTATCAATTAAACAAATGAAAAACAGGAGCATCACACAGCATCAACAGACAGCAGAAACAGGCGCCCGAATCACTGAGAACATTTGATCTAAATCAGCCGAGGCTGGTGCCGTTCCCAGGACGGATGCGGCGTTTCCACGCTGGATTTCGATGCTGAACCTCTGGCGCAGATACTCAGTTGCACGTATCTCGCCTGTTTCCTGCCATATCATCTTGCCCAGCTCGCTGATCAGCCGAGAGGCTTCCGGTCCGAGTGGTCCTACTGTCTCCACGCCCACTGCCTTTAGTACTGGACTAATATAATACTTAATATTATCGATGTAAGTGTGTTGCGTAAGAATTGTGAGAACAGTAACAAAGAGGTAACCGCCGAAAACCAAGAGTGTAGATATACCAACGACAAGGAAGTAACCGTACGACGCAGTTTAATGTACGTGTAAATATAATAACTGACAGAACATCAGAATTAAAGGAAAGACCAAAAATTAGTCCAGTACTAAAGGCATGCTTTGCAGGGAAGATCCATCATAAACGGCAAGATAAGCACATATGTAGGGCATTTTAAACAATAATATGAGCAACATTTCTGCGCATTCGCAAGCAAGAATATTTTTGACAACAACCAAAATCAGATGCTACGAGCCTTCCCCAAATACCAAATCCTGGATCATCTTGTACAGCCTCTTCGCATCCAGCAGCATGACCACGCGAACAGGCACCAGTTTCTTCCCGCGCATCTCCTGGTCAATGTAGCTCCGGGGGCTGCCCACAGGAAAAAAATAACTGGCTTGAGCATTCTGCAATGTTAAAAAAAAGCTGAAACTTACGACTACGTCAAACCTCAAAATGATGATTAGTCTACCAGTTACCTTATACCACAATTCTTCCAGCTTATTGGCAAAAACCGCATCACGCATCGAGCGTCCGGCTGGTAAATGGGCTTTGGCAATCATCAAATGCCGATCAACAGCGAATGGTTTCGATTTCGCAACGGCTTCATCAATATTGTCCCTATGTGAAATTTAAATCACTGCATAAAAAAACAGAATTTTCACTGACAATAATTGTTAATATTAACTGCAGTGCCCATATCCTTTAAATGGAAATATCGTACCAAGCCAACCGAAAATTTTTTTCGATGCACAAGAAAATGAAATGTCCTGCAGTTCTTTGGCGTATTTATGGAATAAAATATTTAAAAAAGTTCTGCAAGCAACGTAATACAAGTACGGCAAAAAGGTACCAAATAACTACTGATTCGTACTGTCAGTACTTACGATTTGTACGAGTAGAGATTTGTAAGTGAAAAATTGCAATTAACGCAGACATACTTTACATCTTCATACAGTGCCGACGACAAATGTGGCGGTGAATTGATCAATTCGCAGATCATCCAGCCAACCGTCCCCAATTTTCCCTCGAACAAATCCGCAAACTTGGCTCGACTCTCCATCACTTCCGATCCCCATCCGTATTTCTCTTCCAACATGGTCATTAAGCTCTGAACGCAGGCTTTCTCCTTGTGCTCGGTTAAATTAATCATGGTAGCCAACGAGAACGGCTTCGCTTCCCAATCATCACGCTCCTCATTCCAGTATTTCCCTCGATCCTGCACTTTGGCACGGTGCTCGTAGTAACCGTCCGCACTGCCATAGTATCGTGCCGTCGTTACGCCATCCTCTCCCCACACGAAACCCGCCATCTCCTGCCAGTCCACTGGAGAGTTGGGCAACAATCGCTGAAAGATACCCACCACGATGTCGCTGTCGGCCGCGGTCAAGGACCGCTCCTCATACTGCGGGCGGTTAGCGAGATGGGGTGGTAGTTCCGGGACAGTGAAATTTCCGTAAACTGTCTCCGATACCGCAGCAAATCGTTCGGGATCTTCCTCCCGCACTGCCATTTCGCTATAACGCAGCAACACAATTTTGAAATGTAAATCAGGATAAATTACATACTGCCCCGGAGTTTTACCTTTTAAGCAGTCGGATATCATCTTCGATGTTGGTCAGTTGTTCCCGCACTGTCTGAGCCATCTTGCTGTCAGGTCCATATACTTTAAAATAGATACGCGATGATTCCTGCAGGAAGTCCAGTGCGGTGGGGAGAATGCCCGTGAAACTGAACAAGAAGCGCGCTCGATCGTTCGGTGGAACGAGCATGGATTCGATTGTAAACCACTCATGACAGTGTATGCCGGCATTCTGCAGATGTTGAGCACGTTGAAGGTGGTATTCGGGAAACACGGTTCTGCAAAAATCAGACACTTACATTTTAAGAAGCAAAATTATTGCTAAACTCAACCAACGACGAAGGTTACCAAAACTGAAACTGCGCAACTAACGGAACTCCAAATAAAACTTAGAGTACTTCTATCTTTAATTCTTGCGTCACACAAGGAATTTTATGCTTATTATTTTCGGCAACCCTTTTCGCTGCATGCTCAAAGTCTGAAGACAGCAGTCGAAATTCTCTAATTGTCTTACCGGACGCATGGGACCAATGCAGCATACAAATCCCAGGCCTCCGGGAATTTTTTCTGCTGATTGTATTGATCAGCGGCATCCCATCCGTACACGTAACGAAGATGCGCTTCTGGATGTACCAAACCCGAGTCATCCAATTCCTTCAACAGGTGAATTCGTAACGGTAACGCTTCTCTGAAATTGTCGTCATTTTTCGCTAATTTATCGGATAGCATTCTTTCCTGCTTTTGCGACAGACGGCGAAATGCCTGCAGCTGCGGGCCATTGATCGCACCGCACTGGGAACAGGGATTCAGAGCGCGCTCGTCACTGGGAATACGCTCCGTGCAGCCAGAGGTCGAACACTTCAGTGGATTGATTTCCGCATCCTGAAAGACAAACGCATTACGGTTAACAATAATACATTTTTCGTGAAGAGAACGACAAACCATTACTACCGAAATGCACTGCATTTAGCGGACAGCCTGATAAAGTCATTTACGTTGCAAAACCTCGGTGTCAAATTAAACTCTAACATATTCACTGCTGCACTTCCGGCATTCGCACAATTTGTGGAAGTGCTTGCGGAACTGATCTTGTCGCTGCTTTGCAGTACGTCCCAGTGGCCGACGAATGTGTCCATACCAGCGGCACTATAAAATACAAAACGGTCACCAGCTGACATGCAGTGCTGTTATTCAAACTTGAGAACAGATTTGCAGTCATGTTTCATTTCCGCGTCTTTCTGGATAATTCAGAAAAATATTCACAGTTATCCACTGTTATTGCTACTCCAATTTATTACCAAGATACTAAACCAATGCATTTGATTAAATTAAACGCATTCAGTTTTACAACTAAGTACCTGTGCAGTGCAACGTGTGAAGTTCATTACAGATTACAAATATATATACGTAGATTACTGTATGTTAATTTTTTGCATGCACAAAATAGTCATGGACTCCCGGCCGGTCTCAAAAACCTGTTTAATACAGTACAGATATAAATATCATGTTATTCATGTACAGTACCTAAATGCGCACTTACGGTTAGCAGGCGTGATGCTGTTTCTAGTCATGTGTAATTGTACGGGTAACACAATGCATTCAATTCATGCAGTAATTTTGCGCATACCATATTAATTAATATGCAGCAGCACCACAGTTTATGGTTATTTACGATTAATGTTATATTGTACTCGTACTTATATACTCTTACGCTCATATACTCGTATAAATATTACACGAAAACGACTATTAAAATGCTTACATCCTGTAATCCTCTGTACTCGTGAATGTCGTCGATGGCCATTATCTTGATGCTTCGCCCGTGGAAGGTCACCGTCACATTACTGTCCGAGCAGACCGGCGTCAGTTGACGGTAGTTGACGGTGGGGAAGATGCCCGCGCCAAACGGCAAGGGATAGGCCGCTTCAAAATTGTTCATAATGGCAGCATTGTAGCCGATTTTCCAGTACAGATCCAACATTTCCCTGACAGACAGGACCATACTCTCCACCGGCACTCCCAGGCATTCTGCCATGAAAGCATGCAGGCCTCGAAACAATCCTGGATTCCTGTAGCCAATACGAGTGTGTAACATTAACACGACTATATTATACAGTCTATTACACTGTACCAACAATCCGTATGTCAAAAATATGTATTCAATAATCCTGCATCTGAAAACGTTAACACGCACTTGCGAATTATTTTTGCTTTAAATATTAAAATAAATAAAAACTATACTGCACTGAACAGGTAAATACCATAATATTTTAGTTAACAGCTACAAATCGAAAAAGTTTTCTAAAACTCAGAAAACGATTACTTGTATGAAAGAAATACCGATCAAAACAAAGCTAGTGTTCCTTACCAGTTGGCGGAACGGAACAACAAGTCATAGAATGCACTATAATCACTTACGGTTTCGTCATTTTGCCGTATTCAGCGCTATAAGGAAGACCTTCTAAAATCTGCACGGCGGTTTTCTTTATTCCCTCACCGGGCAAAATATCGTCGATATTCCGCTATATAAATTCAAAACAAATTATAGAAATTTACATACATAATATTTAATCACCTGAACAGCGGAATCTTGCATTTACAATAATTTTTAAAGCGAGCGCCAGGGAAGAAGACGAAACGACACTACAGCAGTATTGCTGCATTAGGTGGAATTTACCTGAATTTTATTCAGTATTTTCAACAGAATCGTTTCGTTCGTCCAGAAACCCAGATCATGCCCGTTAGCGGGAGAAACTTTTTTCAGATCATCAAGTCGTGCACCACTGAACTTTTCTTTGAGCCGCTTAAGCACATCGCACTCCATCTTGTGTTCTTTCTTCCAATTTGCTTTCTGTAAGCGGTTCAAAATTTAGAATCGCTACTCGTATAGAATCGTAAATCTGAGCCTAATGATTTTGAAACTGTAATAAACAATACGGGTTAGAACTTAGGAATACGGGTTAGAACTTAGGGAGCAGACAACAACTTTGCATCAGCACTCACACCAAAGCAGTACTGTACTGTACTGCTTTAAAAACCGTCACTTTAAAAAATGCAGCAATAATTTCAAATACTACTCAGCAATCTGCAATCACCAACAAAATCTATCCCTTACCTGGCACTTAGCATCGCAGTAACTGTACAATCGGCACTGGGAGCACACCAACAAATGATCGGCAAATTTGAAGCAGTGCGCGCAGAGCATCTGGTGCTTGTCCCAGTGGAAAGACCAAACCCAGGCTTCGCTCTGCGCCACAATATCCCCCGCTGCAATGGATCGCGGCGCGGAGGCCGCGGGGGCACTTTGAGGCAAGGACCCGGGAGCCATGGCCGACAAAGGAATACCGTCTAAATGGAAGAGCGATTCTGCGTTTGAGAGATTCGTAAAAATTAATATCATAAACCATAAAAATATGACCAAGCTGACAAAACTAAAATTTTGACTATTGAGCAAGAAAACTTGTACGAATACAGACTACAGAGGATGGCAATTCGTACGATACTATTGTTGCGCTATCTGCAGCCACTCTATATCGCGGTTACCTGAAATAAATGCGGAAGTCAGCCCGTTAACGTTACTAGCGTCCTGTCGACTGGTGGCCATTTATTCTGTCGTTTTCTTTGTGCACTTTTTTTGCTATCTGCTTCCAATTTAATCGGTTGAGCATGGGATCCCGAACTTTCCCTACTGCTAACGGTGGCCGAAACCCTGCTTCCTCAGCGGCAGGATACAAAGTTTTTTTTGGCATTATTAACAAAAAGGTACAGGATGATTCTCGTTGTGATTTAAAGATGGAGGCATGTTTGCTCACGTTTGAAAATGATATGATGTAGAGTGCGCTGCGCTGTGCATTTCGAACCGTCTGTTTGACATGTTTTTGATTTTCTTGTTACTTTACAGAATGAACCGGATATGGAGCGTATTGGGGTGCAGTTCTTGAAACGCTTTGGTTTGAAGCCGGCCCATTACATCCAGTTGAAGCCGCATTTACAGTACGAAACCGTATGGAAGTGGTTGTGTTCCCTGTTGCATGTACTAGTTTTGATGGGACATTTACAGGGGATTTGAAGTAACCTTTCGGACAAAAAAAGATGCGTTGAGTGCCGTTGATCACTGTGACGAAGGCTCACTGGCCGATGCGTGGAAAGGATCAGTGACCGCGCGGCTGTTTCAGATCAACGAAGAAGCGGATTCCGTCGTCAGTCGCATGCAGAGGGAGCTCTGGATCTTCCCTGACCAATCAATCTCGGAAGAGGCGCGTATGGAGGATGTCTTGAAAATCGTGGAATTTTGGCAGAAGGCAGGGATATGTCCGCGCCTCGACGATAAAGACAAACCAACCCCGGAACAAGAGGACGCGTTTCGTCGCGGTCTCCTTGGTATTCCGACGCTGAAGAATCAGTAGGAAATGCTAATCGTTCGGCATTCATTGAAACTTCTTTGTTCATTTTAAAAATCATAGTAATATGTACTACCGTATTGCTACGTATAGTACGTACAATATTCGTTGGCTGAAATTCTTCGGAGTTGGTTGAAATTAGTCATTATTGAGAAGTTAATTCTCTTTGACGGAAAACCTTTAATTGTGATGTTGACACTGCTGTATTGTAATTTGTACGTACTTATTTCAAGTGCAAGCGTTAATGTGCTGTCGACGTTTTTTTAACATGGGTGAAACATGTTTCTGGCCCACTTGTACATTATTACCCAGGTTTCTGATTCACGACGATAATTTAATTTGTTAGTTTAAGAATATGATTCTCTTAATCAAATATTTTCCTGTTTGTGGATCATACTCGTATAAGTATTTTCTGTTTATTCAAGAAACATTATGCCAAATTATGGAGCCAAAACGGTTGTACGAACTTTGTCCTCGGAAGCCGCGATTGCTGCATCTGTGAATCCGCTGCCGGATGAGTTTTTCCAAGTATTCGACGGTCGGGGATTTGTTATCACGTGCTCCCGTCCTTGTGAGTTCAAGCATCGGCATGATGGAGAATCTGCCGTGCTCCACCTTCCGACCAAGTGGCGCACTTCTTTTGATGAGGTTAGCGAGTGACGTAACACCGATTACTGGCCTTCGACTTTTCCCAAGCTAAGTTCAGGTTGTTTGGATTATTTTTCTTAAAATTATGCACTTTTCAAGATTTTGCTCCCAAAGTGGCTGGACGAGCTGAATGCCAAAAGTGGAATCGATGCTCACAAGCTGCAAGAAAAAGTCAGACATCCGTAAGTTAATCTGGTTCGGCCTGCATTTGTTTTTTTTTCGCTGCTCGTTTCTGTAGTACACTTTAGAAAAACTGCTTTGTTTAGAACGATGCATCAGTTCCTCGGCTTTCGCGACGGGAAGGAGCGAGAACGTTTTATTGCGGCGGTGGAAAAGCATATGCCGACTTACCTCGAGGTGCCGGTTCGTGCCCTCCGTTGGTCGGATTCGATTTTATACGATTTTAAAGGAGTTTTGAGCGAGGATGACCGGGCTGATTTGGTCAGTATCATCGAGGGCAGCCCGGAAATGTTGAAGAAACTACAGGATCGCCCTGTTTTTCGCAGTGGAAATGGCGGCGGTGGCTCTGCGGGGACAAACCGTAAGTCTTAGGCTTCGGAACAGCATTTACTTAAAACCGGCTTTTCGTTTCTCAACTTCGAAGGTTTTGCTTAGCAGTTCCCCGGGTTAACGTTGATGTGAAAATTTAAGCTCACGGGAGAAGGACTAGTTTGTGCGGCTTGTTTAGTTTGGCTTTATTAACTGTGTTACTCGCACGGTGTGAGCTTTGTAACCGAATGTTTTAAGCGTTTATACGCTTTCAGTAACGGTAAGTTTTGTAGCAAGACCTTTCTTAACAATCACATGTCTTCAGAAAATTTTGCAAAAAAAATGCGCGTCGGCATGGTGCAATTACCCATAACGGCCAGACGATGTTTACGGTCATGTATGATTAACCCTGATTTTTACAGATTGCAATGAGATCGCGAGAATGTCCTGGTGGAGCTGTTACTTACAGCTGAATGTCTGCGCCAACCAGGACATCTTGTTCACGGTGGAGCGTCCACGTGGGGGGAACATGGACAAAGTAACTGTGGATTTCTCGGTCTTGTTGGTGTTCACCGAAGGTTACTTCCAGGCGGCGCTGAAACGGGCTGCGACCATCCGGAAATTTGTGCCCCAGTTGGAGGACATGATTCTTCTGTTTAAAGCGGGCGGCGGAATGATCATGAATGAGCATTTGTCTTTTGACTCATTGGGCCGGTATAAAGTTGAAACCGGTGCTATTCTATTAATTGCCTACTTAACAGTTTTTGTTTGCAGAATCACGTTCTACTTATGGTTTCCGAGTCTGGATGATGCGATAGCGGCGTACAGAATGATTACGCCAGAGGATGCCAAAGCCAGACCACGATTCAGCATTCGTGACGTTATTCAGCAACACGAAGGTGCGAAAGTCCGTACGGGCGCTTCCCTGGATACCGGCTTTTCGGTCACGTTCCCTAAAGGCGAATGGTACGTCAAAATGGATCTGAAGGAAATTGCCCGTAAAGCCGAAGCGCGGTAAAAGAATGCGTATTTTCGGTGCCAGTGTTTCCATTGATAATTTGAAATGGGATGTTATTTTTGTACTGTTTGTCTTCGTGTTCTTTCTTTTGTTTCTCGAATCGCTTAACCGACCGATTTCTTATAATGGTAATAATGGCACTGACCTTACAGGCTGTTGTGAATCTGATAGTATTCGGAATTATTTGACTTTTGTTGTCGTTTGAGGTTTTCATAAAACAATGATGACCTCTGGTTGGTTAAAAACTGGAGTATGCTGGAGAAGAAATAAACGCCACATAAACATCAAATGTGGGCGCCGCGAACAAACGTTAAAGACTGCGATAAGGTGCACTAGAACCACAACATCTCACCTGTCACTGGAACTGTACAGCGATAAAAAAATTGCAAAACCATTCATAAAAGTATAACATCAACACTCAACACTTACCTAAAATTACGTACATCAGTACACTTACAATTAAGGCCCGAAGCGAATCGATAAAATTACATAAAATTTATAAACCATCGTAAGTGATATTGCACTGCGGAGGTTGCGACTACAGAGAGCATTCGGTCGGATTCTATACTTAATCATTCTTCACTACGAGCGTGAAGTACTGTATTTCGACCATTATACTGTGTTCGGCTATCGCATACCAGTGATTTCAGCCGGGATTAAGCAATACACATCCGACAACAGCGTGCAATTTTATTTTAAATTTTCAAAAACAGCCGAAAATACACAGCACAGAAATTACTATTACTGGTACAGATATTCCAGACCAACACATCAAAAGTTCAGATTGTAAACTAATAACTGGTAAGGTGGGAATACAGAATTTGGACAAAACCATCTCGTGCACTATAAAATACTCATAAAATGCTTAAACAGGACAAAATCTCTAAATCTGGAAACCACTTGTAACGTGTAAACCATAAAAAATGGGAGACTATCATGCACAAATCAGATTCCGGAAGAGCGAGATAAAGGAGACTCAGGAGAGGAAGAAACGCCACCACAGCAACCGTACAAAACACTGCCATTATAAAGGGTAAAACCATCTGGTCCAGATCCAGACACGCCGGCCACGCACATGCCTCGATTTATAAACGGAGAAAACAAATGCCATTCACCAAAAAAACACCACCCTCACACAACACATGCAATACGACGCAGTCGTTCCACGATGAGCCAGATCCTGCGGAGCGCATTTAATGGTGCTGCTCACTGATCGTATTTGCCGCAGCAACGACAGCAGACATTCCGGAAGGTCACGGCAAACTTCTCCACAATACAGCCGTACAGGATGAACTGCAGCGATGAATAGAGCAGCGGTCCCAGATGGAACAGATCAATGAGGATACTCCACATGCAGGTTGTCCGGTCGGCGGCCAGATTGAGCGTCAGCACCAGCTGTCCGATGGCGTAGGCCCCCGTCAACAGGAAGAAGAGCAGCACTTGCACCAACACCAACCGCGTCAGCTGCATCTCCTCGTCCATATTCTGCCGCCACATTTCCCCATTGGAGCCCAGTGTGATCTTCTTCACGGATTTGGATTGTTTGTGTAAGGAAGAGATTAGCAGGAAGAACAGGATGAGCAGGCTGGGATAAGGGATAAAGATGCTGAAGACTAACTGGAACCAGTATAGGATGGAGCAGGCTAAGGCCGAGGCGCTGCCACTTCCTGTCAAGCAAAAGAACATCGTAATTAATGCATATATAAGTAGAATGGATGTAAAACGCTATTTTCATACACTGTCATATTTTCATACGTTGCTCTTATTCTGAATTTCTTTAGTTTACCATGCTGCTTGAACAACATAGGCATTTATCTCCACTTATCACGTACGTAATTAAACGAAAGGATGCGGGAATTTAAACCGTGTTCAGCATGCGTGATCATATTTTTAATCTAGTTTATGCTACTGCTCACATCGACAAATTTCAGCTAAATTTTTAGTTTCATAACGCAACAAATAGGTAAGCACTTCCATTTACAGTTAAAGTAACGTTTTGGCTGGTATGCGACGACTGTGACCTATCAAAACACAAGCCAAACACAATGCATGTCTCAGACAGAGTAACGGCGCGTAAATTATCATAACGACCAAATATGTATAATCATTTTTGAAGCAATTTACCATGAACCAGCCACAGACGAATTCAAATTAACTTTTTTTATCCGAGTGGCACTGCTGTGCGTGCGATAAGCAACCCTGCCGTTAACCTCAGAAAAATTCGCCACAAAAAAGATTCTGCTCACCGGCTAAGCATACTATTAACTCTTATCACAGCAGCGCCCAAGTGGCCACTGCCATATTAATCACGACAAAGACGTGAAAGTGTGAGACCGACAAGTTACCGGAAGTGTGCAGTTTGGCCTGTTGGACCGATAAGTGATAGCACACCGTCAACATATCATAATTTTCCATTTTCCAAATGGAGTGTGTTTGTATGGATGTGCAATCTGCTCGCATTTTCTGACCAGAGTGTGCCGGCTCTGGCAGCGTGTGCAATGGAGTAAACTTCAGAGCTCTTCTTGACAAGCGCTAATGTCACAACCATGCCCCATCAGCACCTGACTCAACACATAAGCACCACACACACGAACACCATCACCGCTGTAACATCTGGTCAACACAGATAAACAGCCGCGGAATCGCGGACACAACGAGCAGACCCTTTTAACGAAGAACTACAGCGGTGCTATACTTGGCTGGCAAGTTCGAACGCTCAATTATCTCCTGAACAAAATGATACTCAAAGCAAAATATGCATATCTAATCGGATTTTCCATGTACCAATGTTTATACACGTTTTTAAAAGCTAGCACTCATTTTTTCCACTTCAATCTGAAAGGAATTCAACCGGAAACAAATGTATACGATTGCTAATGCACAGAAAGCACTCGTCACTCAAATTAGGCACACACAAAACGTACACGAACTGCGGTATAACTTTCGAATATCGGCAATATTCTTTTACCATTACAACAATTTTTGCTCATTTGGTACAGGCTGCAGCATTTATATTCCTATTTTTTTGCAGTCTATCTGTATGTCGTGAAATTTTCAAAAACAGTGTTTTATATTTTCATTAAAAATGCCTTTCCTGATAACCACACGGGGACGCATGATATAAAATCACAGTCAACATGACAATCAGTGCGTTTTTGTACCACGCGCCGTAATGGCCGATAATCTCCTGAATAAACAGCCTATACATTTCGCCCAGCCTGATCTGACTACATCCCAATGGGACTAGCCTTCATGACACGCCAACCATCTACGCCTGCAGTCAGTGAAGTGAAAAACTATTTATTAACAATTCAGAAAAATCCCCCCGTCCATAAAATTCTAATGGCTAATGCAGAGCACGTACTATGACAAATTGCATTACACGGGCCTTTCAGCAGTAAAGCCAGAAGAACCAGATCAGCGAAAGGATATAACAACATTTCCGATCTACAGCACAAACACGCTTCGTCGAGCATCTTTTACGCAGCACTCTCACTCATAATACACACAACACACTGTAACCAAATAAAGGGCGCTTTGTGTTGACACGGTTATATCAAAACAAACTCGTACTTTAACCTTCTTATGAACTTGCCAAGAGAAAATCTGTGAGAAATAGCCGCAGCCGACATTTTTGCCCAGTTCCGACGTAAAGAATGTCACATCGATACAGTAAATTATGAAATCCTAATCAATTTTATGTCACAGCCATCGGATCTCACACACTGCGACACAGACGGCACTGGAGGCCCCTGTTAAATCATAATGATCATAATGGCGCTGGACATGCATCACTGATAACGATGGAGATTGCCAAATGGGTTTTAAATTGAAAGCATTTTCATTTCTTCGATAAATGAGGCAACATCACTGACATTTTTCCTGCTTACTCGACTGAAACGCTGAATATACTCCATGACATACACACAACAGCCACCAACGTTCGATAGAGATTGATAAGCTTCCCGAAAAGTCCTTAATTCGAAAATTTCCTACTCATAAATCATATTTCCGGCGCCTCTCCTCCTAATGCATTTTTTTCGAGAACATTTTTTATTTCGAAAGAGTTAGAATATTTTGGTTCTCCAAAAGCGGAAAGAAAATATTTTAAAAATTCCAAATTTTAGGATTTCCATTTAAATCCCTTTAGCAGCAGTTTACCGATACGTTAAAAAATAACACAAACCTGTAGTATGAGGCGCCGCATAGCCCAGCACATACTGCAACTTTGAATACCACAGAACCGGAAACACCAGTCCGAATGCCGCCATCCAAATGAACACATTGACCAAATCCGCTCTCCATGGCGAGCAACGTCGTTTCCCCGAATCCGGCGTAAACCCTACCACGACGCGCTCGATTCCGGCCGCCAAGATCTGCCACAGGACAATCAAATAGAAGAAATAGCTGAAATGATGAATATACGACCGCCCTTGCACATGGAACTCATGGCGTTTATACTCCTCGGAATAGTCAATCATCCGCAAGAGGAACACCGCCAGGATATACAGGATTTGCCCCAGGGTGCTGGACAGCAGAAACGAATTCACCCCCGACCGCAAATTCCGGCAGCACAGGATGCTGAGCACCAGCAGATTGGACACCAACCCCAACGCCAACAATGTTGGACTGACCACTTCCACGACGTAGGCCGCCGTAGCCACCCAGTCTTCCACGCTGATGGACCGATTCGGCAAGCCGCTCATGGGATCCACCATAGCCGCGCCATCCCGACTGTACGACTGAATACACTGTGATCCCGTGGACACTTCCGGACAGTGATACAGCAGGCCGATCGGCAGGATACAGTCATATTCGGTGCCCTGGCCGGTGATCCGGGGAAAGATGGAGAAGGGATGGGCCGTGGACAGGCGTGCTGCCGGGTCAATGCAGCTGTTGGTTCTGAAATCCAGATAGGGAATGGGTGCGCGGGATGATGGCCACGACATGATGCCGTATTGTGATCAAGTCAATCTGTAAAAGCGTAAACGAGGATTAACGGGATTAATGACCGGAAGTCTGGGGGACGATGGGTTCCTGTGGGGTAAAAGTGTCAAGTAGTCTTAAGAAAGAGGGTCAACACCTTGCTCCCCCACTCAGAAACTAATTCGGCCTTAACAGCCACAAGACGTTTGACATACATATAAACGCACAGATTGCCCAATTATCACGTTACACTGTCAGAATGGGATATATGAGGTTGTAAACCAACCGCTGCGACCAAATTTCTACCATCAAAGGCCGCTGACAATCAGAGAAACGTCGAATTTTCCGATAGAAAAACCATAAATATATCTTCAACGAAACGGCACAGGCAAATATCCTGTTATTACTAATTCGCCTAACCTTGTATGTCAATTTTCAGTTCTGACCGGCACGCGCACGAAACCGTATCGATCAACTGGCAAATATCACATTACAAATATATTCGGCATTTCGGGAACAATATTGTGCTTTGAATGAGTCAGACCCGGGTTCCGAAGCTTATCGATTCGGCAGAAGGTAATAAAGTAGGTAAACTATGGAAAAGTAAGTATTCCCCGCGTCACAACAACCATCCAAAGTGCAGTAACACTAGCCAGTCGTATGAATATCCCAGACAAACACAACCATCAAGCGTCAACGTGTGTGTGTGCAGTGTGCACATCAGTGTTTGTCCATTCCACTTTCGGCCCCGGCAATCATTCCAGGGATCGAAAATGGGATTAAAGCCTAATATTCAGTGCATTAACTCCACTGACCGACCGCGCTACTCGCCCATACATTAAGCAAACAGGAAAAATCGATAGTGCCCGATCATCCAGCTTCCCACACATACTAGCCTATTATCGTCCCCGACCCTGTCCTGTACAGTGTACACAAAACCGTAGAACACTCATCCCAAAATGTCGCCAAGGGGTGGGCACATTTGCATCACTGTGTACTTCAGAATTGGCATCGTCGAGTGCGGCGGAGATAGTGAAGAGAGAAAAGAGCGGTGCTGGGGAAAATTAAGCTCCATGAGCTGAAAAACTGACAAGGCGATCATCGTCAAGAGAGTCGGCTACGCTATGTGTGTAGCGGATCATGTTTGAGATGGAGATCGCTGCTGGCCATTGCAAACCATGCAGTGCAGCCCCACTATCACCACCGACGATGCACCAGCATCACGTAACGAACTGCAAATTCAGAGCCCTCATACGGCTCCGTGCGTAAGGACGTTCTTTTAGCGGCGTTACGCAGATATAACGTCCCTGAATATTTGATCAGTTACATTAATAATTATTACACGGGATTGGCGATTAAAGTCTATCATAACGATACGTTTTCTGAGCGTATCCCTTTCAATGTCGGACTGTTCCAGGGTGATACTATGAGTTGTTCGCTGTACCTTATTGCATCTAATTGTGTAATTGAGTTTCTGGAAGAAAATCAAAAACGTGGAATTGCGTTTGATAGCGTTCCAGAGAAAAAAATAGTTTCTCTCGCATTCGCCGATGATTTGACGCTTGTTACTAACAATAAAGCCAGCATGAAGAGACTGCTACGTGAAGTAAATATGCGTATGAAGTCCATCGGGTTGCATTTAAATGCCGGCAAATGCCGCTGTTTTTCACTTTCTAAGGGAATTTCGTCTGATACTGCTTTTGAAATTAATGGGGAGAGCATTTCAAATATCTCTAACGATCCTATGAAATTTCTGGGTGTTCATATTTTTAATAAAAATCAATCGGTTAACAGTGGAAGTTTAATTTTTTCGAGCCTGGATGCATTGTTAAAGAAAGTTGACCATCTCAACTTGCGCAGCGTTTTTAAAGTACGAATTTACAATGAATACGTTATGTCATGCATGCGATTTGTCTTGACAATGCACGATCTTAGCTTATCTACGGTTAACTCGCTCGAAGCACTTGTTAATAAATATCTGAAAAAATGGTTAAATTTGACTGTTTCTGCTAATTGTGATTTCTTTTACGTGAACGAGGGATTAAACCTAAAGTCGGTAAAATCTGTGTATCTGCAAGCACATGCAGCTTTCATCGCTGATGCAATATGCTCTGCAGATGTTGTTGTTGCAGTAATGGCTGGGAGGGTGTTAGCGCAGCTTGTGCTAATGATTCTGTTGTTGTGGACATTGTGCAGTCCACGGTCGAAGCCGGCAGGCAATCGGGGTCTAATAAATCGGCAATTAAGAGGCTGGTGAATAAGAAAGTGAGGCAACATGTGTCCGCTTCTAAAGAAAACCGCATCGACTCATTAATTCAGCAGGGAGCGTGGCGGGAAATCGCAAAGGCACAGATAGTTGATGCTCCTTGGAAATCCGTTTTGTATGATCTTTCTGAGAACATCGTTTCCTTTATGATCGAATCGGCTCTAAATATTTCTCCCTCTTTTACCAATTTGCTAAAGTGGGGACAGATTGTGTCAGCCAAGTGTGATTTGTGTGGGGCCGATAAAGGATCTCTGTGTCACATAATTAATAGCTGTCCGGTATCGCTTAATAGCCACAGATACACTTGGCGGCATAACAGCGTCTTACAAGCTATCTTTCTCTCTTTGACCGGTGTGGCTGATAAAACTAAATGGGAAGTTCTATGTGATCTCAATCCTAACAGCTATGAGACTCATGTTAGTACTGTCCCTGTTGATGTCTTCCTACTTCCCTTTCTCCTGACTTGTGTTGCATTAACCGCCGGGAGAAGCGTCTTATTTTAGCGGAGCTGACCATTCCCTTTGAGACCGTACAGGGATTCGCCAATGCCGAGGCACGGAAACACACGCGTTACACCCCGCTGGTACAACAACTAACCGGCGCCGGCTGGCAGGCGGACTACTACCATCTCGCAATAGGTTCAAGGGAATGGTCGCACGTGACGCCATGATCAGTATGGACAAAATAGCCAACACCATCCGGCCGGTTACCGCCTTACCGCAATCGAAGTCGCTGTTTAAAAACTTAATGACTATTGCTGTGTCTTGCTCATATGTTATCTTTTTAAATAAATCTAACAAGGACTGGACAGTACCAGGCCCAAGTAATTTGTTCAATGTTCATGCACGCTAGTCGTTCTTCCTCGCCGGTCGTCCTCAGCACGGTCGACAATGATGCTGTTTCAGATTAGTGTCCGATCTCATGTTTTCCGATTATTGTTGTTGTGGCAATCTGTTCCGTTACACTTTACCTTATTGCGATTGTAATAAAATAAGACTGTACAGTTGTAAGAAAGAACAGGCCAGATTTTCAGTTTAGTCTCTCCATGCTTTCCTTTTACTCCATTTTGTTTTGAAAATTTTGTTGAAAATTTCACGAAATTAAAATTAAATTTAATGCTGCTGGAGGTTTTGGGTTTTAACGCCGGGAGACTAAGCGACAGTAAGGCGAAAGAAAAAAGCATATAAGTACAAAATATATAAACATAAGTAATTATTACTGTCCTGTTCTTTCACGCAACTATAAGAATAGTGTTCTGGCAGTAATTCCAGGACCTGCGCGCCTGGGTAGGGACTAAATCGCAATAAAGGTTGTATTTTTTTACCAAGGCTATTTTTCCATCTCTGATTTATGTGGCCATCGGAAGCGGCGGCGCTGTGTACTGTGCGATCACCATGATTGGAATGTTATATTCCGTGTCCGTTTTCCTTAATCAAGATTATTCAAGCCTCAATCTTGAGCTGGCCGATGGCTTATAGAGCGACATTTTAATCATACCACCAAGTGCATACATAAACGCTATTCAATCAAGTTCACTTGATTTTCACTCAAAAGATAAATTCACAAATAAAACCTGTTTTCCCTATAGCGCGTCTCACTGCGCGACTGGACACTGCGATAAACCGTTGATGATGCTTCCCAGCTGCTGTCGACATACACGTCAAACGATTTCCAGATGCTCGCCTGACTCACACACAACCCGAACCCATTTTTCACAATTCGTCACTTGTGGTCTTTTCATTTTGAACACGAACGCCAATTAGCTACGAATATTGTCATGATGCGCAAGCTGACATGCTGCACGTCTCGTGCAGAAACTTTTGTCAACGAAAAATCTTCTCCTATTACTTAATTTCAGGAATTACTATAAGTTCAGTGCGCAATATCCACATAATATGGATAAGCTTTCCAGAGCTTTTGGCACGGACAAAAGGAAAAATGCTGATGCGTTTTTAAATGCGGTTCGTAAATAACAGCTAGTCAGCACTTTCCTCACGTAAGAATGGAAAATTTTGAACTATCGACAAAGTACAAGCGTAATCCTCATAATTCCGCAATTATCGCCCTCAATTTGTATGCTACAAAAAATTATCAACTGCCTATCTGCAACTGAATTTTGTCCATTTTAGGTTGTACCACATATCCGACAAGTGCTACGTTTTATGGTCACGACGCGTCAGTATGTGGGCGATCAAAAATTAATTCAAAAAGCCTATCTGCCTCGCCAAACTGAATTAATTAGACGACGACTAGCGTGTATATTACACTTGAATTACCTAACTTGCGGTAACAGGAAACCGGTTTGATATAATTACCCGACTAAACTATCACGCACTGCGCTTCCGAAATGAAAAGTTGGTCAAAAAGTCAAAATTTCCGAAAATCGATCGCGAACAGAAAAACCGGAAACCTTAAAACACATAAAACAACGGAAGCACGATAAAATTAAGGCGATACTGTACACAAATGCAGTTCTTTTTACAAAACTGAAGAAAACTGTGCGCAGAGGAACTCTAGCAGCAATTCAAATTTACGATTCGCTTTCTATGTCATGATTGCATAAGCGATGATATTTATGCGCATAATGAAAGTGAAAGCAGTGGAATATGGAATCAGGCGATTACGCACAAGGCTGCCCATTAAAAGGAGCCTCAAACTCATCAAGCTCACCACATAAACTTGTCAACCACAGAAATATTAAGTCAACAGCAGCGCCATGCAGCACAAATAAAAACAAATGTAAATTCTGAACGGTCAAGAGGCCAGATTGTCAGCTGAAACACGCATTATCGATAGCCGTTTCACCGGTCGTTGGAAGTTTAAAAAATTAGCTTAATCGTCATTATTAAGAATTAGACGCAATGTCCTAAAATAAGGCATAAAATTTCACTGCGGATCCTAGAAAACTTTTCTAAATCTTCAAAAAAATTCCAACAAATATACTTAGTTATAAATTAGCCAGATAAGGCGCATCGTAAAAAATTTTTGATTTCCGATTATCCTGAAGAAATTAGCTAATTGTGAGTACATATTTCAAGAAAATTTTTAAAAATTCTGTAATGACTAAGGCAGCAACAGTGTGAAGAGTAATATTTCAGTTTTCACCCATGCCCGAATTCAAAAATAATCTCACGTGGAACTTATCAGCTTATCTTATCGCCTATGCAAATTTAAATTCCGCATAGTTACACTGGAAAATATTATTCGTTAAAATGTAAATATTAATTCTGGAATGTCTTACATTTTGTGCCGCTTGAAAACAGGTGTGAATATTCACTTTGACAGTTGCGCCTGCATGACGCTGTATTAGCCGTGATGGAGATCTCGTGTTCGGGCAATCCTTGGCCCAGATCAAAAGCAATTTCCGGCTGCCAATCTACAAGAAGAAAATAGACTTTCAATGGCTTCTCAAATTCAATAAGCAATCCAATCCCTGCTGGCGCAAACAACAAACTACTTGCATACAATCAAAGCGCCCACTGCCCAGGATCAACCCGCACGCTGCGATCGATTATTAGCAGGATCCCGGTAAAATCCACAAAAAAATGTTTTCTGTAAACGGTGCGCTCTGACCGTTGTCAACAATGAAAATTCGATCAGATGCACCCGCTAAGAAGCAGTATTAATGACTGTTGTCGGCAAACAGTGGCTGTGGCGATCGATTTCCTGCTAGAAGATGCATTCGGAGAAGAGATCTAGAAAATTTTGATGGATTTGCCTGGGCAATATTACGCTGGCTAAACTGACAGCAAGAGCACTGTGCCGAGAGAAAGATGGCCAATCGACACCAAAATGAATCTGCGCAAAATGGCTACACGAAATGAATGCAGGCCATCGCAATCGGCTGCTGTACAGCTCTGCCTGCCTGTTTGGCGGCTCGCAATTTTTCGTTCTCGTATGCGGAGGCTTTTCACTGAACCGAAAGAGAATGGAGCCCCGCCTCCGGTGGTTTCTCTCGGTTAGTCATGCGGAGTACGCGGTGTTGTTTGTAACACAGTAGCGCAGGCATTCCCTCACTGCGTTTCCGGTGCCTGGGAATCTTGCATTACTACAACAGTTATCGAAAATATTCATTGCTTTTTGGTTTTACATTTGACATGGCGGCGATAGTAGCTACTGATGGAAAAATCTTTATGCTTAAAAAATTATCTAAGCGAGTCGGAAATTCTTAATAAAGCCATGAGCTCCGCAGAGCGGTCTGCAGTCTGCACTCTGCAGAGTGCATATTGGGTGACATTCCCCCCGGTAATGCTCAGCTCTCCACATCACAACCCTGCAGCTTTTCTTATGGGCCATTCTTATGCCAAAAAACATGTGTTTCATTTTCGCACGTTGTTGTGGTTTTACGTAAGGATCCCATCCTGAATCCGCAATGGGTGTAGTTTATTGGTTTCTTGGTTATCTTTCTGATGTTCAATTATGTTTCGTTAGTCTCAGAGGTATATGGTTCCCGTTCTGTAGTATTTCAAGTGCATGGCAGTAGCCTGGTAGCCTGATAACACGGGCCAGGTTTTGATAGATTTCCGTTTGTGTTTCACTGTTTCTGAACTTTTCGCATGTCATCAGTCGCCTGGCCCAGCGCACTTTGATCGTGAATGAGTTCGTGATTCTTGCGCTTTTCGTGGCGCTTTCGTTCTCATTTGGAATTAACGTTCTTTTTGAGGGCGATTTCGTTGTATCTAGAAGGTACGTGGTGCTGTGCGTGACGGTTTGCTAGCAAGCTGATGCTTGCTAATTACCGATCACATGCTATCAAAATGATGCTGGCGTCTCTGATTAGCTCTTTGACGCCTGCATCTTACAATGAAGTCTTTTCGCTTGTAAAACGCGAACCGTAATCAAAAAGGACATTTTGCTGAAATTGATCCTGTCGAGTTTTTCACACTACTACCAAAATGTATTCAGATAATAGTGGTAATACTTACTGAAATTCAGGCAATTGTAGCCATACTGTAGTGAGTGTAGCCATACTGTAATCTCACTGCTGCTGCTATTAATCCTAATGTTCTTCTTGAATATTCTGTACTAGTTTCTAAATATTCACTGCTAGTAACGTTATAATTCGCAGTACCAGTGGCTCTAAATTTTTGTTAACAATTTTATAATCAGTAATGTAATGGGTATTATTTGTACGTAATTGAACGTAATTTTGAGGTTTTGCTTCATAATTCATTCCAGAAAGGCAGCGCAATGGAGAGTGACGAAGAAATGGGCTACGATTACGACGCCGACGACAACCTGGACTTTGCCACTCCCCCCTCCACCTCCAACTCCGCCCGGCCGCGCCCCGTCCACGCAGGTGCTGGTGATTACGGACTGAATGATTCCGTGGACGAAGATGACGGGGAGTTCGATGATCACATTGGCAGTGACGAGGATGTCAGTCTGGATGACGATCTCGGTCTGAGCGGCGATGGACGCTTTCGCCGCGAATCACAAGTCCTCTCCTCATCCCTCCGCGAAGCCGGCGTTTCCGGCGCGGGAGCGTTGAACAGCCCCTCTGCGGGTGGGAAGGAACCGCTGCATGCCATCTCCACCAGTGGACAAGATGTGCCGTACGATGTCCTCTCGCCGGAACAGATCTGCCAGTACATGACGGAGGTGGTGCGAGAAGTCAATCAAGTGCTCCAGGTTAGCGATTGTATTATTATAATCATTACTGTCTGCGTTTTACAATTTTATTCGAGTTTTATATGGTTGGTTTGGCAAGTGAATTGGTAGTTCTTACTGAATTTTGCGGTATACAGTATATTTGGCTGGGTTAGTTAGTTTATGAATTTCGCTTGTTTGTACGTTGGGTGCTCCAAACTCCAAAATCATACGAACTATAAGTACTGCTTCGTTTGAATGCGCGGTGCTCTTCTGTATTTTAGCTTCCCACGACAACTGTCAGGCTGTTATTGAGTCAACTGAACTGGGATAAAGAAAGTCTGATGGAACGATTTTTTGAGGATAGTGAAAAGTTGTTCCAGGATGCTCATGTTGTCTGCCGATCGGATTCGATCGGATCGGATAAAGAGGATATGCATGCTGCAAGTACATCGGTAAGTCCTTGTTGTTTTCTTTAAATAGTATTCAGATCTTGGCCTTAAATTAATATTGAGATCTTTAAATTATTATTTATGATAAAGCTTGACGATGATAGGTGATGGTTTTAGATTTTTTTTATGGTGAAAGATTTTAAACGAGAAATATGCCGCGCTCAGTTGGTACTGGTAATACTTGCGATTAATGTGAGACCACTTACTGCATACCTATTGTACTTACTGCATACCTGTACGGTAAGTCATTTTGATCACGCAATTTAAAAACACAACCGAACTTTGCGATTGCCTTATTAGGCTACTTGTTTCGAAACATTATGGTTTCTCTCCATGGTGTTGTCAGATAGCACTCATAGTAGCATGAATTATTAGTATAGTTTACGGTGCAAATTAGTGGCATCGGTACTATTTTGAATATTTGAAATTGAATTGATTGGTGGTTTTACAGAAAGAAACATGCGAGATTTGCTACACAACTTTGAAAAGCGGTTCTGGTGATTGGAAGGGCACGGATTGTGGTCATCGGTTCTGTGGGAGTTGCTGGAAAACATACTTGACCGGAAAGATTGTGGATGAGAACATAACGTATAAGATTGAATGTCCGGCGCATGATTGTCACATTTTGGTGGATGATGTATTTGTGATGCAAGTGATCAGCAATAGTCATAACGTGAGGAGAAAATATCAGCATGGAATCACCAATTCTTTCGTGGAATCCCATCGCTGTATGCGATGGTGTCCCGGTGCAGATTGTTTATACGCGGTGCGAGTCCGCTCGGCGGAGTGGATGCCGGTCAAATGTACCCAGTGTCAAACTACCTTCTGCTTTCTCTGCGGCCAACCTTGGTGCGTTTGATTATCGAAGCGTGTATAAATGAATACTCGTACTGAATATGATTTCATTTTCAAATTCTGCAAGTGGTTATCAGAAAATGGCATATGTATGTATATTCGGTGTATACGCATTTTAATTCGTATACAATACATTTAGAAGTTTTAGCTGCCTTGGTTTTAGCAACAACATTCGCATTCGAAATGTTTTGCCAATTAAACCATACGAAACCATGCTGTCTGGAATTGTTAGTTAGTGACACCGTATGTTTGCACTTGTAGGCATGATCCAGTGACATGTGATGTTCTGAAACGATGGAGGAAAAAGTGTGCGGATGACAGCGAGACCAGCAACTGGATTGCTGCTAATACCAAGGAGTGTCCCACGTGCCACGCTACAATTGAAAAGGCAATTCGATTGAATTCTTTCTAAGGAGGATTAGTGATTAATTTTTCTTTGCAGGATGGTGGTTGCAATCATGTTGGTAAGTTCTATGCTTGCTAATACTATGAAGTACCAAAATGCTTCCTTAGACTGCCCATACGAGCATTGATACATGTTAGAGCAGTTATGTACGACTGCGAGTGCGAACTATAGCTGACAAGTGACGACTTCTCTGGGTTGCAGTTTGTAAGAATGCCGTTTGCAAAGCAGAATTCTGTTGGATCTGTTTGGGTCCGTGGCAGCCCCATGGGTCATCCTGGTTTAAGTGCAACCGCTATACTGATGATGAAGCCAAAGCAGCTCGAGATGCTCAGGAAAAGTCACGATTTGCGCTACAGCGATATCTCTTCTATTTTAATCGCTATATGAATCATCAGCAAAGTTTGAAGCTGGAAACCAAGGTTATTTTATTCTGTTTATGGTGAAAAGTAAACTTATTGATAATTATTGAACCGTTTTATGTTTTCAGTTAAACAACTCCATTCTCCTCAAGATGGAAGAATTACAGCAGCACAATATGTCCTGGATTGAAGTGCAGTTCTTACAGAAAGCGTAAGTTTATTAGCCGACCCTGGCCTCGCTTTCAGCTTTCTTACGATGGATAATTTTCTATTACAGAGTGAATATTCTGCAACAGTGTCGCCAAACTTTAATGTACACGTACGTATTCGCCTTCTACCTGCAGAAGAACAATCAGCAGATCATGTTTGAAGATAATCAACATGATCTGGAGAATGCGACAGAAACCCTATCCGGTTACCTGGAACGTGATATTACCGGTCAGAACGCGGTGGAAATCAAACAGAAAGTGCAGGATAAAGCCAGTTATTGCGAAATACGCCGGCGAGCCTTGGTGGATCATGTGCATGAAGGCTATGATAAAGATTGGTGGGAATTCTCATCGTAAAAACCCGAATGAAATATTTTTATCATAGTTTTCTGTTACCCGTTTATCGGTTTCCTCATCTTTTGTTTTTTTGTGCTGTTTGGTTTCTTTTGTTTCATAGTTTAATATTGGTCCTTGCACGGCGGCTGAATATATTCAAAAGATGTCATGGTGATTTTATTAGAGTAAAAATTTTATTCTCTATGCTTGTGCCAAGTTATAATCGTAATGCTCACAGTCAGAAACTCAACTTCGTTAGAACTGCTAAATTATTTGACCTCAAAAAGTGGTGTTTGACGTCTGACGATCGAAATATGCAGAATTATAGCGCTTTCCGCAGTTTAAACTTTTTTCTACGGATCCGTCGCGTTCACCTCTACGACATTTGTCAGAACTCTTTAACCATCTGCTTCTCTTTAAAGCCACAAAAAGATAAAAAGCTAAAAAGATACGCAGACAACAAAGAGGAAAAAACCGTCATATTCTCATTAGTTTTTCTTAAATATCGCACGACTACAAAATTCCTATTTCGGGAATGGAGTGCTGTGAACCGCATCCGCATTGTTGCCCAAGCTGGTGTAAAGCAAAAGAATATTCTTCAAACCCATAGCCACATTATAGGCATCGTCGATGAGCATCTGTTTCAGCGCCGCTTTAGTTTTACTAGCTCTGTTATCGCCTGGCGATCTGTCCGCATCTCCATCCGGAAAACCAGATGTAGTTTCATTTACAAACTCCAGACAGTCTGTCAAAAGTCGGTTGGAGCTGGTCAAAAGGTCGGACAACGCCGCTGGCCGTTCTCCATCCTGCAAAAGGAACCAATCAAGACGACTTAAATCTTCTGACCGTACGACGCAAAAAATCGTACCATAAAGGGTAAACAGTGGTTGCAGAGATTATGGGTCAAGGTGTGGATTCTCTGCGCACATTTACTCAGTACGTTATGATCTTCATTTTCCGCCGCGCGTTTCAGCTCATGGATGGATTGTGTGATCTGCGACGTGTACCCACTGACCGACTCCTGGTCCGGCCGGATGCTCCTCTCAGGAGAACTGTGAACAGGAATAATCACATCTTTAACAAAACCACTTCATGTATGTGCAGATAACCCCGCTTGACACAAAAAAATTAGTCAATTTACTGAACAATCCATTTTTTCATTTTACCATAGACGAGAAAAAAAAGTTCACCCGATAAAATTACTGCGGCATTTAGAAATCATTTAAAAAAACGATGTGGAAAGCATACCCGTCAATGTTTCCGTTAGATTCTTCGTTTGTATCTGCAAGTCCGGAGTCATCCCGAAGCGTTCGCGGAAATGGAACGGGACGTGCAACAGATGAATCTGCGCCTCCCGGCATATTGCCACACTCCTGGATCTTCCTCGACTGATCGTTCAGCAAAACGGAAACCTGGATGAACATCATAGCGTTCAGCGTCACCAAACAGAACGGTGATGGTGTTGCAATTATCAACGAATACAGGTACGTTAATGAGATTAACTGGTATTCACTCACTTGGTTGTTCAAGCGCTCGAGATCATTTCGCATAGCATCCACCGTTCTTGACAGATCTTTTTCCCGTGCTATCGTCTCATCCAACGCCTTCTTCATCTCCATATACTGTTCCGCCGTCACACTCTGCTGGCTGGTCTCCCGTGTCAAACGCACATTCCGCACTTGGGCATAAATTGGCTCCTTTCCCGCGCGCACCGCTTGCGCATTGCCACGGACAGCGCCTGCAGCTGGCGCAAAATCCAAATAGTCTTCATCCTCACGATCGTCCAGCGTCACGTCATACACCGGACTTTCCCGGGTTGCGTCATCTCGATCGACTTCCCGTTCAGTGCTAGGCCCGCGCGAAGCCGCTCTGGAAACGGAAAGTATCGTCGCCTGCTGGGGTGTTGGCACGGGAGCAGGAAGGGCCCGCGCGCTGTCACCGCCGCCTTGACGACGCCGTATTTCGGTCAGCAAATCAATGATTAGCCCGGCTAAGTCACGGGAGTTTAGCGTGCCCAGTTTCTGACGCATTTGGTTATGCGTCGAAGATAATTTCGGATTAACCGGCAAAAATCCGGATGGACGGCGGTGCGTGGGCGTGTGAGCATCCTCCCCTTGGCAAGCTAACAACAAGCAAAATAAGCCATAGTGCCGAGCATTATGGGCATCAGAAACCAAAAGATTTTTATCTCACCAGCTTCTGTTTCGCGCCGATCCACTTCATCGTACACATCCATAGCTAACGTTTCCAACAGGCTGTTACTGAGCGCATGCAATGCTCGTCGAGCGCTTTTCGAAAGCTCTGACAGATCAGAAGAGCTAAAAATGCAAGTCCCGCTAAATATCACAAAGCCTGCAACGATGATTGTTACCAAAAAGCGGTACATACTGATCCCCCATTTCTGGTATGAGGAAGTGCTGTCCCGCTGCATGATCCGGTCGTCGGTTGCACAAGAAGAACGCCAAGCGATCTGTCACCTCATACTGGCATTCCGCGATGCGATCTGCCAAGACCGGATTAGGAACACAGCGCGCATGGTCCGCCGGGGTTTTCCCGGCAATATCAGGAGCACCTACAGAGAAAAATCAGTCCTTTCGAGCAAGATAACAACAAACCCGTTTGAAGATGCCTTACCTGGATCAGCGCCGTATACAATTAACAGTTCCACCTGCGATGCTTGTCCAGCTTTAGCAGCCACGTGCAGAGGCCGATTACCCTTTTCCCGATGCCAATAGTTCGGATCAGCTCCCAAGCATAAAAGGCGCAAAGATATTTCAATGTTGCCTGTTCTGACGGATGAGTGCAGTTGCTACAAAAAGCATTTCACTCTTTTCTGTTGTCTAAACTGTCTGCCACTTCTATTTAGAACTCCAAAAACATGTTTCATTACGCAATACAGCAGATGCTAAAGGAAGTGCATCTATCTTACTCAGAAGTCAGGAGTACTCGTACATATCAGCTTTCACCAGCGAAATAAATTTTTAAACACACTGAATATCGTTTACTATTAGAATAAATCTTTACAGAAGAGGACAACACAGCGGCACTTGCATAGTGGGAAATACGTAAAAGAGGCTCAAAAACAATGTGAAAAATATGAACACGATGTGAAAATGCTCAAAAACAAAAGCGGTACCTGGCTGACATCCTCCAAAGTGCTTTGCGAATCGTCTCTAGTGGGACGGTGAATAAATGACTGCAGTTGATACTTGGCACGGATGAAGTCCGATTTATTAGGATGAATGGGATCTTTCGGAGACGGTTTGCGGCGTTGCGTCTGGCTGTGCTGCTTATGCCCTGTGGCGGCGGCTGCCGCCAGCGCCAACGGACTGCTCCCACTGGACGTTAAACTTGTGTGGCCGGATGAGGAACCGGGATGGAGGAGACAGTATTCCCATAAACCATTGGCACCCTTACTGTACAGGCTGGTTACCATCTGCAAAAAAAACATTCAAACTGTCAAATTGTTAAGCAGGTTGTAAATAATTTAATACTATTATCGCAGAGCAGTATAATAACAGTATTCAAACTTTATCAACGTAGATATCTTGACCACTATTTCCCAAAATAATGGAAAATATTGCTGGTTAATTTAAAAAAGAATATAGTCTAAACATTTTTATACTTTTAAAATTAAAATCTGGTTTGTCTAGATAAAAATTAATTATCGTGACCAACATTTCCCAAAATATTTTCTAGTTAATTTAGAAAAATACCAAAATATTTTCACACGCTTTTTTAAATAAAAAATTTGGTTTCTTCAAATAAAATTTATGCTTCGGTACAGCGTGATCCTTATCTTACCGTGAGCAATGTGGGTGGCCAATGCCAGCATCCGGCGGCGGCGCTAGAGGACGGACTGCCGCTGGCACTAGATGCCGTGCTGCGACGCTGCGGACGAGCACGGGCTAAGGGCAGGGGCTTCACCTGGGACACATGACGGCCCAGTACACGGTGGATGCTGCAGCACTCCTCGCAGATGAGCACACCACGGTTCACCGAGGCCCACGTGGCGTCTGTGGAAACCGAAGCTGCAGTTCACGGTACACTGGAAGAGTAGGGAATATAACGTACCTGCAGCGCCACAATCAGCGCAGATCTGATTGATCATGGTGGTGGTGGTGGCGATGCCACCCACTGCGGGACTGCGCCATGGCGACTGCTGCTGTGGTGTATTCATGGCGGATCTTTCCCTGGCCAGTTTCGTCTACGCACTGCTGCTGCCAGCCAAAGGCAAGGATATTGGCAAGTGTAAAAGGATAAAAATAAGGCGATGCAGTAGGCTGAGGATAAAAATCTGGTAAAGATGAAACAGCAAAATATCCAAGTTACATTTTCAGATCCACCTACACAAACGCAGAATGTAGGTTAAGTAGCGCTATAAAGATTCTCAGATCAGAGACGAATACGAATGACGGGCACTGTAAACCGCTACGGGGAAATCAAATTCTGCAGCTGCTTGTCAAGTTACTGGATAGCATAAAATAAAGGAATCGCAAGTGGGAAAAATGTACGAGTACTGGAAAAACAGCATTTCATGTTTTGCGGTTGTTTGCATTTATTTACGATTGTAGGACTACTAGGAAGTCAAACGTTTTTCAGTTTTGGTTTTGAGGCGTCAGTAGCGGATCGAGCTGAAGCCTCTTATACGTATAGCTAAGGGGCTTCATCGCCGAAACACACTTCCGGTTGGTAGCCACAATGACAATACTCTTACAAAAATTATTCACGAAAAATATTAGCCGAAAACGGGCAGAGTTTTGTAACTTTTATTATTTTTTAGGATGCACGTAGCCTATATACGAACACCTTTGGAAATTTTAAATTGCAGCTGAAGCTGTGAAGTAAAAAATACCCATCCCATTAATCCGCGGTGTAAGAAACTGAGCAGTGTGTTTGTTTGGCTGCTCACGCTAACTGTTTTGACTTTTGCTGCTCGTTGAATAATTTCCTACCGTCAGTACTGTATTCTTGAATGCCTTGACAGAAACCTGGATTTTTTATTCTGTGTATATTATTATATTGATTAACAACTGGGCTCCTGTTGATACCTTGTTTCCTTTGGATAATCTATCTGTAAACGCAATGAGCGGTCCTGCACCTGTGTCGAGGTACGCGCAGATGATGACGCGCCTCAGTCGTCGCATCTTCAACGAACCCGCTCGCCCGATGGACACCGAAGCCAACCGCATTGTCAAAGTGTTAGGCGAGTGGCCGCGAGAGAAACAAGGCTATATTACCAACTATTATCCGCCCCATCCGCAGATCTGGAAGATGATCCGGACTCTGCGCGATCACGGTCTCTTTCGCGACGAACATCTGGACTTCAACGAGGAGATGGAGCGACAGCGGGCGCTGCGCGGCAAACCCCGACCGCACTACAAAGTGCAGACCAAGAAGAAGACGGAGGCAGCGGCGGCGCCTGGCGCACCCGCTGCTGCAAAGAAAAAATGAGTTGCTGTTCGCCAAAATTGGAGCGATTTTTTTTTTATTGGAGCGAATTTGTGTAACAAAACCATAGGTCAGCGGTTCTTGTGGTGTATGGGCTGAGTGAACTTGTCCCATTTGTACTGAACTGATTGGTCACGGTGTCCTCTGCTGCTTAACAGCAAAATGTGCAATTACCAAATGTCCAGTTAAGACATTATTGTGCAATAAATTCATATTCAATGGTAATTATTGGCAGACGGTTCTACAAAAATTGTTTTTCTGACGCGTTCCCGAATTTCTCATGGTTTTTCAGTTTTGTTTGTAAACGTAAACTGGTTAATATTTAATGAACAAAAGCGAAACAAAAAACAACAAAATTCCCCGACAAAAATCGGGCTTTTCCAGCGCATACAAAATCCCCAATCTGCAGGGAAAACCACGTTTTTTCAGTGCCAAAAAAAGAAACAAACACAGAAATCTGCACAAGCATGCCGCATTGCGTAATGCACACGCATCTTGGCAGCATGTTTATCCGGTGGCAGGTTTATTAGCAAACTGTACATCTTTATGGGTGCTGGGTGCCGCTTCTAATCCCGGTCCGGTGACTGTTCCGGCCGGCGACAAATTCCTGTGTCGCACTCCTTCGTCCCCTTGCTCAGGTTTCAACCGGTCTGAACTGGGCGATTTCGGTGCGTCGCCGTCTGATTTCTTTTGGGATCCCAAATCTTTAACCGGTTTCCGTTCTGATTTAAGGAAAAACGGCAGCACGAACACCGCCAGAAGCGCCAAAACGTGAAAATGGAAATACAGAGCTCTGCAAACAGAAATTTCAAAATTACGAGCGGTTCTGCCAATGCATAAAATTAATTAGTGTACGTATCCGTATACAGTGCACGTTATACAAAACATTCTTGCACCAGGTCGCCACTACGTACAGTTGCTCATACTATATTTAACGAACATCCGAAAAACATTAATCCATTTATCCGTTATTCGGGAACAAAAACACGATCCTGTGGCTTAAACTTACTTGTAAATGATCCAAGCATATCTGAATTCCAAAAGCACGAAAGGGAACGTAACATAGGCTAAGCAGAGGCGTGTCGTTAGGAAAGTCATAAAATCATACACAACGCGAGAGATTTTCCATTTCTGAAAGTGTGGACGAAAAACTCGGCGAGCCTGGTCAAAAGAAAACGATGGTAATGAAATTAATTAATCTTTCACCAAAACGATGTGTTATGCTTACCCATCTGGCCGCTTCCGTGAACAGCGCTCCGGAAATGAAGGTAACATAGTATCCCGGATAGAAACCTAAACAAAACAGTACGTCATCCACGTTAATCGATTTCGCCTACACAATAGCGTTTAAGAGAAACAGCATGTGATGAATCCTGTTGTTTACCGTGCCAAAAAGCGGACAACGTGTAGGTTGCCATCATGGGCAAGAAACGGGCCCGATCGTAGGCGACATATCGCAACCAGCGGGCAGTACAGCTGTTCCATGCGATCAACGCACTGCGCATATTCTGGCTGAACTGTACGGATAGGTAAAACAATCAGGATAATGGGAACCCGCACAGGTTACGCAAATAAACGCACCTCAAACTCAATGATATCCACATTGCTAACCAAATCAAACTTGGGTTTCCCCAGCTCGTCGTATCCATTAAAACCCAAGCCGGAAGCGTTGGCCACGGCATCCGCTACGATAGGAAAATACCAAACCGTATTAATTATCCAACTGCCAATTTTACATAATAATCAGCATCATGCTCCTCTTTCAAACATCGATGTAGAATTTTACTTACACAGAAGCCACGCCACATAATACTTGAATCTGACAAAGGTAGTCCCGATGAGCAGATAAAACATCAACTGGATCACAGACAATTTACTCAAACTGCTTTCCTCTGCAGAAACATAATTACACTAGTGCAACTCATCCCCGGAACCAATTGGTAAAATGAGTAAAATCAATAAATCACTCATCCTACCAGTCAACAAATCCAACGGCACACCCGGCACGAGCATGATGTGCAAATAGCAGAGGAAAACGGCAGCCAGCACTTTCTTTGTCACTGCAGCACATCACTTTCAATCAGACTCCACCAAACAGATCAATACACAGGAAAAGAGGAGTATACCCTACCCGGCCACAATGGGGATGGATGGTACTGAGGCGGGGGCAGCATCTCGGCTTCCGTCACCTGCTCCGTGGACTGACCGGCTTTGCCGCCTTCCGACAAGGTCGGCGCTTTCTTGACGGCATCCTCCGTTTTCTTGTACGAACTGGGCTCAATACTGTTACCCTCGATGAAGTCCATGTATTCATCGTAAAAACAGAAAGGTCCGCATAATAGGGACTGGAAGCTAAAGACATAGGAAAGGAACTCCCAGTAATTGGGAGGAGTTCTAAAAACGAAATGCATTAGACCAAAATTCCCGAGGAAACCGCTGCTAAGATACAGTACCTAATGGCATGCCGAGGCTGATCGGGCAGCTTGAGTCTGGCGGGATCCTTCCCACCATCTGCGCTTCCAGAGAAACCTTTTGCAGATAACAACAAAAATAAGCAAGGAACGAAACATACCGTGCACAGCGAAGGCATAGGCCGTTATCTTCTGGACAATCACCATCATCGGCCTGTTCAAAATCACCCTGTTATGTAATATAGAACAGGAGTTGAAACAAAGGAAATCACTCCGCATGCAAAACGCAAGGAACGCTAAAGAGGACACAAACGGGGTTAGGGGCGTCACAGTCAGGTTACACAACAGCCAGGTGCGAAAGCGTTATTTACATATATTTCGTGGTGGTTAGTGAAGTAGGTATCCAAAGCGATAGTCAGTGTTAACTATTCACAAATGATTATGCACATGAAATACATCGTGTTAGAGTTAGTTCGTGGATTTACCGGATTACAAGACTGTGTTATGCCCATAAAACATATGAACTCTTTATAGGTCGCAAGTTAAAATATGTCGGCAAATATGTTGATAGAACAATAACTCTTTTTCTGTTATTAATTACATTACTATTACAAAGTTTTGTTATATTAATATACGGTTATTAATACGACACAAAATCATCGAAAACTAATGGTATCACAATACAGCAAACTGAATAACTGATTCAGCGCGTGCTAAAACGTGGTTATGCTTTATGCAGTGTTATTATATGGCATTCACCCGCCACCTGGGAGAGAAAGTAATACGCAAAGCAGGAAGGAAAGGGAAGATTAGAGGACACACACGTGTTTGATCACTTACATGGTAATATCCAAATTATATCCACCGTAGTCCTTCATCATTCGATAAATATGGAGATATGATAAATATCCCACGGCCACAACAAACACGATCAGCTGCGCGTACCGCGGATTGGCAAGTCGCGTGATGTAATAGCATATCGTCGTTACAGCCAATAAATACAGCGATCGTCTACGACATCAGGCAGTAAATTAGAAAACACAACTCGATGGAATGCAACCATGTATTAGCAAAGCTAATGAACCTACATCCCGAAGCAGAAGAATGCCATGAAGGCGCCCAGTAATCCGCATGCTAATAACCGATACGTCCGCACGGAAGGAAACGCCTTGTACGCGGGCAGCCATAATCGGATAGCTGTGCCCGCAACTATGCCCAGGATTTCACAAAACAGGAAATTTATCTGAAAACAGGCAAAACAACAATTAACAAATGACAGAAAACGTTCAACTTCTGGCTAGTTGATAAGATGCGACAACCGAATCGTCGAAGCTCATCACTAAATACAATAAACGGAAGTCTCTGCCCTGGATCTTTTCTATGGCTTCAAACGCCACATTTAACAATAATTTCCGACAGCATGCCGCCACAATGCGATACGCAATCCCTAGGCATAAGAATCAAATTACACACCCAAATCTCTGGTTTCTTTCAATGAGAAAACGGTGGTATATTATATATTTTCAACTGAAGTATGTCAAAAAAATATTTTTCACACGGTATACCGTGTAATGTATTTCTCTATAAATTTATAGCAAAAAAATTTATTTCTCTACTAAATTACAGCAAAAAATTTGATAAATAATAATTAATAATATCTGATTTGTTTACGCTTTACCTGATCCAGTTCAATACCGAACTGGTCAGACAGCGGCTGGAGGAGGCGCGATCCCTGCAGGAGCACATTGGACTCGTCCCATCCGACTCCCCGACGACTGTCGGGGATGTGGTAATGCTGGGGCATCGCTCCCGACATGATGGCGGTTTAAGTGACGACACGGTGTGCTTCCTGATTAAAAAATCACAACGTGGCTCCTCGTGGCACCACCAGTCCAACAACACACGGTCTGACGTCGACGAACGGTGGCGTGTATTTTTATGCAGTCAGCGGAGATTACGATCGATCACATGAAATCGCCCTTTAACTTCCACTGGAGAAGTCGTAGACATGTGATCTGCTAATCAATTAAGCACACTGCAACAGAGATTAATGATTAATCCTCAATTAATCCGTAGACTGTAGCTCTGATAAAACGCCAGTTAAAATAATCAACAATGCCATAAATCCACAATAAACAGAAAATGTCATGGTAAAATTATAAGTTAGCTACAATGTATTTGCATGCCAGTTCAAAGCAGTAGAAATCGAAACGAAAAGCATGTAGTGCTACTGCTAGCAATGCGAAAAATCCGTAATGCTTTCTATCAAAGTATCAAGGAAAGATGTACGAGTATCATATGGAAATGCACGCAAACTGCTTTAACGAACGATCCATCGTACTTCCTGACTGTGATGTCTGTGAGAGTCAGAGAGTGCGAGGAATTTCAGAGCAAGAAACAGATAAAAACTTAATTACGATTCCAGCAACCTTAGAATCTTTAACAACGATATAAGTAGAACAGACTACTCACATTACATTACAACGAAATAAATACAATATTTTATGATGATACTGCATTACAGCAAAAACAGAAGCCAAGAAAGTCCGTTCCTGTTTTGTACTTTGATCTGCCAGCGTTTCTTACCGAAGGAAAGCTTCACTGCAAAGTTTTTACTTATGTCCAGAATCCCAGTTTTCAAAAATCACAAGACCCATTTCTTTGATTTCTAGTAGGAAATGACAAGTCACAAGTCAGTCAGGAAGACAAATATACTGAGCTGGCTCTACAGAAATCAATCCGAATCCATGAAGGCCAAACTAGCAGCAATCCAAACAACTGAGCTCAGATCTGCAAGAAATCAAATCCAAAACAAAGAGACAAAGCAAAAAGACAAAGTAACCAAAACAAAGTACTGTACTGGAAGAAATCCCTTGGATAAACATCATAAACGCGCAACAAAAACTTGTGCTGCAAAACTACTCCGAATCTCCGATCAAAGAGGAAAGTCCCAGCAATTCTGATTCACATCTCACAATTCACAACGCTGGCAACCTGACACCACCACTGAAGTTTCCGATTCCATTTCCATTAACGCTTTCGTTCCAACAGCGTTTCGCTTCCGGTGTTAATATGCTCGTACGGTCGTACCCTTTGAATGCGATTCCCAAATTTAATGGCCATAAACCGAGTAAATTGGTGCGTTTATCAATTTGAAGTTTAATTTTTCATATACAATAATGTTTCATGTATTTAATGCGTTCGTCCATTGTTTATAAACTATGCTCGAAGCCTCGAAGTGGCATTCGGAGTCGCCAGTCGCCACTACGCCGTCACGCCATGCTGGCAAGATACTACACAACCGATTGGAATTGGAACCGGAAGTGTCTTCTGGAAGACGGCACAGCCGATCAGTGGGCGTGTGCGACAGCGGGAGGAGCTATCCAATAGGAGAGCGCTGAAGTCAACCCGGCAAAAGTTTGTTGAATGTTCGCCGCCGTACTGCCGCGTACGCCCTCTATGACTCCAAAGGAAAACTTCCAATTTCGGTCCAGCCTATGGAATGTTGACTCAGCCGGGGTCTTATGATCCAGTCGCCTGAGTATCGGCTTATCTATCGCATTCACTGCGAAAAGCCCAACCCTGGCTTCGGTTCACGCTGATTACAGTCTGCCTGCCGTTTTCCGTTTTCGCCAGCCAGTCGCTCGCTTTCAAGTTCAAGCATCATCAACGATTTTTGTACATACTGTAAAGTTCGCTCGCTCGCTCTCTTCCCAATCGATATTCGTTTGTTTTTTTCATATGAGCTCCATATCATTACGTAACAAAAACAAAAGGCGGCTTTTTGACGCGATTACGTTTTTTTGCATTACTTGACATTCATTGCAAACCGAGGATAATCCCAACCCCCATCGTGTCCCATCACGCGGATGTGTGTGTGTACGGATGTTTATGAGTTGATAATCTAATTAGCATCTGTCTGCTGCGGAGTGTTGCGCGCTGGGTGAGTCGTTTAAAGTGCTATTGTAAGGGATTTTTTCCGTATTGATTTTTTCCTTGGATGGCTGGAAGGTTCTGCTGGTGTTTGCATGTGCGACATTTGTCAAAACGGTTTTGCATAATATTGAATATCTTAACGGGAAATCTTGTGACGGCAGTGTGTGCCGTGCAGGGTCGTCTTACCTGGAAATGAGGGAGTAGATAATGAGTATGCTTTGGCTGCAAAAACGGCACCGGCGGATGTTGTTTAGAGTTTAAATACGGGGTTTTCGGTGACTGCGTGTCGGTGTATGAAGGAGCTTAGCATTTTGGCAGTTGCTACAGCTGATTAATCAAAGTGCTAATCATTGTCAGCCGGGTGCTTACGTGCTGCATGCGTCGCTGGTTCTTTCGTCTTTTCGGCAGACCATATGGTGTCCACTTCTACTTGGACACTCTAAAAGGCCATAAAAAAGTGCTACCTACGATTACGTTGCTCTGGTCGCTAGTATTTATAGCCAAGAGATTGCTTATTAAGGAAACACCGTAGATTTATAAAACCTTTAAATCTTGTATCATGTATGCCGTATGCGTACTAAAAAAGATTCTCGCTCATTAAAAATTAAAACTGAGCGGCTCAGTTTTAATGACTGGTTGCAAATGGGAATAATTAGCATGCATACCGTGATGATATTCTTATGGTGCAAGTAGAAACGAAACATAATTCTCCTTTCGCAAAGCTCTTACTGTGTTATATTTTTTCCGTGTTACGATGCTTTTACATTTAGCAGCGAAATTTTTATTAATGTGTTTGCGCTACAGCGATATACATGCATTAATTTGAATTACCGTAATTATGCAAGTTTCCCAAAAATACATAATTATACATTATTATTTTGAGAACGTGTGTAATGTATATGTCTTTGTAGTTTATTAAATGCTTTCCAGTTTTAAAGAAATACCTCTAGTGAAGCTTCTTTGATTATTTAAGCGCATCTGCATGTATGTGTTCTAAAAAAATTGTCAGTGTTATATTTATTGCGTACGAATTTAGTGGAAATTAAAGTTATGGGAGCGGTATCATATTTTTTGGTAGCTGCGTATACTCCACAGTCCACATGCGCTTGCTAAAACGTACTCACAGAAATGCTGTTTGTAAAAATTAATCGTCCCGGCACGCGCTTCACCGCTTCCTTTAGCGTGTGACGTCGATCGGCATCTCGGATTTCCTGTTGGCAGAATGATGTTGTTTTGCTGCCGCGCTTGTGGAGGCTGCGCATGTACTTCCGGTGTATGTGTGTACGCAATTACCATCATTAGCACCTTATGTTTTGCCGTATGGATGGGTGCACTTTGCTGATTATTGACACGGGATTTCTGCTTGACAGATGGCCGTGGCCGAAAGTAGCACCGGAACTGTGTGCGCGCCGTATATCAGCTGATCCCGCAGCTGTGGATGCAGGGCAGTGCGTAGAGGATTGTGCATCCGGGCATTCCACATCCAGCCTGGCTGACAGGCGGCGTCCGTTCACTATGACCAAACTGGACTGTTGAAGGAGATTCCGCTGTCCCCCCGCTAAATACGGCTTTTGTACATTTTGTACCAAAAACACGGCGTTTGTAGCGCCTCTGTGTATGTGTACAGTGTATAGAACGCTGCAAGGATTCCCTGTGACGTTTGTACAGTAACTGTACAATTTGTGTGAATTGCGCGGGGTTTTTTTGCTCACTGCGGGATTCTTGTGGATTACATTGGGGACTGCGCTCTTTTTCGCATCAGCATTCCTCGTAAGTAACAGAATTATATATTTTTTGGAAATCACATCGTTAATATTTGATTATTTGTGGTGATATCACCGCAGAGATTAATCGCGACATTGTTCTGCATGATTCATTTGTACTCAGAAATAGCGGAAACGTTGACATTAGTTTTTCCCCAATTTCCTGTATTTACGCAATGATTTAACGTTCATTGGGAATGATTAAATGTGCTAGAAAAATTGCCACTGGTATAAGCAAGACGTCAAAGAATTGCAAAACCTAAAAATGGTTGCAAGTTTAAAATTGATAAAAATGTTTGTGAAAAATTTGGTTATGCATTTATTTGTCTAATTTTCTTGTAATTTTTTCGGACAAAGTTAGATGGTCATAAAAAGATCTTAAACTAGGAAATTTTGGGTTAAACCTATCGATCGTATCATCGGTTATTTTTGTAAGCAAATGCTCCTTATCGAATTCTGATGAATATCGGGAATGACTACATCGGTTGGGGTTCAAAGATTACGAATGGGAAAATAGACAAGCAGCTGGTTTCCCTGTATTGTCATATTTCCGGTGTGATTGCGTACATACAACATTGACACCCGGCATTTTTTGCAAAGCCGGAATACTTTTGACGGTGGTGACGCGGGATACGGAACACGTGCTTGTTACTACAGCGAAACAGGGTACGCTGTGTGTATGTGTGTGTGAGTGGGTTCTGTTTGGAAAACACGTTTTGCTAATGCATGTGATGTGCATTTTTCGCTGGGCTGGAAGACAAAGTTGGGTATTTTGCAGAACTGTTTGCAGTCATGTCACGGCTGGTTGGGCAAAATGTGATATATACCCGGCTTACACATGCACACACAGTTGTGTTCGTGCAGGACGTTATATAACTCGCTTCGTATCGTATTGATCAGTGGCACCTTCGATCGCTGCGACCTTGAAATACTCAACACACAAAAAACGATGCTTCCAGGGTTGTGTGCCTTTTTACAGACAAAATTGGGGTTCTAACGGGAATTTTGCGCTTTATTTTTGGCCAGGATGTGTTGGTTTAGTTCAGTGAGAGGTTATGAGCAGTTGAGGGATAAATGCGTTTCCGGGTGGGAGATGGGATGTACTCTAGGGATGGGTGGTTTATTTGGTAATTTTTCCTGACGATTAAGGGACCCTTGCATATTACCCTTTGGAGTGAGCTGCGTTCGATTATCGGTTAGTGTACTGCGGAAGGAATTGCGTATCGCGACAATTTAATCTGACATTGCATATGATAATTTTACCCATGAAACAATGGATTATCGGGCGTTTCTGGTGGATTATCAAGAATGATGATTTATGGGTATTCTCTTGGCTACTGCTGTGCGATGGGGAATGAGAATTAGGAAATTGTAGTTGATTCAAAAAACAGTATTAATTCTGTTTTCGCTCCCAGTGCACCGTTAATTTCTGAAATTTTGTGGGCGATAAAACTGATGTTATCCATGTTTTGGAGTATGCTGGTTAATTGCCTGGGGCGTCCGGCAAGAAGACATTAATCAGCAAGTTTTTATATTTGGATACTTACTCTATTGTTAATGTTTTTGCATTCAAAATGGCCTTACTTGAAATTCTGCAAAAACTGGTTTTGTTATTATTTTCTGAGTAGCGCTCCAGCTCTCGGTCATTTTGTGGCATCATGAGCCGTTGTTTCATGGAATACTCTTTTCAGATTAGTTTTGTATTGGTTTTGAAGATTTTCTAAAAGTATGTTTTGAATACACTAGATACGGCATAGATTTTAAAATAAATTGCTCGTACATTTTTAAAAAAAATTTAAATTTGCGGCATTAATCTGCATTACTCTTTTTTTGCAAGTTTCTTAGATGTTTTTACATTAAGGTTTTTCTCATAATAGTGGATAATGTAACTTACATTTTCATCTTTTGAGTTGAGTAACGGTTAAAAGTCAGTTGTTTCTCCAGCTGACGCCGCCCTTGTTCTGTTTTGCAGAGATCTGACCGTTATTTGTCGGGATTGTTTGTATACTGTGGATAAACTAGTGTAGTTGGAGCTGCAAACCGACCGGAAATAAGCGTTGGATGCAGCGCAATGCCATCCCGAGGCGACTGGGTGCAGCGCATAACGGGCCAGCAGCAGCCGGTGTCCATGCGTAAATCGGACACGCACAGCAGTGCCAATACGTCGCCCTCTGGGGGTGGAAATGGCCGGCAGCATAACACCAGTGCCTTGTCGGCGCACTTTGCATCCAGTGGACGGCGTCAGTCGACGGACGACTCCGGTGTGCGCTACTACACGGAGCACGATGATTTCGAGCAGGACCACGCCATGGGCGGTGGAGGCCAGCGATTGGGGTGGAAGGTTGTCAGTCAGGACGACACCAATCAGGTACATTACAGCAAGGCACCGTTGTGCCGCAGGGTGCATTATGGATTTCATACTTAGAGGCAGAGGTCTTTGTATTGTACAGTACCGCGAATGGCGAATATGATTACGATTGACGAGCATTCTTTCTTCGAAAATTGTTTTGCTTGAAGTACGGTTCGTTTTTGCTGGGACTCGTGGAAGTCGGAACTCAGAAGTTTCTTGACATTTGAATCTTAGCACTTCTAAGGTGACTAGGCGTATGTATGTCGGTTTTATATTTTGTCGAAATAAAGTTGCTAAAAGGTGCAGGTGCGAGAATGTTTTTCGACTTGTTAGGTCATACGGAAATTTCGTTAAAACTGTAACAGTTTGGTCCTATGCGGTTATTGCAGTGCTCTGTGAAATCGTAGCACGGTGGCTCAGTGGAGCTTCAAGAGCATTCATAGCCACGTTAGTGAGTGTACGCTGACGTTCTCCATTTCTAACAAAAAATAATCGTTATAAAATATTAATTTTTAATTAAAATGATTTTTGTAAAGTAGCAATTATTTGCATTTTCCGAAAATTTATAAGTTTGTACTGGAGAGCTGATACGTCCGTTAGAGAAGCAACGCGTATTGCACAATGTTTAAGCCCAACGAAAATCCGTTAAAATATGCGTACTTACTTGTGAAATTTCAATGCTAAAGAAGGATTGCACGGCAGGCGAATGAATACTTGCGCAAACAGAAGGGATGATATGTTTGCCTGCATTTGTTCACGCGATGGAAAATCTTTTAGCGTCATTTATACCGGCAGGTTACACGTTCAACGACCGTTGCCATGCTTATGTGCTGGGGCGGGTATCATAACTTAATTACGGAGCATTAGGAAATGGATATTGCGTGATGGGAATTACCTGGCGTGTTAATAGTCGGGCTTCCTTGCAGCACATACATTCGATGTTGTCGTTTTTTCCTTTCCTTCAGTGTTTGATATAATTAACTTACCACACCGACGAAGGTCAGCGGACTGGGCTGTGCATTGTAGTTGTGGTAATACACAGTTGGTGTTGTTGGGGGATTACGTTATTGATTGGCTTCTTCCGGCTATACGGTGTGTGTGTACGGCGTAATTAATCGGATTGATGTGGTTATGCTGTCTGTATGATTATTTACTGTGTGGTGCTGATGGTGATGAGAGCAAGTGTCACGTGTCGGTGGTATTGGTGAGATGATCAGAAGGGGCGGATGTTTGGTTCGTTGGTGGACGGGTTCTGGCCACTGCGGACAGCGAGAGCGCACTCGGCCGATTATGCACCTAGACAAACACACTTTAACACCCTGACGCATGTTTGTAACACTTTTTTTGTTGTTGGCTGCATCGTCTGTTTGTTCACACGTTTGTGGCTGTGATTTGAGAAAGCGGAAGATCCACCGGCGATGGAGACCGGATGAATGAAAAATATCGGAAATGCTAGTGAATTAAATTAAAAAAAGGGGAAAATCGTATATCAATTTTTTTCGTACGTCATATGATTTTCGTGAATTTGTGTACAAGTACGTGTGTTGACTGTAGAGTAGTGGCTGCCCGTATTTTAGAAACCCATATTCGAATGCGACAACATTCGTTGATTAATTTGGCCATTGAACCATGTCAACAGATTTTCATAATTTTAATTATTTTGGCACTGCTGCTTTATAAGTTTGTTTTCAGCCATTTTGTTATATTTAGATTTTTACCGGCCTGCAGTCGCTGTGATATCCCATTCCTTATAAATAAAAGAATCTCTTGAGAGTTTTTAAGAATACTGAGGTACTATTTTTGTGTTTTTATCCAGAGAACATTGACGCTGTTTTTTCTGTTCCTAGTTTTGGCTGCTTGGGACTTAAACAATAAAACCAGTTAGTAAATACCATGAAATGAATTGTTACAACATAAGAATCCCGCAATTCGGCCTTTTGGGATGGGCTTTCGTAAGGCCTTACTGCCGGTACAAGTTGTGCCCGATGATTCGATTCTGTGCAGAGTTTCTGCGCGTTTACACACTCGTAATTCTCGCGGTGAAGAGACGGGTTTGTATTATTGTGTGTTTTTAATTGGCCCGATTGAAAAATGTTGAGCCGGTCTGCGCCGCGGCAAATCGGCATGTGTAATGCAATCTCACTCCGGTCCCCCTCCGTAATCGGATCTCAAGTGACAACAAGCTGCCGCCAGTGAGAAAGAGTGTCAGTGAGCGGGCAAGCTGAGCGAATGCGGTAATAATACTTTTACTAAATTATTTTCCCCTTTTATGTAATTTTTTTGCGCCGTCTCCGCCGGTTGTTTGTATCGACGGCTGCGTCGTACCCGCTGTATATGGCGTATACATAGCTGTGTGGTGGATGCTTTATTACTGTGGAAATGTGGTGTGTCAGCAGATGTGCGAGTTGGTGCTCTGCGATGTTTTTTTGTCTATTTGCACCTGACTCGAACGTTTATGCACATATTCGTCCGTGTCTTTCTCCCGGTTGACGACTGTGTCTGGGGCATTGATGTTGTTTTTTATTCTAATTTTTGTATGCACTATGTCGCTACTGTAATGCAGTGTGGTGTTTCCTCGGGAAGGATGTTTATGGGTTGACTTCCGCCCTAATGTGGGAAAATGTTATCCTGGTCGGAGACACTGTTTGATATCTTCGTCCTTTATTCGCGGTTTCCTTATTGCTCTCACTAAGCCAGTCAATTTTTGATTATTTATTTACTTGTTTGGAGATTTCCGTTTTTTTGTGCTTTTATATTGTAACTTATTTTATATTTATTTTTTGTAACCTTTTGGAATAGTTATCATATGTTGTTCGAATTGAATTTATCATTTATGCATTTGGGACTTTTTCATCTTTTCGCTTTAATTTGAAGTTTTTCGCTTTAATTTAAAGTTTTTTAATATTTTCTAATTAATTTATTTTTCTCTTTTCACTTTCCAGAGTAACAGTTATTTAAGCCGTTAATTTAATTATTTTACTTTGTTAATAATGTCCGTGAATATCGAGCAACCATTTGGCCCGACACATCCCTTCAGTTTTAAATCATCCTTACTGGATGACACCACTTCCGCCACAGGAATGGCCGCTATCAATAGGGAATTGAGTGGGGACTTTTCGCGGTTGAAATCCGCATGGGCTACATCGTTCTCCAGTCCGAGTCTGTTGCAATCGGGCTTGACTGATCATGAGTCGGAATTACATGACGACGTGTTCTTGCCCACGTTTTCGAAAGAACTGGAGAGATTCTGGTCAATGCCGTACGGTGGGAGTATTAATGCCGATATGTTGTCATCCGGCTCCGCTACTTCATCCTCCCCGGATGCCGGGAATATGGTTAATTTATCGGATGATAGCGATGTGGACGATGAGCTGCTGCATGGTAGTCTGAAAAGTGAGAGTAGTGGGCGGGGCAGTACAGGGCGAGGTGTGGACCCGGGGGATGGTGGGGTGGGATCATCGTCGCCCGATCCCGTAGGGCTTGGTGAGGAACCGGTGACGGTCTTGACGCTCGATGAGGTGGGCATTTTGCCGGTGTGAATTAACCTGAGCAGCATAATTTCTGTCAATTTTTGAGTGTTGTATTCTGAATTATTTTAATAAGGTTTGGTGGTAATTAAGAAGTCGGTTCGGCTTTGAAGAAATTTTGTTTAGGAAACGGGATTGCTAATGATTATGCTTTTTTGTAGATTTTAAGCCGGTCGGCGACCAAGCGCATCTGGGATAACAATGTACAGGGAAACGTGCACGATGATCGAGTACGGCTGTTTCAGGGACAACCTACGGGCCGTAATCCTTTCTCTCCCGCCTGGAAAGAAAACATGCCATCGTTATGGGGCAACATCGCGAATTCCGGTTAGTGTTTCGCCAGCAGTTTTTTTTAAAATTATCCTTTTAAAATGATTTTCCCCGCCTTTGTATCGGAACAAATGGTAAAATTTTGGTGATGTCATTGCTCGTTATCGGAGACATTAATTTTGTCTTTTTCCAGATGGTCACAGTGTGTCGCAACCGATTTCCGTGCAGGCGCAGCCAGGTCGCAACCGCGGCTATTTTACCAGTAATAACGCTGCTGCCGCCACCGGAAATGCCGAAATGCCTTGCAGCTCCATACTGTCGCCTCGTTCACAAAACGAAGGCATACGGCTCGTGTACGATGTCTTATCCTCATCGCCGGCTACTGCGCCGAAAGACGTGCAGTTACGTCGGCGTATGCAGCAGTTGTCGTTGAATAATCAGTCGGATCAGGTAAGAATGTCCATTAATGAGCGGTGGTAATATTTCTGGTTATGAGCGCTTTTTTTATTATGGCTGGTTGACTAATAGACCTTGCCGCTTGTCACACTACGCGGTGGGTGAATGGTAATTGTCTAGTGACAAATTAGCTGGCTTGTCGGAAGTGATGCAAGAGCATTGGTAATAGTTAACAAACCATGAAAAAGAATTATGTTGAATATGAAAAGTGCGTTCTGTGGTTTTTTATGGTTTTCTTGATTTATCGCTTGTTCTGAAGTAATCAGCAGTGATATTAATATTCGAATCGGCGATCCGTTTATGGTTTCTCTTACAGAATCGATTGCATTTTTAGCCTTTAATTTTTTGAATTATCTCTAGTTATGACAGATATCTGCATATTTTAAAATTTGATTGCGTTTCCGGCGAATCGATATTTCTGCTAGTAATAGGGTTTATCGCAAATAATACGTGGATGGGAACGTTTTCTATAATTATGGTAAAATTTGAAAGTGTTCGGGTTTGCCTTTAAGGTGGATCCTGATGATGCCGACAAAAGTCGAAATGTAAACGAAGACGACGATGAGAACCGGAATAATCAGACGGTCGTCGCGGATGACAACCATCCGGCTTCCACTAATGGAAGCGGCAGCAAGGAGGAACGATCAAAAGAATCCTCCTCGGATGGAAAAAGCAGTAAAGCCGGCAGTACTGGCGATATGCTTGAACCGTCGAAACGCGAAGAGTAAGCAGAATTTCTGAAATGTCACGGTTATAGCGATTTCAAAAGTTACTGCACTGCAGTAAACGGGAGAATGAGGCGGGTTCCAAGAGTGACTCGAGCAGCGGCAGGACGTCTTCCAGTAGTCATCGCGGCCATGCAGATAATCACCGCACCGTACCGCAGCATCGCAGTCATCCGGGGAATAATTCCGCCAACGTGCCCAGCAATGCCGTGCGGATGCCGCCGGCCAACATGTACAACCAGACACAGCCAGTGTACGCGCTGGGACTGCAGAACGGGAACTCCCGGTACATTCCCACAGCGCCGATGCCCATGGCGGGCAATCAGGACAGTAACAATATGGATTTGTCACATTTTGCCTTCCCGGAGAACGTCAATATGTACGAATACCCCAATCCCGGTGGGGTCGTGCTTTCGTCGTCCATGGAGCTGCCTGGCATGATGGATTACAGTCAGGTAATGCCGGATTACTTTTCACTGCATTTTAACTTTGTGTGCTGTTTCAGTGTTTCATTTATATTTTAGGCGTACCTCAGTATTTCTTGAGTATGTAATTTTGATCGTTTTATTTTGTCGAAGAGCATCTGTAACGTGAAAATTTAACTCAAAAAAACTGAAAACGGTAGTATGTTTCAAAAAGGAAATCCTCAAACTTCATTTAAAAAGTTGACAAATTTCACAGTTTCTTAATTTTGCAGATGGCTGTTCAGCGACCGCAAGCGGTGATTATGCAACCGCAGGCGATGTACTCGACGGCAATGGGTAAATTACCGTTTCTTTCCCGCAGCGCATATCGTAGTGCGACGGCTTTTCGTAGTGAAATTACGCAGTGGCGTGCCGCTATTGTTGTTACAGTTGGAAATAAACTATTTGCAAAGTTGAATGGCTTATTTAATTGCATTGCTTTTTTTATTGGTGCCTCCGGTTTTAATTCCATTGTTTTTCCATTAGTGCCATCCGCGTATCCGGATCCCTTTGGCGGCCAGCCGGGCGCACAACAGATGGCCCAGAGCCCGAACATCTACGGCACGGTCTTTGGAGCCGCGCAACCCGGTACTTCCTGGCCGTACATGTACAGTCCCGCGGCGGGTCCCACCGGCGCCCCCGCGCCGCCCACCAACAATGGGAATCGTGATGGGCGCACGTCGCCGTTGGGCTACACGACGGGGCAAGGCGCCCCCGATGCCAATAATAACGCCAATGTGCAAGCGCCACTACAAAGTGGATATCTGTTCTCCCCGGCCTACTGGGATCGCAATTCCGGTCAGATCGTGCCCATCGGCAGTCCGCAGCAGGTGGGCGGAATGATGCCAGCATACCGGATCGTCCAGCCGGTGATGGTTAATCCGGCGTCCGGAGTTGGCGTGGGAGGTAATATTAACTGCGGATTGTGTAAAATAATTTTTTTTCGAAATTTTGTTATTAAATTCGCTTTGCTTGGTTTTCTGCAGGTGTACAACAGCCGCAACCACAACAGCGTCGCGATTCGATGGATTACAGCCGTCGTACGCAACAGTTCTTCGCCCCGGTTCCCATGGTAGGCCCGATGAACATTGCGGGTTCACCGCTGAACAGCCACATGGGAATGTACGCGGTGACCGGTGCGGCCAGTCCGCCGCCCATGTTCAACGGCAACGAGATGGTCTCGCCGCCGTACCATCAGTCTCAACATATGCCGCATCACGGTGCTCGGCGGAGCTCGTTCGGGAAAGCCGGAACGAATTACGGGAACCAGCATCGCTCCAGTGGAGCGTTCCTGCCGAATCAGGCCGGCGGCATCTACGATCGGTCACCGCCCAATTCAAATGTGCAGCGGAGCCGGCTTTTGGAAGATTTCCGAAATAACCGGTATGTAATTTTTAGAAGAAATCTTTTTCTTTGTTTGTTTTGATAAATTTTCTAGTTTAACTCGAAAGTGTTCAAAAATTGTGGAAGCTTAATCTAAAAAATTCCCCTGACGCACCGGAAGAAATGAGTCAGTCAATTTATTGTTTGAACTTTTAGATATCCGAATTTGACGTTCCGCGAAGTTCAGGGCCACATCGTGGAGTTTTCTCAGGACCAACACGGTTCACGCTACATCCAGCAGAAGCTGGAGCGTGCAACACTGCACGAGAAGCAGATTGTGTATAACGAAATCGCCCCGACAGTTCTGCAGCTGATGACCGATGTCTTTGCTAATTATGTTGTCCAGTACGATACCGAAAGAACTAAATGGGCGTTATCTTTGTGACACTATTGTAACTGATAGTTAATATGACGATTGTTGCAGGAAATTCTTGGAGCTGGGCACACCGGAGCAGAAGTTGGCGCTGGGCGATTTAATCGTCAGTCATGTGATTCCGCTGTCACTGCAGATGTACGGCTGTCGCGTGGTGCAGAAGGCACTGGAAGTGATGAATAAAGATCAGCAGCGGCAGATTGTTATGCAGTTAGAAGGCAATGTGGCCAAACTGGTCAAAGACCAGAACGGGAATCATGTTATCCAGAAAGCCATTGAGTGTGTACAGCCGGATTTGATTTCCTTCATCTGTCAAGCCTTCCAGGGCCAGGTAAGAAACTAAAATGAATTCTCTGTTAATAAAATTAATTCCTGTAGTATCACTACGAATTATTATTTTTTACTAATTCGTAGATTAAGATTTAATAAGAATATATAAATTAAGATTTAATATAACGAAGGCAGAATTGTTTTTTATGCTTTCTTTTTAATTTCTACAGGTGTACAGTTTTTCCACACACCCCTATGGTTGTCGTGTCATCCAGCGCATACTGGAGCACTGCACGGACGAGCAAACACGACCGATTCTGGATGAGATGTTCCAATACCTGAACGATATGGTTATGAATGAATATGGAAATTATGTTGTCCAGCATGTGATTGAACACGGAAAAGCCGATGATCGAGCGCGCTGCATTGAAGCATGCCGCGGACGCATTGTATCGCTCAGCCAGCACAAATTCGCCAGGTTTGGATTATTGCTTTTATTGCGCTTTGTCCTGGGTTTTGATTGATATTGATTTCCTTTTTTTGTAGTAATGTAATAGAAAAATGTGTTCTGCACGGCAATCGACAGCAGCGGATCAATATCATCGAGGAAGTGTGTACTTATACCGACAAGTAAGGACAACATTTATTTTAAAAAATTTCTTTATTCCGAAAAAATTGTATTATACAGGAAAAAATTTATATGAAATTAGTTTTGGAGATTGCATCATCTGATGTGTGCGATCTGTTGTAGCGGCCAAAGCGCCCTGTTCGCGATGATGCGCGATCCCTTCGGGAACTATGTTGTACAGAAACTGCTGGACATTGCGGAGCCACCGCAGCGTAAACTCTTGCTACATCATATTCGGCCCTTCCTGGGCCAGCTGCGCAAGCTATCCTACGGGAAGCACATTCTGAGTAAAGTGGAGAAATTCATGCCCTCCAAATCGCCCAGCTCCTCCGGATTGGGCTCCACCTCCTCCGCGGCGTCTGCTGCCGGAGGCGGATTGGGAGCACTGGGCGGGATGGGATTGGGGATGGGCGTGGGGGTGGGGATGATGTCGTAAGGAAAACGACGGATGGCAGGGGAATCCGACACTTCACATGGACGATTAACAAGTGATACATGGTGGTTCGTCGTTGTTGCGTTTTGGCTGGAAGCAAACAAATTAGAGGTTTATTTTTAGTTACAATTTGTGGGCTTGTATGTGTGTATGTGTATCGCATGGTGATTGTTGTAGAGAAGATACCAGAGTTTTTGCAAATTCATATTTTTTCGCCAGATTTTTCTTTTTTTGTCATATTGTCATAGTTATAATTTTTTGCTTCATCACGGCGTATGCTGAGTTGTTCATCATTCCATTCGTCGCATGGCGGAGCGGGTTGATCCAATTATTACTTTGTGCCGGGATGCGGAGAAGATGCCCAAGAGGTGGCTATAATTTTTGGTTGTATGCGTCGCTCTGTTCTTTATGGTTCTTTGGTGTTCTGCCCGATTCTCTTTATTAACCCCCTTTTTGCTTTACTTTCTGATTAATTGTACTATTAACGTTGTAGTTATTTTGTAGATAGAGTTGGCGCTTTTTTATATAGTTTATGCTTGGGCCAGTGCTATAATTATTATGGATGTTGTATATTTTACGTTGGATGTATTCTGTAATATGCTGTAATCGTATGTGTTGGCACGTGCAGCGATTCTTTTTAATTCAAAAAAATTAAAATTTACGCCAAATTACGTACAATACCCAGAGCGAAACGAATAAATTTGCTAACTGTGCAGTTCTTCCGTACTTTCATCACCGTTACAGAAACGAAAACCAGAGACTAAAGCTAAAGCCAACTGCGCATATTGGAAATACACGTTTTTGTAATACTACAACTTATTGTTAGCCTTGTCGTTGCGACGTTGTTTCTTTTTGCGGGGGTGTGCTCGATACGCCGCTTCATCCCTTTTAATGGATTCATCACACAGCTTCAAGATTCGTTCGGTCATTGCCAGAAGCTGGGCTCGCTCTTCTGCTCGTTTACGGGTTTTAGATCGTAACTAGAAAATCGAGAACACCCGAATGTATAAACTGCATAGGGAAGTGCATTACTTCTGTAGATGTATGGTTACAACTTACAGACATCAGACGTCACTGACAACGTACCTCTTTCATTGTCTTTTGCCTCATCAAAGCTCGAGCTTCAAAGCATGAACAGAGGCCTTTTGACTGTCTGCCATCGCTATATCGCATAACAAATCCGAGGAGACTCTTCGGTAAAACTATTCAAATCAATCACATATAACAAACTGTGCCAATAAAATTGAAAAATAAAATTCCAGTTTCGAGTACTGGATTCCGTTGTTCTGTACAGTAAATTCACGTGAATTGCACCCATACCGAGGCGGTGAGCATGCGACGGGCATACTGGCAGTGCTTTATTCAGTCAACTTCAGTGTGACTTGACAAATTTTTACCTTGCAAATTTTAAATATTCGAACATGTTTAACTGTGTGTATTCTTGTGAAAATTGTACCCATAGGCTTCAAAAATAACAATACATGATTTTCGGTCGTAAGAATGCGTTTTTTTGTTATTATGCCAAAGCATGCCGCCCGCGATCACCTTTGAAATTTGCAAATAGTGGCCACTGTCCAGTGTCCACAGACAGCACTGGTGTGTACTTTGAACGAAAGGATGTCGCGGGATGTCGGTGGTTTATTAGACAAAACATTAGGTCACAAAACCTTTAATCTTAATGTTTTGTCAACCATTAATTTTATCTTACATCGAACTGTGACAAGTGCACCCAGAAAGGACATGTGTCCCGCTGCATGTAAGATAATAAATAACTAAAATAATTTTATAATTATAGAGAGTACACTATGCATCGGCGTATGCAGAGAATTCTGTAACTTGGCGCAGCATTTACATATTTTGTAATGCTTCTTAGCTAAGCAATTAACAGGACACATTTTACTTAAGTATTTTTCTCTTGTTCCAGAAAGCAGATACGGCAAAAATACATTTAAGTACAACATAACTTATAAATAATTAAAGGGGAAAAGTCTGGTGTAAAAGACGAGTATTGTTTAGGTGCCACGCAGAAGATACCGCCGAAATCCAACATTTGGCCGACCAGTGCCGCTCTACAATAATACAGACTGAGTTGTTTTATATTTTCTGAGTGAATAAAAAAATTCCGTGTGTGCTATTGTAGAGCGGCGAGGGGCCAATATCAGGATGAAGTGGAATATGAGCAGTTCAGAAAGGTACAACGGAAAGGGAATTTTGGCATTGCCATGATTAAACGGGCACAACAAGGGCTCAGCATGTCTCAGCGCAAAGGTCTTTATCACGCGTGCTTCGGTTGCCATATCGCACACCAGTCGCCGGTATGGTCTGCACTCTGCAGCGTCTTCGACTGAGCGCGACAAGCTAGTCGGACTACAACGTAAAGCTATGAAAACCATCACTGATTACAAGATGCCGGTTACTCCGGAACTGTATCAGAAGTTGGGTATTCCTCACATATTCGACCGATGGCGTCAGAGCGATGCGGTGTGGTTGTTCAAGTTCTGGAACAAAGATCAGTTCCCGCCTGGCCTACCTCCTGGACATGGTCCAAGTAAAGATAACACCACGCTACAACGCGGAAACCGGCCCGAATCGATGTTACGCGGGCAAAGAAAGTTATAGGAGGGTGGACTATGGAAATGCGACTAAAACGTCTTCTTGATAAAATTCTTGCTGTTAATCCTAAAATTCTCGAAGCCAGTTCTGTACTTTCTTTCAAATTTCTACTCAGATCTGTTAATCTCTCCTAAATGTTTTGTTAGCAGAAAATTGTTTTTGTTCGACCAGACTTGAAGTCCCTTCGGGGTTGTCTGCTCTTGTGCCGTAATAATAATAATAATAATAATAATAAGGTACAGATCAGCACTTTAGGCATAAAGGTCACATAATTTTAAAATCCTTATCTGCTTGTTCGTCTGTTTCTTGGTGTTTGGCGATGTTTGGGAAGGCCGCCTTACATTTTTCTTCTAAACACAAGTATCCAAAATGCTTCACTACTTTCAATACTTTCCAAGTCCATTTCTGTCTTTCATTTTAAACGAAAGCGCGATGGAAGAGCAAGAGTTAGTAACAACTGAATCTTAGAATAATATTGAACATCTAAGTTTTTAGGTTTGTTTTGTTTTTCTGTAGATGTGCGACCATTTGGGTTTGAAAACTACAATGCCAATATATGCTGCAGAGTGACATAGTATCTGTAGAAGTATAGTAAGTACATGTATAGAGTTATTGAACTTATTAGCTTCAAATAAAGTAAATAACTGGATTCAACCTACAAACTTTAGAATAAAGCTTTAAAAAAATAACATATCAGGGATGAAGAAATCTACACAAATTCGGTCCACTGTAATCTGCTACCAAGAAAGCGGCGGTGATAGCACCGACTCCTATGATGTATTTCATGAGTGAGAAATCACTGTTAATACCAGGTAAAAATTTATTCATGAATATTAAACAAACGCTCCACCAAAATCGGTACGGTTAATATTTGCACAATGTCTTTTATGCAGCGGCGGTATATAATTGTTTGACAATAACAACTGGTACTTCAAGTGGACAGAATTAGGCGTAGCAGTGCACGAATGTATAAATAGCTGTTTCTTTATTTATTGACAGCTAAGTGCATGAGCCGTACAACGCGCTGTTGCGGGAAAATCTTTTGCAAGCTGTGAATTATTTCTGATTTAAATTTCAATAGTTTGATTAATATGAATATTCCTCGTAATCACCTTCAAGCCGCTAACTGTCAACTGTCAAGCCAGCACCCTTAAACTGTATTTGTCGTGTTAGTAAATGACATCACAACCTCAGCGAAAAAACTAAACTTAAAAATTTTCCCAAAAAAATTAAGGTGACTGTATTTTGTTCATCTAGTATCTGTACAGTAATTAAGAAAGCCGGTACAGCAATTCGCCCGAGTCAAAAATCTAATATTTATTATGTTAGCAACTGCCTTCATTTATTTAATATCTGTCCAAAAAACGCGCAGATTAATTGCAATATATGAAAATGTTCCTTACAACAACAACATCACAGAATGGATTAGACATTAAAAAAAATGTTTTCAAAAATAAGCAATAAACTGTTGGCACTGTCTCACAGGAAATAACAATTTTTCCGTAGACAAAACATGACGGATCACATGTTTTATACTACAAATCCTCTAATACTCGTTATTATGTGTATTTTAAAACAGGGATGATATGCTAACCTCAACAATCCGTACACAAATTGTCAGACAACAACAAACACTGTAATAATCTTGTCCAGCAGGTTTTTAATCCACTAATTTTCATAAGCGCGACACATGTTCCTTTATAGTGGACACTCACACAGCCGCGCAGTGCCGACAGGTACGTACAAGCGCGCAACCGGTGTAGTGACCAGTCGCATATATCCGCTGTTCGCACGACTCCCATCCAATGCACATCGCACACGGCTGTGTGAAGTCGTCATTTCCTTCCACCGGAAAAGACAATCATGCTCGAGAAAAAACACATCCTAGACAGTACTCGTTAAGTGTTGCATTGCATCCCCATAGATCTTTATTATTGTGTGCACCACGGCGCACTCTTCAAGTTCGCCTCAAGATGCGACGTTGTGATTTGTGAGGAAGCACGTATACTGGTCAGCATAAGCCGGGCTGGAAGTTATTCTTCCGCACACCGCTCGGATTTATGTACATGCGCGTATGCAGATGAGCATAATATACCGGCTGGGTATTACACTGGTGACTATCAATTTGTGGGATGGTTTCTTGCTGTGTTCATCATTTCTGTCTCTCAGTCGGATGTAGGTTGAAAAGGAAACAATCGGCACATTTCGTAAGTGGTGCCGCCGATGGTGTGTGAATGTTTGTTCGGCTACAGCGTCGCGCTGGAGGAACAATTGCCGTGATCGATGTAGTGTATTTGTTTGTTACTGCTGAGAATTACTATAATATCCTCATTGGGTTATGCCATCCACACGTGCCGATTAATTGATCATTTTTACTGTATCGCTCCCGGCTGAGGGCGTCCATATCCTCCGTAGAGTTTTTTTGCTGGAGATAATTATTGGAAAAACGCCCTAGCAAATAGTGTTTCACAAGTGGTACTGCAGACTGACACAGTGTCATCCAGTTGTCGCAACCGGCACGACTCGCGAGCCGGCGGATTACGACCCTTCGACTGCAGGAGCGCAAATTTTCAAGTAAGTAATTTCCCTGCGTTCTCATAACCTTTTCTGTTGAAATTGCTGTACTCGTAATAAACAAATTTTTGAAAATGTGATTTTCTAAATGTCTACTGCAAGAAATCAGTATAGTATGTCTCATTATGTTCGCAGTTTCAGAAGAATAGGTTTAAGAATGATCGTTCAGTTTAATTTAAGTATTTCTCAATATTTTCGCACTTTAAGAATAGGTTTAAGAACAATCGCAGGTTTAAGAATATTATTCGGCTTCGTATACCTTCCAAAAGTAAAATATGCTATATTGTTGCCCGCAAGGTGTAATTGTATCTGCCGGGTAATTACAGTACCCAATTTGCGAATACCGGTAATTAAACTGAATTACTGTTTGAGCGATGTCGTTGTGGCCGTGCAGAAAAACCGTGTTTGTTTCCTATAGATCAGATTACATAGAAGTACCTCGAATGCTAATAACCTATTGGATTATTGCTCAAGTTCTGTAATACCGGTAACAACTACTAACTGCACGATTCTGGATTGAAAGTTTTACAACAATTATGCACTCGTAACTTCAACGTTCCGCTAGCCGGCATTCACTTCCAGTACAGTTCTTTTATCAAAACTGGAGTTTGCAAACGTAATGAGACCGATTTTCTCCTGTTCTTTTCCCTTAATGTAACTGTTTTTTGGTGTAAAATGCAATCGACAAATCAGGTTTCTCCCACACCAAAATTTTAAGGGATCCCGATAAGTAATTTTATAATCAAACAAATTCATCAGTGGCTGTAATAATGAATCTACTGGACATACTGTAACGCTTACTTATTATTTATTTCATTGTCAATTTATTCGTATTGTTCCCTGGAATTTCGTAAAAGACATATCGTACAGTTATGATGATAACTAACGTCTTCAAATAAGCATAAAAACTTGGGCACACCGATAGAATAATTATTTTATATAAATAATTTACAATGCATTTTTTCTAGTTGTTCATTAGATTTTTGGATGCCGCTGGAATTTGGTAATGTGTTTGCCAAAACGATCATTGCAATATTTTGTTGTATGCTTGGCTACTGCATGTTGTTACTGAGAATGAATTCCAGGCGGCTCTGGCCAGTCCGGCCTTAAAAAAAAAATATACATAGTGTTAATTATAAATACTTGCCGAATCAACTCGGCACATGATAACCAGCATATTTAGCTCGAAGAACGAAGTTTATGTGTTTGTAACCGTTTCATTGTTTTTCTGTTACATTTGTTGGATAATTTCAACAGCTTTCCGTATGCAAATTTAATACCAACGTCTAATGCCGACAACATATAACCAATGCAGCTTGACAATAATATTGCGTTAAGGGTAGAACGAAACAATATTTGCACAGCACCGCTGGGAGTTATACATATTCCATCATTATTTTGGTGATCGCATTTCTACTCGTGCTACCGCGGGCCGTCGCCGGGTTGCGAAGACAGTTGCGCGGCATGTTGTTTGAATGTCAGTGGCGCTTTCTTTTTCCGGTCTGGAGCTCCCCTGGCTGGTGTGCCGGCTGATGATATTATGGAAATTCATACCCCATTGGCCAATGAACTTCCTTACCGGTGTTGATATTGTTGTATGAATAAGCCGCCCACGTGTAAGCTACTTAACGAAATCCTTTTCGTTTCATTTTATATTTCCGGTATTACGTGGCGCACAGCTAGCGCGGCACATAATAATAATTCTTTATAAGTATGACTGGAAAATTTCCTCCGAGATGCGTGCCCGATTTCCCGATTTTCGTACGAATGACTTTTCAATCGGTTTTGGATAGAGTGCCTAAATTAATACAACTGAGTTTGTAAATATTATCAGAGATGCATTGCACGATTAACGCACGTGTACTGTAATGTACAATAGGCTATTTAATTAAGTATTTAATTGAGCTGAATCTGTTTGAACAGTTCATATAAAAATGTTTAGTAATGTCCGCAAATATTATTGTGTACGATTATTTAGTATTTAATCCATCAGATTAATTTGATTAATTGTTTGATATGTTATCAGCAGAATCAAACGTTATTATGTTGTTTGACAGGAGAGTACACACACTGCTTGTGAAAACATCCATGAACTTGTCGTTAAAAATCCTTGGCTTTTTTTAAATTATTACTTCACCGGTAGATTAAACCACTTGTGCGACGGTCTATGACGTGCTTCAAACCTTCAACGTTCACCGTCTTATTTACTTGTGAATGATTTCAATCTTATAGCACTTTAATCTTGTATTAGACTTTAAAATGTTAGGTAAATATGATCTCTTGTATAAAGATAATTTTGTGCTTTAACGTGCGAAGATGCAACTTCTTTCAACGACCATCACTCCGTTATTTATTTATAAATAATGCCAGCCGCCAGCTAGATACGATACAGTGTAAGATTTTTGATAAAATGCTGTGTTGCAGTTTGACACGTCGTTATGGTTGTTATAATTGTTTCTACAAAAAATAAACATATTTCTACATAAACGATTGTATAATCATTGTTGTGAAACTTTATGTGGCGAATTTTATGGGACTTTTCTCTGAAAATTAATGGCAGGTAAGAAGAAAAATTGCGCATGCGGGAAACAATGTATCTAGCTACAGTATTACTATAAAATAACTTTAATAAGCAGCATAGATACGATAAACATTAAATTAATAAAGACATTTATGATCGCTACAGTAAAAATTAACTGGAATTTGAGTGGGGAAATGAAATCGTACTCAAAAGGGATTTGTGCATTCGTGCTGTCGTACATAACAAATGTTTGATGAACTGTATGACTTTTACAGAGCATTAAGATATATACCCCAAATAACTTTGTTTTTCGTTTTTTTTCTTCCGGTAAATAATACGTTTATTGATTGAGCTACACTTATCCTGAATTGAAACAAATACTCGAAAGTATAAAAGAAATTTCCTAAGGAAGTGTTGTAAAGACAAAGCGTGAAAGCACTACAATCTCACTGAACCTGACCCTGACAATCGCCAGGTAGTCAGTTTCAACACGACATTTCGTCGACTGGAATTACGGTCCATGGCAGCACTTTTCGGCCACTTTACACAGCTGCGTATTAAATTTCTTAAGAAGCACCTTAACAACAGCACTTATTCCGGCTAATTCCACGCCGGACTTAACAATCTGGCAAACAACACCGTTTCCGTTGCAAAAAAAATATATTTCGTGCTTCCTACATATGCCGCATCATACGGCATATTAGAAAAATGACCACGTTAACGTGAGGCCGGTGTACGTAATAAAAACATATCTACGCCGGTATAATAATACAAAGTATAGCACATGGTAGCCAAAGCCACCGTGTCAGCATAGCCCGAGCAAAATACTTCGACTTCTCTCAAGTTAATAACGCCTGGAATCTTGCTGAATACGATGGCCTTGTTTAGTTTAGGCTTTTGATAAACAGGCATTTATGAATAGTACAGCAAAATTTTCGGCGGCAATGAAAGAATGTCGTCAAAAGCCGGCTGTAATGTAGTGAGACTTTTTAACCCAGCTAAGGTTGTAACTTGGCATCCGACGCTCACTATTCTTCCATTGTCACACCGGCAGACAATGGAAAAGTCGCTTGGATGAGTTTATTAATGGATTATATATGGCTGGTGCGGTTTCGTAATTTGCTGCCGATTTCGCTGATTAATCGCGAAATACTTGGATACCGGCGCATTCAGGGCGGGCGCGCTTATTTGTCTAATAATGATTACATGGATACTTTTTTCAGCCATGTCTTTCCAAGTCGGGTTTTTGATGAGTAAAATTATGGGATGAATTAACGATTAATTAGTGTGTGCGGTATGAGACCGTGACGGTTGTTAGTGGATTGTCAGCTGCGTTAAAGCCATCTTCAAGGTGTTTCCGGTATGTTGCATTGTCGACCGGAAGCCGCAACACTGCCGCGATCGGCTTTAGGCACTTGGATTATCTGCGAGTATATCCGACCAATTTATAATCTGATCGTGTCTTAATTGGGCACCCACTACGATGAAACGCTTCCGTGAGTATAATTGTCGGGCCGAAGTGGATGGAGGTGACCACTTGTTCTTTGATTTCATGAGTGACGACAACCGGAATGTTCTATTATTTTGTTAATGTACAGTGCGGGAACAGTTTTCATGGTCTAAACAGGGATTGTTTAGATATGGAGCTCGATCGAGCTGGTTTCTCGATTAAACGATTAAAGTAGCTTTTAATTAGCAGAATTTTGATTTGGCTGCATTTATGGATTTACGTAATTACGAAACCGGCTGCGAAATTACACTTTAACATATGTCTTTGAAAATTCATAATTAAACAGACAATACAGCAAGAATTATTGTCTGTACATATATCGGCTGAGGTGGCTTTCTTCTATACGTGGATAGCAGGACTTTCGCGCAGTTATGTGTATGCCACACTTCTTACCTGGCGAAATACATGATCAGATCTTTGTTTTTCTGCATGACCAGATCTTACACAGTTAAATGTAAAAGTAATTACTTTATTTTTTTGTTTTTGAAGTATGCGGTTGTCTCTGCAAAGACTCTTTAAGTGTTTATATAAAGATGATTTTGATATTGCGTTTGGTGGTACAGTACTGTTATGATTTGCTATGTTAACGTGGACGGCCTTTTATTGGGTACATTTAGCTTATACACAACAGTTAACATCACAACGCAGTTAACATCACAACGTTAACGTTCGGCTGCAAATTGTGTGCTCGTATTGTACAGCCAACCGGGATTTCCTTTTGGCCTTTACTTTACTCAAGTTTTGTTTCTCTTACTGAGTAAATCAGTTGGGGAAATAGATTTTTCGTTAAATTTTATCTGAACTTGGCGGAATTTACCTTGCAGTTATTCCAGCAGGAAATTTCTTTGCATGTACTTGTAGAAAGTAAAGATGTTTGTAAACGTCTTGTCAGCTGACCTGTTGTTGCTAATACTAATGCAAGGAAAAGTCACGTCGGCATTATGATTGTATGGCTATTGGCTACTACAGAGTAAATCTATCTGTAGTGCAATCTTATATTTGTAGTGAACTTTCAAAAATTTGTTATAAGCTTATAAACGCCGCAGCCAGAATCTCCTACCGGGTATTTAAAAATGAAAAAAGAGTAAGTCTGCAACAAAGTAAGTACTTCCGCACCGGCTTCATATCGGATGCACGTACGTACAAGTACAGAGTACTTCGTACAATACAGAATATAACTAGGAAAGTGCACCGCTGTGGGCTTGCACTAAAAGACCGAAGCGAAGCGGGAAACCAGGTTCAATAAAACTGTTTGTCGAGTTTGCTTTTAAACTGTTTCTTGTAAAATATTGTTTTTTATTTAAAGTTTTTTTTTTATTTAGCGTTTTTGGGTGTGTTCTACCATACTGTACTTTATTTAAAATAATTGAGGCGTGACCGATATGACCGACGTGCGTGACCGACGTGACCGACAAATTCCTGTTTTCTTGAACACAGAGGACCTTCGCTTCGCTTGGTCGATAATATTGTGTCATCGGATTCTTATACTACGTAGTAGTACGTACTGACAGCTACAGTACGGCGCAGCGACGAACCAGGGGAGAAGGGGTGTCAAAACTGTGACGGCCCACAGACGTAGACGAACCCAGTTAAGGAGGGGTCAGAATTTTCGGGGAACCTGCGTCAAAATTTTCGGGGTTATAATTTTTGCGGAACCTGCGTACGTAATTTATGCATGGTCCATAAGCACTTACCGGTAACTCCTTTTTTAAAACATAAAAATTAATTAAAATGACACACGCGACCGTATACGTACCTAGATTGTAACACTGGCGTACGCATGATACCAGCCGCACAACGAAAATTTGAAGACGTCGTAGTGCAGTGTGGTAAGGAATTTATCCTCCCGCAACAAGTAGCTATAATTATAACGAGAAAATATAAAAAAACCCAAACTTTTTCTAAATAAAAAATGTTTACACACTGTTTACGTTTTATGTATCGTTTTATGTATAAAGCAAAAAAATTTGTATTGCGTGACGTTTAAGTTGCCACCGGCACAGTAATATTTTACCGCAAGTTCATCTCGTTCGATAATATCAGTTTGCGTGTTTTGTACATAATTATGTTAAAACGCACTATGATAATCAACAAATGCCTGAACGGTGTGCAATAACAAGTATTATTCTTTATCAGGCAATCGCCATCAAAATAGCACCGTGTGCACCGTATATTGTAACACGTTATTCCCATTTGCATAGGTCGCAAACTCCGTGAGCAGTTCCACCTCTTCATGCCGTCCGCGTACGTTACTTACGAGGCCCCGCCTGCCGGTCGGCCACCGGTGGAGTTGGTGTCGCAGTCCGTCAAAGCGCCGACACCGGAGTGCCCGCTCCATGCCACGCCGACAAGCGCCACGCCCAGTTCACACCATGTATCGGCCACCCTGACGAATCCACAAATCAAAAATCTGGCAGCAAAACCGCCCACCAAAGAATCTCCCAGACAAAACCGGCTGGATTCCTGGTTAAACAGTACCGCTAATCATTTCCGCTCGCGCAAACCATCACGTGATCTGTCAGCTGATCGGTTAAATCGGAATTTTATCTGCCAAGCTAGAGAGCGTAAGAACAGCACACCAATACGCTAAAGACTAAAGTTACACAAAATAATTGCATGTAGCGCGAAGTGCTAACCAAAAGTCCAAAACGTAAGAATAACCCTTAATAATGTAAGGACACGCGGACGCGTTTAGAATATTATAAGCATACTGCACAACGAAATATCGAAGATATCATTAGGTACAGATAGTGTCGTAAAAAATCCAAGGTATGGGACATAAATTGTTTTACCGCAACAAGTAAAGTCATGAAAATTCCTTTCTTAAACCTTTTACTAAATAAAAAAAGGTTTTTGATACCCTTTTCACGTTCTGTGTGTATCCATTCGCTGTCTACCTAATGCAAAGGGGGAATACAGATACAACTGTGTCGGGCTGACATTGACTCTAACCATAAGCACTTTATTTTAATATTGAAACTAAGCTACCATTTTCGTGACTTATTTTAGCAATTGTACATGGTACCACAATTTGCTTCCAGATTTCGAAAATTACCTATAGATACTGTGATTCGTCATAATAAAGTTGCATGACTACATAACCTTTCTGTTTAGATCACCGTATGCACAGCTGTGACAGCAGCACAACATATGCCAGATCTCTCGATCCTCCGCCGAATGTTTTCCGCCCCGCCACCCGAAACGTACCCACCGCCATTCGTCTACGGTCGGCTGGACCTCCAGTAATGCGCCAGCCGTCCGCTTTTAGGTACGTCCCGAATCGCTGTGAGCATTGAATAGTGACTGGTGAGTTCGGGTTTCTTACCAGTTAGCCATTTATGGTTATACAGTATTAGTTTGTGCAGTTGCAGTTGTTACTTAATATAAAAATATCACGTTTCAAGATACGCACTTTATTGCAAAATCTTAAGTACATCTTTGATGACTCCCAGTTACTTTTCTATAAATTTTTCTGGCTAAAACGATGTTGCATAAAAATTAATGGTTTTTTGAGGGCTTATGTTGTCTATTTTGCAAAATCTCAGAGGTTAAAACTCAAGAGCTGACGCATTAAAGCATTAACTCGTCCTTAATGAATTTGGTGCGAAGTCCGTAATTATTGCATCATGCCGGCTCCTTATTATGTCGCGCAATAAATTAAGCTGTCCAGTTTTTGAGGGAACCTCGAGCGTTAAAGTTAAGTACCGCTTAAGCATAATGTAATTTTAATAGGCCTATTTTCTCGGGATTAGTTCAACAAGACAACAACAACAAGACAACAACTATTTAGCGAAAAACCTATTACATACCGATTGCATTAAGTCCGCACACAGTAAAGAGTTGCTTGAAGTGTCTCATCACTTATAACCTCACCGGCGAACTCGCGATTCACATTGATCCTAGTCGTTAACAAGGAATTCGAACACGAGCTCTTCCGGTGAAATAATTTGTCTAAGACCTTAAACAACATCTCACTCAACTCGAGCTGTTTAGTGACGGATTACATGAGGCCCCCCACTGTATTTCAGCCATTAAATTGAGCTCAATTAGCGACAACGAACATCATACAAACTGGGGCCTGCGTCTTTAGCCACTTGAGCGCGATGGACAGCGGTGAGTCATAGCGGGGAAGTGGACAGTCGGCGCTGCTTGGCTGCCAGCTTTGTCCAAATTGCACTCGGCGCTAATCTGCGCTTGATAACGCATCGCCGATGCGGTCATTGCAGGCTAAGTTGATAGAGACAAATCTCCATCCCGTTCGTCTAAATATCTAAAAAGAGAAATATTGTCAAAGAAGCCACTGTGTTGGCTAACTTGGCACGACATGCCGTTTGTAGATTTGGTACTGAAGGCAGTCGTGATAGGGACAGAGGGCTAAGATAGACGAGCCAGTACGCTCGTTGCCATTTTCGTCACAGACTGATCCGGTTAAATGGCGATCTGTTCAAGGGGAAAGATAAAAAATGACACCTATCAAAGAGGTTATTCTTTCTCGAGGGGCTTTGGTATTGGACATATTGTACAGAATAAAAGAACGATTGTCCAGCTGTTGTCGTTCTATCTGCGCGAAGTGTCAGTTATTGTCAGCGGAATGACTTGTTGCGCTGAGCATTATTTTTTAATACAATTAAATATCCATCGGTCTTTCATGATATTTTTAACACAACACGTGTGAATTAGAAAATAAATCAAAGCGTAGCAGGAGTTAGGAAACTTTCAAAAAATACACATAGAAGTATGCTTTCCGTGTGCGAACAGTTTCGAGTTTATGCTTGGTTTTCTAAAATAATGTTCTGTATCAGCTGGCAGGAGATTTTGTATTATTTTATTAACGCTTTCACGTTATAAGGTTTCTATCTACCACAGGTTACGCTAGAACAGCCATAGACATATGTACAAATGATAAATAAATATTAGACTGGCGCTTGCAATTAATGTAGAGATACAGAGAACGAAATCTTTTCTGCTGTCTGCTGATATGGGAAACCAAATAAGACACTGACCACAAATTCACAATAAACTATCCAGCGGCCCTAAAATAATATTAGGCGGTTTCTTTTGTAAGCAAAAACTATAATGGCGTAGCGTATTTTTAGTACGGATAAAGAACGGTTGGCGTTCGTTTTGGTTCATGTAGTTAAAACAGTTGTTTGACGAGTTGTCCACTACTGCAGCATACCATGTAATCGTTAAGCGAGTGCGTACCTATCGTGACTACCGGCATGTTTAATCTTTAATCCTCCACTCTCTTTTCACTGCGTCTCTTGCATTGCCGTGCACGGACCAGCCCCATCGTTGGTGTTTTTACTACGACTGTCCAGCTGTTGAGCATGCTGCATGAAACTGGACCTGTATGAAAAGTGTAATAGCGTAATTGCCCACTGTACGACGTTGCAGTAGGCCGCACACACACAGCTGTCGGTTGGGCAGTTGTAGTGCATTACTAAATTAATTGTGCTACTTCTGGTGAAACAGTTGCTCAACAAGATCTTTCTGCCCAGCACCTGAACTCTTGAGGCGAACCTCGGTTGATCTCTCTTACCATGCAGCGTGCTGCTTAATGGGTTTCCGCAGTATTTAGAACCTGCTGACTGCGTATCTCTCTGTGCACCTCATTAGTTATCGTCATTGTTGCTTCATATTTTTGCATAAAATTATCGGGAATACCGGGTTGAATATTTGCATATATGCATGTCTCGCCTTACTTGGCGAGACTTATTGGGGTGGGTTGATTTTAACCGGCATCCGTCTTATGGAAATGCACGGCTTGTAAACCGTAAATCCCAACAAATTGTTTTGCGACTATAATCTCTTCATTTGTTTCCCAATTGGAAACTGTAGACGTTTCAGCGCACTCTGATTGCCCTACATTGTTCTGCATCACTGTATAACCCGCTTTTAATTTCCGCTGCAAATACGGATATTTGAACTTATTACAATGAACTGATTCAGTGGAATTAGGCGGGCTTTCCGTACTGGTGTTTGGATATATTGCAGCAATGAATGACGGATATTCGTACAGGTAAACGAAAAAAAATGGAAACATAGAATTTTGGAGTGGGAAAGGTTAAAGCTTTACAATTTAAACCGTTAAAATTTTATGAAGGGATAACGATAAAGTCGTTGAAAATTTAAATTAGATGCATATTCCTAGTGCTGCATATGCTGCATATCGCTCCTAATGCTGCATGCACGCATACAGAGTATGTGTCAGCAGAAAACTCCCAGAAAATTTTCTCACCAGGCTTATGATCGATTAGCGATCATCTTTGTAGTATATATTTTTACCAAACAGATAGTTTGCTTTGAGCCTCGGATTCGTTGTATTTATTCTGCAATATATATCGCCATGATAAGCAACTTTTGAAAATCCCGATTATGAGAACGTCTAGCAGATTATTTAACAATTATGTGTAGAATGACTAGGCCACTGTACAATGTCTCCACACCTATCTGGTTGATCTGCTACAGTAGCATCTTCGCGTAAGAATCTCTCTCCTATCCGGTCATCATTAGCATAATCTCTAAAGACAATGTACACCGAACACAAACCAGTTTACTGCATAATATGTTCTTCGATGACGAGATTCCTGTCGGACTGCAGGCAAAGCAGTAAAACTGTCTTACTTTCGAGTAGTATTTTATTTATTTTCTTCGGTAACTTGACGCGTAGTTTGGAAAATGTTACCAAATCCGGTTTCCGGTATCAACATTCTCTGCCTAATTGTCAGCAAAGGATTGTGTGTGTTTTTTTCCTAAAAACAAAACACCTGGCTAATTTTCACTGAATTCTTCTCACTACCGGCAACATAATATCCCCGGTGCGGTGCTGTTGAAACTCACACCGTTTGATGTCAGAACGGCTCCGTTATGCAACACAAAAACGACTGACGCCAAAAACCAGTTTTGTTGGAAAGCGAAACTTTTTCGTTACAATGCACAACAATGCATTAGGGGCAGTCAATAAACAGTAATTAGAAATATGTCCAACATTAATCGGTGGCATGGCTGATCATGCCAGATAATTAATAATAATAGCGCTTGCTGACGTGCAAATTATGAGCTGTATTTCAGCTATGCGCGTCTTTGTTTGTTCTTGGCAAGTGTGTAATGTGTTAATTATACACTGTACCAGCGCGGTAATGCCATGTACCAACATTCCTAACATATTTCATAGCCGCATTAATTATTGGTTATTCAAACAAAGGATACCTTTGATATCTTACCGGGATTAACGTTAAAAGAATATAATATTGTCCTTTTTTAGTTTTATGATGTTAAACTTATGATTCAACATTACATTGCCGGCTTATTTTTTTCCGTCCGCTTGCTGTATAATGAAAATATTACATGTTTGATGTCCCAGCATTTGCTGAGTTCCGCCGAGCATGTTTTATGATCTAGAAGAACAGATTTCTCTAGTCGTAATCAAAAAGGAAAAAACGCGTTGATTTGGTAACGTTAAATCAGCTCACCAGTGCGTCACAAGCGTTGTACGGTGTAGTAGCAGAGAAAATGGGCGTTTGTTCGTTATCGGTACATTTTATGCAGATCTGCCTCTTGACTACGCTCGTTTAGCTGCTGTATGCTTCGTTTGTTATAATACTTACAAATCAAGAATACCTACTCGTGATTGTCGTCTTACAACGCCCACACGCGGATCTCTCACAGTCAGTAGCCAGACGAAGGAGAAAAAACCGCTAAGCTCCACGCTTAATTACCGCATGTGGCGTTTTTACAGTTTCTTATATCACCGGTTACTACAACCGGCTAGTTTATTATTAAACACTATTTGAAATTCTTATTTAAAAGTATTGAAATTTTCGAATAAGTATAAAGTATTTAAAAATTTACGAAAACATGTAAGTAGTTATTTCAGTTATGTACATATGCCTTTTAAATGGTTTTTCCGCGGAAATGGTTCGTGGTTTAAGTTCTTGGTTTAAAGCTTTGAAAAGTTAGATTGCTGCGGAAATGATTTTCGTGACCATCGGTTTCGGTTTACAAGTTTGCCGCTAACTGCGACATTGTGATACAAATCCACTAAATAATTAGCACCCTGGACGAGAAAGTGAATATTCAATAAGAAACGTGATTAATAATCGTTTAAGAGATGTCGAAGAGACAGACGCATCTAGCGATAAGTGTGAAAATGATAGTAATTAAAGCCTACCTAGGCCATCATCAAGAATGCAGAAAGTGACGTTTGTTTTTTATGGAATCGTTAACCATTCTAAAGCGTGACAAGATGGCGGTGCGTAGCTTGTGTACGCCTGCCTGCTGCCGCGATGGCCACACTGTATGGCTAGCTTGCTCATTGTGATCTTTCCCCATTGACCCAATTCGGATTGTGAGTCGAAGAAAACATAGGAAAGATCTTCTAATGCGAAAACAACCACCCCGGTCAGCTTTCACTCGCTAAACCACAAGAACAAGAACCGTACCGTCGATCGACATTCTTTGACCTAAATTGTGCTACACGCAGTTTTTTTGCGATAGGGTTTTTTTCGGCACTGGTCGCTCATGTATATGCGTGTGTGTTATTGTGTGATGAGAATGGCTGGCAGTGGTACTTGCTGGTGACGCTTTTATGATGCACCTATGCGTTGGAGGCGATTTAAAAATAAAAACCAGCATATTATTAAAGGATCTTCGAAAACGTGCATGTTGGCTGTTGTGCTAGAAGTCGGACGTAAGGGTTCGTCGGGTTGGCTTGACCATGACAAGTGCGACATGTCAAGAATTCCGTCTGCCGCCTGCTTCGGTCGCTACAGTGTGTTTTTCTGCATTTAGACCACATCGTCGTCTGGACGTCGTTTTATTGCCACTCAATAGCATGTTTTAACGTTCGACAATGACTGTTTTGAAAAAATCGATCAATAAAGATTTTCTAGGTCTGTAAATAAAAAAGTGTCAACCTGCGACTGAAAAAGCATAGGATAGCAAATTCACTGAGTGGTTGAATTGCCGGGATCCACAAAATGCGGTAAAGGTTGCTTTGACCACTGGTCATCTTCGGTGTTTGTCGTTTTTATGGCGAAGCAGAAGCCAAGAATGTCCATCAGCATTGTAAACAATGCTTTTACAGAACACTGCCTGCGTTTTATTGTTGAATGTCCGTTTACTTTCTGTGATGCGAACAATGTGAGTCAGGTTGTTGAGGAACGCGCTGTATGCTTTGCACTGTTCTACGACTGTTTATTGAGCACATCGGATCGGTTTCATAAGTTAAGATTAATGAGCAGTGGCCCCTACCAGATTGGTGAAATATGTCTGCATTTCAACCTTTTTCAACATTATTGTATGGCACTGGAGAATACATACATACTCTGGTTATATTGGCTTCTTACCGGTTAACGAACTAGTGCGAGTTGCTCGAGAGATGATGCAGCTGGGGCTGGTGTTTCTTGCGTGGTGAATCTGGATGGAGAGTACACTTGAAAGAGAAAAAACGTTAGGTAGACTCTTACGTAAACTATCCGCGCGCCGGTAGCCGCCGTCGGTGCTGTACGTACAAAATAATGGCGGACGGTTGTGCAGTACCGGTGCGCGGCCGTACATACGGTTTTGTTACTGAGCAGGTATCTGCACTTGATTTTCACTTTCGTTTATCGTGCGTGCATGCGATGTGGATCTAGTCGCGGAGCGGTGCATATTTCTCACAAATAACTCTCGTGTTTCCTTTAGCTAGTGCCCTAGCGGAACGGGCTTGTCCATTGTTGATGTTTAGAAATAGATTTCTGTCCATTGAGAGACAGAATACGAGAGAGTGATCAGAGACTTGTAATTTGGCCAGAGTACTTGTGTGTTTTTTTAATATTGCCCGCTCTTGTTAATCAACCATCCTACCTGATCTCATATTACCAAATCTAATTGATTCATATCTGACTGTTTTGAGGACGGATTTGCATGTCCAATGGAAGTCCCGGTGAGCTTCTTTAGCAAACAGTAATCGTGTGTGTGTATTGAGCGTGAATATCGCCCTTTATTATTGACCAGTGAGAAAGTCGATATGCGCAAATGACAACTCGTTGCAGTTTGATGTGCAATCAGATTGGCAGCGAAATGCACGGTAAATTTTTTATAAGTTTGTTAATGTAGATTTGTTTCTTGATGGTCTGAGAATATGTTCATCTGGAAAGATTCCGTAATGTAACTGGTGAGTTGCCGTAGTTCATAAGCACTGTATGTACAGTATGCACAATGAAGCATTCATGCATTGAAGTGGATATAGCGTGGAATTGACAGCTGATTTGTAAAGCAGGTCGACTACCGCTTAAATTTTGTTAGTTTATGTTTATTTTCATCCCCGCTTGCATTTGGAATGCTAGCGTAACAGTCGGAATGGTTTCGGTTTGCATTAACGTTTTTTTTCAAAAATTATCATCGTTTTTGGAAGCATATAAGTTGGTATCCTTAATACAACGCGGAACATTACTGAAGGGAAGTAAGAGTTTAATTTGTCTGCATTGTTTGCTGCAGTTTAGCTTAAGAGGGTCTATACAACTTTTACCGGTTTTGTTTTTCCGGAAGACTCTTGAAAATAAATGTCATTACTTAATCTGTATTTTCAATGAAAACATATAGGATGTAAATTAGAAATTTATACAACGTTAGTGCAATTGTTATGTGTCTTGAGGGGTTTGTTTGGGTTTGCTGTTATTCTTCAGTCGTCTGTCAGCTATTTCCGCTTGTTTATTTAGAGGTAGCAAAACGGCTGAAAATAGCCAAATTCTTGCGGTGTAAAGCAGGCATTCCAGCCGAGCTGAGCAACAAAGGACGCGCGCACTTCTTGTAATACCATTCAGATGCGTAACGGTATTGGGCTGCCCCATACAACCGGCATACGGTGACGTCTATTGCGTAACATGTGTCAAGATTGTCAGGTGATCCTTAAAAATCCAGTTTTCGCCGTCGTGCTATTGTTTTTTGAAAGAAATTGTCCATGCCAGACTTAAAAGCTTTCTTTGGTTGCCGTTAAAGAAACTGGAGTTTTGACAGATTTTGCTGTTGTTCTGATTTTTATTTCGCCCGACCGGTTTGCGCAAATCCGCCGCTTAAAATAATAAGCTGCAAATAGTTTTGATCTATCGAGAAATTCCGTTTTACATTGCAAAATGTAAGCGTGTACGTAATCTATAAAATCTATCAAGAAGGTAACACCGTCTTTGAGTTTGTCAAATGACGGCGGCAAATTAATGACAAACTTTAACCTTTGTATGTCTGTGCGCTCGGATTTCGTTCACTTGCATAATTTTGTAAGCTACCAATTTAATTGGATCGTTATAAGAATAATTTGATTGAAATTATCGATTAGCCCAATTCTTCTTTCAATAACCCTTATGAGCAGCGAGCGCAGCAGACAGCTGCGGCTCGCAAATGCTATTATCCAATTGGTTGATTTTGTGCGTCACTGCAGCGGCGCGATGCCATGTGCTGTGTGCGTGCTAATTAATCAAGAGTCCATGTCATGTCCAAGCGCACAAGGCCATTGTCGTATCCTGTGTCTTAATACATAGGGTTATGTGCGTGTGATCCCCTCTGTTTGTCTGTCGTTCTTCGGCCTCAATTTCATGTGGAAATTAATGCACGTACACAAATACACATACACATAGCACCGACAGTGCAGTTAAACAAACCACCGTCTGGCGGGGTTTTGTTCCCCTGCGAAATCCCTCCGTGGTAAACGTTCAATCAGATGCGCACGCACTAAACACTACCAGCTATTGTGCTAGATTGTTTTCTCGACGCGTTGCCTGCCAATGGCGATTGGAGAGAGCCCGCGATGCGGTGCCCCCCATCTCGAGCTACCGTTTGCACTGTACATGACTGGTCAACGAAGTTTACTTAGTGATCACTTGTTACGCTGGGATTTTCATGTTAAACAGATATGCGCACTGGGTGCCGTGTGTGTGTGTATCGCTGCACCAACGAGCTCTCTCTGCGCCTGTCCATGCCGGCATCATCTCACGGTTAAGGTTGTCTCTTTGGCTTGGTCAACTGGTCAGGCACATCCGGTTGACTTAGGAGGGGAAAAGAACTCAAGAGTTTCTCCATTCCGTCGTGGTGAATTAATTAGTCTGCATTGGTAATTTGCGGGGACCAGGGTTGACGAGAGATGCCACCGCATTGCATAAGCGTGAGAAAAGGTCTACAGTTACGTAAGCAATAAAATTCCCTCCGGCTACGCTGTACTCGGCGCATACGCATTTCTTGTGATATACCCATGGTTTGGTAATACCGGAATTCGATTGTCAATGTCAGTTACCAGAACCAGCAAGCTCGATTTCTTCGCCTTCTTTGAATATTTTAATAACCAGATAACCCTGAATACTTCTAGTTGTCTTCCTTGTGATACAGGAAGTTAATATTATAATTTTCTTGCAACCTCTCATTACGCTTCTAGGAAGAATCGCGAAAGCTGCTTTATTGCTAATAGTCGAAAAATGCTGGTTGACAAATTAGCCAACGTTAAAACTAAGCGCAGTGTTGCAAAGCCCAATTGGAACCAATAGAATAGAAGTAAGCGGCAAATGGTCAGCAATGCACGATGACGAATCGCTTGCCGCGAACAAGAAGCGAAAGTGCATTTTTACGATGCCTCGACATTGACAGTTGAATTGTGATTTATGTCCAGCCGCGGAAAAATGATGGCAAACTTTTGCTCGCCGAACTTCGTAACACTTTCTTGGCCAGCTTTCCGATCACATATTCTCATCATTGCACACAGTGGCTCCGAGAATGCTGGCAAGGAGCTGAAAAGGCAATCATAACAATGCGATCACGAATCACCGAAAACCATTTATTTCTCTTTTGATTCTTTTCCTACTTTGCCATGTCAGCTGTTAATGAAAAAACACACATACACATGCAGTACACACGCTGAAACGGTGATGATAGCCTATACGACATTTGTGCCACTGACATTTATCCAGATCATTACTTGTCAAATATCGAGCACTTTTTCGGTTCAGCGGCGACAATCGTATTAAGCTTTCAGACTGAACTCTGCGTACGGAAGTGGTGAATTAAGACGGTTTTCGCTGGTCGCTGCTTTTTTAAGTTTAACCATGCCACAACTACGCTACCTTTCACTATGATCCTAATTCTAAGCTTTCGCACTGTAAGAAATCGTCGTACAGTTTCTGGTTGTGGAGAATTTTTCTTAAGTTGAATATGACATTTGCGTGACAATTGTGCGTTTGCCTTTTACAGTAACCAGGGCCTTCGCTCCTCATCCATCGGCTCGTCCGGTCTGAACAATTTGGACATGTACCACAGTAATGGCAGCGGCAATCCGTCCTCCAGTCATCTGCACGCGGCCATCATCCATTCGCACTCGCAGAGCAGCAGTATCGGAACGGCCAACGGCAGTCTGAGCAGCGGCGCCACCAGTTCGACGCCCAGCACCAGTACCAGTAACAGCGGCGGTCCGGCCATGCCCAACGGGGCGCACAATGTGGCCGGGGGAATATCCCGCAAGAAGATCATCAGTAAGAGTCAAGAAGCCGGCTTGAACCATGAGGAAATGATCAATGAGGAAGAGGATGACGTCTGGTATGATAAGGATGTGCTGTTCCGGGTGAGTCAAGCACGGTGGGATTTCACGGTGCGGGCTTTCGGCTGAGGAGGTTTATGGCTCGTGTATACACACACCGATTGTTGACTCTTTTATTGGCCGGGCTTTAAAACTTGTTGCAGAATTAATAGCATTGACTTGAACCGTTAATTTGTGTGTACTGCTAGTTACATAGACTACATAATAACGTGACATTTATTGGAGAAATACGGTTGTATATCTTTCTAGTTTAGCAACAAATGCAGCTTATATATAGAAATTTATGATGAACTTCCCAGCACGTTTTGAAGTGCAGTTATGAAATTTTTTTTGTTATTCAGCATCATCTGCGCGAAGTCTTGGAGAAATGGCAGAGCATCGATGACGAAATTTGGGGGAAAATAATCTGTATGGAGAAGAATCGTCGTGTGGCAAAAGCGTATGCCCGTGTTCCTGTGTTGACGATTAATGGAGGCGAAGACGGTTTTGATGGATATCGGATCGGCTTGTCGGGATTCGAGAACCCGAAACGCCATCCGGATACTACACAATCAAAGAAGCTGATTGGTCAAGTACGTTCACTGGTTCAGCAGCGCGCTTTTTTTCCACAGAATTCGTTCAGAAACTGTTATTTGTTTCTGTACCCGTACATGGCAAAAACAGTCACTTAATGATCTTGTTTACTGATTGGACATATAACCGGATTATTGATCATCTTAACAGGGCATCAAATTGAAAATGGATAACGACGGCAACATACTGGTGCGCCGCGCGAGTCCCGCGGCCGTTTACGTGCGCAATACCACGGGAAGTTTCCAAGATGACAACTGCTTCTCATCGGAAGTGATCAAACTGCAGGGACAACTGGAAGCCGATAAACCGTTTAAGGTACGCATTGTTATGGCATAACATGACTTTACAATGTTGAGGCTGCACTAGCCAGATTGTGCGAATTTGTACCGGTATAATAAGCACATCATCGCGGACGAATGACCGCTGGCATAACGGCTTTTGATTAGACTGGTTTGCATAGATCAATTTATCTGTCCCCTTAATATAGCATCATTGAACTGTGCATGTTCGATCTATGATTCCGGTTGGAGCCTGATGGTGCACTGGTGTGCTGTGTTTTATTAGGTATTCGATATGAAACGCTTCACACTGAACATCGCCAAAGAGATGAAAGGTGCTTATCCCGACCGGCGCAAACTGGAACTGCAGTGCTTTACGAACATTGCCTTTGCCCAGCAAGAAGCCGATCACTTGGAGACACCCTGCTGGATTATGGTTATTAATATCGTCGCTTTAGATATGCTCAAAAATAAACTGCCCACACAAGGTACTGTTTACCCTTACCCAACCGGAAGAAGATCTTGTAATATTTTTTTTAATAAACCGGTGCTTCCTCTTCCGAATAATCAGAGGTTATTGCTAAATGAACTAATGCACTTTGCTTCTTAACCATTTTACAATTAAATTAGTTGAGTAACTCTACTTGATTTAATTTGTGGTTATTTAGTGCGAACAGTTTCTCGCTAAAAACCCAACAGTTGTTTCGCTGTGTTACAGAAACCGTTAGAAACTTTTATAATTTTAAGATACTTTGGGTGTGGTTGAGAAAACCTTTAAAACAACTTCTTTTTGTCCCAACAAAACCTTTAAATAAATAAAATCTCTGCTTTTGTTGCTCTTGTGAGTAAGGTATTAGTGTATTAAGATCTGTCGTCAAACGGATTATAATCCTTGATAAAAATGAAGGCGGATGACTCGATGTTTTATCTAGCAGTGCCAAGCGGAACTCACACACGAGGACTGTCCGTACAGCCGCGGATGCCGGCAATGATGGAAAATGTCCATACGAAGCGCTTTCTTTCTACACCCCGTGATGAACATTATCCCCGATTACTACAACAGCAGCTGCATTCCGTAAATGACATAACACTTGCCGAGGTAAGAAAAGTTACTGCCTGACTGTATACATTAGGAAATCACCCTGCCCCCACTTTATACGTACCTGCTACGCGCCCACTCCTGAATGCATATAAAAAATGGCCTAATTATGCTGGCAGTTATTACATAACGGTAATGATCGTCCACATGGAACCGACCATTACGACTACATGGATACAAAAGTATGACTACTGCCTTTTTCGTTGTCATAAAGAAATGTTTCGGAATTTTCCGATGGGTGACGCAATAACATTAGCCGGTCGTATTAATCGTGTGCTTGTGTGGTTGACAGAGTGGCGAGTACGTTGACGATATGGATGATCGCGCCAGTGTTTCGACTTACAACTTCATTCCGGGCTACCGGCCATCGTCCAGTCTGTTGCCGGGTGATTACGATGTGATGCACACGGCGCTGCCGGGAACAACCCGCAACTTCCGAGCGCCACTGCACGCGCATGTCGGACAGGATGGTCTGTACCGAACGATGGAACAGCAACATTATCCAGGTACAGTGCAATACCAAAAGTAAAACACTTCGAATATAATTCTAGCAAAAATTAGAATTAATGCCACAATATATGCACATATTAGTAAAGCGGATAAATAATTGCAGCTGAAATACCAAAATGAATAAAGTTAAACGGGGTTGTAAATTACTGATTGTAACGTGCAAAATTGTCGAAAATATTAATCTACAAAGAAAAACTGTGACAGTGTTTTCCTGCCGGGAAGTTTGCAAGTAATTCGAAATATTTTGAAAATTAGAATTGTACTAGAGAAGCAAAATTGTAAAAACTTTAAGCTGAATTAAAGTACAAAATCAAATACAGTTTGTGACAGGTTTATAGCTAACTGATTGTAACGTAAAAATTATAATCCAAATTTCACTTATCTACGTAAACGAAATTTTGGCCGTGTTTGTTAATAATCCCTTTGCTATTTTGGAATAGATGCTTATTTTGCCGATATGGCGAATGCCGGACTGGCCGGCTACGGTATCACTTCCCCGGTGGGCGGAAGTCCCAACGGCGGCTACCGTACCCCGCTGCCACTGGGTCTGGCCGGCCAGCACGCCGCCACCGAGCCCAACTTCAAGATGGCCACCGGACGGAACTTCGCGGCGACACCGGCACTGCAGCGCTTCGCACCGCATCACCGTCACAGCCGCAGTTATGATTCCGGGCTGGGTAGGTTAAACAAATACACCAATCAAGCGCATCACACATATTACGATGTCGGCATTGCGGTACAGGGGATTATCACTTTTACTTTACAGAGTCGGACATGACCAGTTCCAGCGATGAGACTGATTATAATCGCTGGACCTGCTACAGTCGCTTACACATGCTGCCGCATGCACGAACCATTAATCTGTCGGGCGCAACCGCTGTTCCACGACTGCAACCGGAATGGGAATAAAAATTATATCTTGTACTATAATATCTGCGCTGCAGCCGGTTATACGCGTGGCTCCCGTGAGGAATTTTGTGATACGCTTGGGGTTGGATCATAATGGTTTTAACATTGTTTTATAAATTGGCATTACTCTACTTCTCTCCTACACAATTTCAAAAAATAGCGGGAAACATGAAACGGCCCAAATTACTGCAACGGAATTTGCCGGCTCGTCGGAATACTCTTTTTCGGGAACGTTGACTATCTTTGCCGGTTCATCTGGACAACGCTGGATCACAGCGGGAATCTCCTGTTGGGAAAAATGTTCCTGTTTAAGCTTCAAAAGGGATGTGTCTGGGATTTAACCAAAGACGGAATTTTTGGATTTTGTTTATACTGATTAATCTGTTCAACTATACTCTTTGTGTAATTTTGAATCGTGTGTGGTGTGGCGGACGTTACGCCGTTTTTTTTTGCCGGGGATGTAATGTGTTTATACTGATTGTGCTGCTTTTCGCTGATTTTTGCTGATCGCGTACGCCACTGGCGTTAACCATCCGCTTTGAGCTTTATTTTTTGCCCGTGCAGCAGATGCGCATGATACCATACATAATAGTGCTACTGGGTCATAATTTTTCTTATAGCGATTTATTCATGTTTGGAGCTTTATTATCTCGTTCTTCATGCTTTTATTGCAATAAAATGTTTAAAAAGCAGAAATTTTTCGTTAAGACTTTGAATTTGATTAAACTGGCCATGGTCGATGTGGGGTTGAATACGAACTTTTTGTCAATAACCAATAACCAACAAACTTCTCCGATTGTGTTTCAACAATAGACTACAGACTAGGTAGAGTCTAGAAGCACAACTTCTTTCACCAGGATGATAAACTTTCAACTTTTCGCCATTTTAGAAAATAACAGGGATCGCTTATCCCAAAGCTTTTAAGTTGAGGGATACGGGATCAGAAGCAGAGTTTTACTAACCGGTGCTTTTTCCTTATACATATATAATCACAAGAAAAACGCAGTAAATTATAACTGCTATGGTACCGGTAACACATTGGTGATGGATGGAGATGGGAGATTGCGCATTTAATTGAACCGAAACTCGAATTCTATATATATCTATATATATGCTAGGTCTATACTTCAGTTGTAAGAAAAAGTTGTACAACAAATCGTAGTCGTAAAATGGGATTTCAACGATTTCAACAATCGTAGTCGTAGATTCCAGGATGTTGTAGTAATGTTGTAAAATTTTTGCAAACTGCAACACATCCCGGCCATACTTTGACCACAACTAAAATTTGAGCCAGCCCAGCAGAGACGCGATTGGCGGATATATCCCGCTTATTCTTATTATCAGCGGAAGCAACAGGATTTTATTTTGTTTCATCATACGAATAGTTTACAAATCAGTAAATCAATCATGGTCGCATGCTATACTGAAGTATCAACCAAAAAAAACTATCATAACATAAATGGAGTTAAATGCATAGACCGCTATGTAAATCAAAAACTTCAACACTGTTTTAACAGTGGAGCGAGGCAGCATAGGGTATCACGACATTTTACAACGCGACATTTCACATCGTAACATTTCACCGAATCCATTTCATGACCACGACATTTCTCATCCGCAGCATTTCTTAACTGAAACCTTTCACAGCCACAACATTTCGCAACTGCAACATTTCGCAACCGTAACATTGCATGGCTCGTACATCTGCCGCCCCGTAACAATGCATAAAGTACATTGCGCACACTGGAACAAACTCTATCCCGCTATTTCGTAACGAGATTCGATTGCTACAGTTCAAAAACCGACAAATTTACTAAATATCCTGTTTTTGGCAACTGCGATAACCCACGCCTAATATTCTGTAAAATTGTTGTAACTTATATCTAAAAGCCCTAAAACCCATTACCAAAACCCATCTTTCACAATAAAAATGACATAAGTGATATACCTTTTATTGTTACTGTTTTACTCAAATGTAGCCAGTTTTAGACACACCATTACGTTGGCATAACTGGCATGGGTAAATTACTGCAAATTTACAATCATAACAATCATTTTAAAATCATGCATTAATAGAGTTATTGTACTTCGCCTCAGCGTTAAATTAGTACATTCAGTAAAAATTCAAAGCTATTTAGTTATATAGATATCAAAATCAGTTATACGACTTATATCAGTTATATCTATATTACAGTAGTTATATATCAGTTGTATCAAAGTTATTTAGTTACATCAAAATCTTTTACCGACACTTATCAATCGTTATTCTAAGATATTAATAAAAACGTTAAACCGAAGAAACAACATCATGATTTTCGATACCGCTACTCGACATCCAGGCGATTTTTTTCGGACACCTGCAGGTTTCTACTGATGTTTACCAATTATTCCATAGAATCCATTTCATGGTAAACCACAGCAAAGCGCATTAAACGCTCAGTCAAGTCCCAACATTCTCTGCGCCTCCAGGCTCTGCTTCCGGTTTCTCTCTTGCCGCTAATTTGTTTTGAAAGTTTTCTCCTGCTCTGCATCAACAAACCCGGCGGGAACGTACCGACGCGATCCCGCCCGGGTACTGTACAGTCGATTATACTTGTTCCACACCTACTGAATCCAGTCACTTTATCCTGTTTTAATGCAGCGGACTAATGAATGCACACCACTGTGCAGTGGTAAATGCTGTAATACTTGGTGATAGAGATATGTATCTCGCCCCAGATTGTAGGTAGACTGCAGGAATTGCAATACTATACTAAATTACTAAACAACAATTTACATTACAAAAATTAACAAAATAATGCTGTATTAAGCTGAAGATGACTTTCCTCTGCTTCGAAAGGAAAACTTATACAATACATGTACTGTAATTTTTACTGTGTACACAATGTACTATGTAGTAATCGAATTACATATAACGCGCTAATAAAGCTACTTCGATTCTTGGTTGTCAGTTATTTTTGTTAACTCAGAAGTTGGCGTTGTATTCAAACATCAGCTGCGCACACCCTTCCGACGCACATGGATCTGGGAGGACAGTCTAATAAAACTAAAAAAATAACACTTTAATCGATGTATACGAAAACTAGAAACTCTTATCGTCAGCGATTAATAAAAAGATCAGAGGAAAAATATTATCGACGGAACGGGATAGAGAACACACAGATACGGGTTATCGGATACACAACGGACTGACAACATTCGAGAAGCGCAAGGAAAACAGCACAAAAGAAGAGAAACCATGTTCAACATTCTACAAGTTTATTAAGCAAGCGGTATACTTAAACTGAAACTGATGGGAACGCCCCTACTGGAGCAACTGGCCGGAGGTTTGAACTGACGAGTTGAACCGGTTCATTTCATCAGTTTAATCAGCCTCCCAATCCGGAATAGGAACGAATTGCTGGATATTCTGGTTTATGTGGCTCATACTCAAAATATTCCAGGGTCACCCCGCGAGGAGATTCTGACCTGCAAATCAACAAATTTGGAGAACTGGTTCTGCGCGCAGATAAAGTGTAAACTCATAACTCGGTAATTGCTGCAGCTGCGTGGTTATGACTGATAATAGCCGCCGCGTGAATTCAGTTACTGCATACAAATGTCACGAATAGTAGAAGTATGTGAATTAAACGCAAAAAAATATTTAATGTAGCAATCAGTGTTATCCCGTTTTAAAAATTCATCTCCCGGCCCGTTCCCGTCCCGTAAACCAGACAAAACAGAACCCGTTTCCCGTTACAGCCCGGCCCGTCTGTCTTACACTTACCATTATATTGTAGCCGTACAAATAAGATCGGCAGTGTTACAGTAATGATGATGAGGATTTCATTGCTGCTACAGATAGTTGAAGCGGAAACATCTGAATGGGTACTTGTACAAATGTTCCCTTTTCTCATGAATTTCTACACTGGTTTTGGGAAGTGTCTAACTTATCTAAAATCATTCTTGCTGTTGTCCTTGCCCTTGCTCTTCCCCAATGATTTTCAGCTGATTAAAAATGTGTGCGTACGCGTTGACAATGTGTTCCGTTGCGGGCTTTCGTTAAGACTTAATTACATAAGTGATTTTAAAGTAATTCGTTAACACCACCAGCACTTCCGACCGTGGTACGGGTGTGTAACCCACTCCACTAGGGACAGCTTAGAAGTTGTCATTGCAATATATAGTTAGTATAGCGGCACGTTTTAACCCGTAATCGGAGCCGTTTTCGTTGTCGGCTCCGGTACTGCGTAAAAAAACGGGCTAACACTGGTAGCAATAACCCATTCACTGATTCACACAATAAAAAGTAAACCAATAAAGGTAATTTCAAAGAACACCTTTTTGAAAAAAACTAATTTAAGTAATTCCGCCCTGTTTCCGATTTGGATGTTTTTTTTCAATGTGTAAAATTTATTGTTTTTAATTAGTGTAAATCCGCGCTGGCGAATAGCTTTGCGTGCTGGCCGATGTCGATGCAATTCAAATACAAATGGTTAAATTGATTAGGATGCTTACATAAATCCTTGCAAAAACTCGTGACGGAACTGATTTTTCCATTCTTCGCGAAGAACAATGCAGATATTGTGCGGTTCCTTAATGAAGAATGGTCTTCCTTCGAAGAATCCGTTTATTTCTTCCTCTGTTTTGCCCGCCAGACCATTTGCGTTGATTTTATCATATCTTAGCAATCGTAAAAATTGGCTAACGGTCGTATGCTCCTCTTCATGATACAGCGTAGGAACTAAAATCGTTTCTGCAATTAAACGTAAATGCAGTCAACTATTATGTACATAGCAATGTGTACAGTACTTACAATTAATCAATTATATACTTGATGGTCTATATATCTTTAGGAAGCAGCCGGATCTTACAGTAGTGCAAGTTCATCTAGCGGTTACAGTACTAAATCAGCAGACAGCGCTATGAATAATTAATAAATAGTACGACCGCATAAACCATCTGCAATTACCATCAAAATCAAACGAAATCAAGGCAAAGTTTCTTTCCGCGGTACGCTGGCTGCTGCTCTGGGAGGCAGAATGGGAGTCCTGGCCATCGTTTCCGGCCGCTTCTTGATCTTCCTCATGATCTTCATACTTGCGCTTCTCTCTTCCATTTGACTGTGAGCTAGACGACACCGGCAGCGCATTATTTCCGGAATCCTCATTAATCATAGCCTTCACGATGGAAGATGTTGGAGAGGAATGGGCTTCCAAATAGGGATTCTTACCCTCGCCGATCTTCCGCGCTACAAACTTCAGCGTCTCATCCAGCAGAACCGGCGGGATGGAGGTTTTTATCACGGCTATCCATTCCATAATGGTCAGTGGGCACGCCTGGAACACGTTCTGCAATTATTTAGAAATACGTCGTGAAATTAATACGTAAAACTAATATTATACAGTACTGTATAATTATTTTATTATTCGGTCAAGTTGCATCAAATTATAATCACAAATTGTTGCTTTTACCATCAACCCATTCTCTTATTTTCAGTATTAGTTTACGGAATATTTCTGTAATTTTTTATACGATCTCATCCGATGTTCAAAAGTCCCTTTTCGGGTAATTTGCAATAAAACAAAATTTTATTCCCATTCTAGTTTAGCAACTTGAATTTCGTGAGTGTGTTCTTACCGCCAAGACGTCAATGTAAAGAATAACGAAATGCAGAGTCATGGATAATCCCGTTGCCCCGATCAACCACGGATTGG